GGTATATATATATATATATATAATATATATAGATATAACGTAAGGAGAATAGCGGTAATTATCGTAGTCGCGAGACTTAAGGTTCGAATATAAAAGACTTAAATTACTTAGAGAGAGAAGCTATCTACTTAGAACTAAAGAACCCTTATATAGTAGAAATCCTTATTCTAGAAGATTCTATATATTAGAAATTAACTAGTTACTATTATTAATATTAATAAGAATATTAGTAATATTCTTATTCTAGAATATTCGCTTAGAAATTCAATTTACGACTTTAGTAATATATCTTTCTAGAATATTCTATACTCACTATAGACTCTTTACAAGTACTATAGTATAATATAAGTATTTATTACCTAATACTTATACTTCTTAACTACTATACTAAATCTTTTATATATATATTATTTCTTTATAATAAATACTATTTTAGTTATAATATTATTTAAAATCTATAGCTTATAATCTAAACTTTTATTTAAACTATCTTACTTTATTTTAATAGTATATACTTTTATAAACTCTATAATTAGCTTTTTTTTAACTAATTAATTTACTAGCTTTTTATCTACTTATTAAACTTAGTAGTTTATAAAAAAGATATAGTAAAAAAGTTAAGTAAAGACTTTTCTAGTAGTTAATATTACTTTAGTTACTATAATTAAAACTATTATAGTAATCTAGAACGTTAAAGTAATCTGGTTTATTATAAAGAAGTAAATAGTTTTAGAGATTTTAATTAAATTATTTAAAATATATTTAAAGAAAATAAAGTAGTTTATCTTCTTAGTATTAACTTTAAACTTATTAAAGTTAATTACACTATACTTTAAACTTTAGTAAAGGTCTATTTCTATTTATTAAACTTATTAATTATTTATTTATATAGTAACTTTTTTTTAAAAACTACTACTAGTATTTAACTATATAAATCTAACTTACTATATCTTTATATATATACTTTACTATAATAAAGTACTATTTTTAATAGTATTCTTTTTAATAAATAGAAATTTTAAAATATTATTATATTTTATTTTTTTAAAGTTTTCTTTATAGTATTTTTATAGTATAAAGTTACTTATTTTACTTTTAGTATAGTTATAATATATTATTTCTCTATATCTATTTATTTCTTCTAGTCTTAATCTCTTAAAATATCTCTTCTTTATTAAGTAATCTTTATATTCTATATTTTAAGATTTAACTATAAAATATTTATTATAATTTATAAAGTAGAAAAACTATTTATTTTAGTTATAAATTATAGTATTTTAAAACTTATAGTTCTTTAAATCTAGTTATAGTTAAAGTTAAATTTACTTAATTTAAATATATAGTCTAATTAGTAAATATACTCTTATAATATTAATAAATAATAATTTCTTTAAAGTTAACTAAGATTTATAAATTACTATCTTAGTATTATACTATATAACTTACTAACTTAATTAAGTAGTATAATACTTTTAATAATTAGTAATTATAAGATATTATAATTAATTACTACTTTAACTAAAAGTATAGTTTATAATATATTACTTTATATAGTTATAAAGTCTTCTCTTTAACTACTAGATTCTATCTTATAAAAAAACCTCTTTATTATATATTATTTCTTTTCTCTCTCTTTAGAAGTCTTCGCTTAAGTACGGAAATAAAAATTCCGCTTTTTACATAATAAACTATTTGCTAATTTCTTACGCCCTTACGTATATCGCGTTATCTAACAAAGTTTTAGATTTTCTCTATATTATATATTTCTTCCCTAATATCAAAAAGCTATTAATTGAATTAATGTAAAGCGAACTTCTAATTACAGTCACTACAAATGGCCTCAAGACCTCGTCTAAATCTCCATCCGCGCAGCTCATATTTCTCGATATTCCGCGCCCTTAGGTTCGACTGGACTGCCTCACAAGCATTTCTCACTTCTCCTACGTTTCGTGTGGTAAACCCACGCAATCACATTACAAAAGGTGATAGGGTTTCCGTAAGAGTATCGCCTTCTGTGGTATCAGGATTGCAGGACGAGGCCATTCTGGCACTTCTCACGAAAGGGTTCTTTGGTGGATGGGTATTCTTTATGGAAGGATGGGCTATGAGGACTTTCCATCCTCTTCTGCCGGCGATTTATACGGGTATGTAAAAAAATCACTAAAAGAAACTTCTCATTCTTGAGAAACAATGTAGTTTTACATTTAATAACCTCATTTTTAGCACTCCCTGACATGCCCACGAAAAATGTAATCTGGAGGAGCAACGATATTTCGAAAACCAAACTCGCTTCCGTTGGCGACATGTTCTTTGACTTTGCTGTCGTCGACAAACATATCCAGACGCACTCAGACCCGGCACCAAGTTATATTGATTATGGCTTTGGTTCAGACCACAGAGTGTTTTCGGGGTCACAGCGGTTTGTCGTTACTCGACATGAACGAATACGTAACGTGGAGGAGGATGAAAGGGCGGGTGTATTGCAAACAGAGAAGAAAGGCGGGTACGTCGAGCTGTCTATTGAGTGTTTTCGATGCAACCCACTTGTAAACCGCGATTCGTGGGCTGAATATGCGCCTTGGCTCCATTATTGGTACGCGAAGTGTCTGTGGGCGGAAGCTGTTAGAAGGTTACTACGACGGTAATAGTTTGTTTGGCGTCAGCGCCGAGTTGAAAGTCGATAGAGAAAGAATACCTCCCCAAGACAATTTTGAAGCATGTGACTAATCCCAATTGCGTGCATTATATCAAAAGAGGGGTAAAGCAGGATTATGCGACCATGTTTGAGCTTCTCCCGATTGTCTTAGGTTTCGCTGTCTCGCGGAGGACAAAATGAGCTCACCCGAAAATCTTAAACTAGTTAACAAGTCGACTTCGAATAGAGCTTAAAAAATCTTATTTACTGAAAACAGTTAACGAAATAGTCATAATGTTCTAAGTTGATCCACTAAATTATGAGATTTCGTCAACTTAGTCGAAGAACTGTTCTGGTTCGACTGCCACTTATTTGTCCTCCGCCAGACTGTATAGAATGTCAGGAGTCGGCGGCCTTTGGTATTCATCGGAAAACGAGGTCCCGTAAGAATAATAGACCAAATAGTACCAGTATACCCGACGTGCGCCAGGTCCGCGGCGGTCCGAAAAACACTATGATGAATTTGAAAGCGATGATAACAATTCGTTTGCGGGTCGGGGAAAAAAACTCCGTAGTGTCCGAGAAATGAATTATACAAGCTAATTTGGGAGGTCTAGTTTAGTATTATTTCTACTTTTCAGAATTCATGTGCTGAAGGATCGGTCTGAACAAACTCTTACAACATAAAGCTTGGTTTTCGAACTCGTGAGTATTCATATTTTACTCGATAACTTTCTTGGTGATAAGATCTTACATCCCGAGACAGACTTGGCAGAAATATCGCCTAATATGGTTCGCTCCTTCGAGGTTGTCGGAATCTTGATCACGATTTGGGCTGTATTCAAAGTCGTAGAAAAGATCTCGCTTTATCATCGCTTCAAGAATGCTTAGCGCGCTCATGGGTGCAAGCCTGCTAGGAACTTCCTTTGTGATCTACTCCTCGGACTTGACGTCTTCGCTTTTCTGAATTTCTAGGGATTAGAACGCTTCGGGGAGAACGTACGGATAAATTTGTGAAGATCCACCGAAAATATAGGCCGACTTCTGAGATGAAGTGTTTGTGTCAGCAAAAAATGGTACAAATATCGAGTGAGAAGAATCTTCCGCGACAAATTTTAATAATTCGAGAGTGGCCCCTGTATAGTGTATTATAGTGTCGTATCGGGCTAAACTAGCTTTTTAGTAAATCGAGCTTTTTAGAAAGAAGAATTTTAATAGGAAAACCCCTACTAATTTTCTTTATATACTTAAATAAGATTAGTACTAGGTTACTACTTTTAATATTAGATTTTAAGACTATTTCTACTTATACCTTACCTCGCTATCGCTACCTTACTATTATAGCCTCGCTATTATACTCTCGCTATTATACTCTCGCTACTATACCCTTATTGTCGTATTCTTACTATTATACTCTTACTATTATACTCTCGCTATTATAATTTTAAAATTATTCTTTAAAGAGCTTACTTTACTTAACTTAAAGAATAATATAACTATTTATACTAAGGTATAAAGTATAATTTAAATTTTTTTAAGATAGTTATATAGTATACCTAGTAATATCGTAATATTTAGTAATAGCGAGGTAGTAATAGCGAGGTAGCGATAGTGAGGTTATAAAAGTAGGGCTATATTAGCGACTATAGTAGAATTATCTCTTAGAAATTTTAGATATCGAATTACTATAGAAACACTACTTAATATTTATACCTACACGCTTTTCTAGAAAAGTAGGTTTTAGCCCGACACGACACTATAATACACTATACCCCCGCACGTCAGGGCGTTACTTCTCCATTTATGGAAAATGGCGTTTTTACTGATGATGGACAACCTTGGAGGCACGCGCGTGCTCTCATTAGGCCAACGTTTACTCGCTTTGAGATTACGGATTTGGAATACTTTAAAACATTTGTTGAGAGATTCCTGGCGCTTTTCCCGCGAGATGGCAGTGAGTTTGACATGTTGCCACTGGCAAAAAGATTGGTGAGTCCAAAAACCGCACAGACTCTTCTCCTCTGGTTTTGCTAACGCGAGAGTTAGTTCTTGGATACTTCATCGGAGTTTATCCTTGGCCAATCCGTTAATTCGCTCTTACCAACAACGCCTCCAGAGGAATTGGAGTTTATTGAATCGTTCGACCATTGTCTGACAGGTCTTGCATTGCGTCTCGTCGCTGGGCCTCTAAGACCTCTCTTTAAGCTCGATCCCACTTTCAAACCCAATTACCAAAAAGTCCACAAATTCGTTGACAAAAATGTGCACCTCGCTATTGAACGAGCAAGAAAATTACAGGCAGCAGGCAAGACAGGAGAGGAGGAAGAGGAAGGTGTCAAGAAGAAGTGCATTCTCCTTCATCAAATGGCAATGGAAAATCAGGATGCAGCTTACTTGAGGGCTCAAACTCTCAATGTTTTTTTCCCCGCTCGCGACACCTCTGCACTAGCTATCGGCAACATCGTGTTCGAGCTAGCTCGTCACATAGACTGTTGAGGGGAGCTACGCAGAGAAGTTGCGGAGATTGGAGATCAAAAACTCACCTTTGAGTTGATCAAGGACCTCAAATATGCTAAAGCGGTTGTTAACGAGTCACTTCGTTTGCACGTCCCCGGAACTCGAATCTTGCGAATTGCGTTGAAGGACACTGTGAGTAAAAAAACCTTTTAGATTATGTTTCTCTTCCAGAATGTTTCTCAGAAATAACTCCGCCCCGTCCATCCTTGCCGATGTTGCTAAGCATGAATTTTCTAGGTTTTACCTGTCGGTGGAGGTCCCGACCAGCTATTGCCACTCTAGGTCGCACAAGGGACCATTATCGAGATGGAGCTTTACGCTATGCGACGAAATTCCCAGATCTACGGCCCTGATTCCGAAGAGTTCAAACCTTCGCGTTAGGCACCAAATCGACCTTTACGGGAGGCAAAACGCCAGTATTCTCTGTTCATTGGTGGAATTGTGATCTGTCCAGCTCAACAATCGGTGCTCGCTCAGCTTACATACTTGCTAGTTAGGATTGCTCAAGAGTTCAAAGAGGTGCATAACAAAGATCCGGTGTACAAATGTGTAGAGGAGACTAAGATGACTGTTGAGAGTCGAAATGGGACGAGAATAGCTGTCGTCCCAGCTTGAAAGCTTGAAATGATGGAGTAATTAAGATTGGAACACTGTTTGGAAGCCGGATTTGCTTTGAATCAGTGCGATTAAATGATATTTTAAATTACACACTACATATGAAGACTTATCGGGGATTTAATCTGCCAGACTCATGTCAGCACATAACCGTTACTCTTATCCGATCTCACAAGTCACTCAACCATAATCTGCGGTAACAAAAGTGATCATTTCTGGTCTGCCCAAATGTTCTAAGAAGAGTGGAAGTATCATCAAGGCAGAGTATGGTTGAGAGGGTGAAGAAGACAACAAAACTGCTCAATGAAAATAAGGGTGAGCTCTACTGACAAATTAAATCGTTTTTGAAGTAATAAAACAATGCCTTTTAAGTAAGGGGTTGAACCACCCCACAACAAATAGTCGGATTTACAAGCAACGTATAATACATAAAGTATGTCGGAATTGCTGCAGCCACAACAACGCAAGACAGCATCACCAACCAAGAACAAATGAGCGGAGTTAACCTATATAGTAACTTTGTGAAACGATACAGACAGGTCTGGTGAGCTTGGCCTATGGTATGAAGAAGAAAAACAGACTGTTACATTTCAGTGCCTCACTTATTTCCTGACCGTAGATCTAAAAATCACGCCCTGAATATTTGCACAAAAGCAATCCGGCGCATTCAAAAACCAGCTAGCTACTTTTATTTGACAATGTTAGAACTTCAAGCTAGATATTTAACCTCTTCATAGCTTCAAACAATCCCTGTTCCAGAAATGACTCTCGAGCAGTGGATCTCAGCAAAAGGCCCAGTTTCTTCTTGATAAAACGCAAGCTACTAACGAACAACATACTATCAACCGCTTTGTAAGAATCACAGCCCACGTCGAGTCTAATTTACTCAACTGACCAACTTTTAGGTAATCCCTAAATGAGAAGTGAGAAGATCGACCATACTTCCGTGACCGAAAGGACTCTGCGTGAAATTTGGATCACCCATGAGGGAAGGCATCCCGTGTTCGTTAAGGCCCAGAGTACAGTCGGCGATGATCCGAACATGTTGGTTTTGCTCGTCAGATACCACAGCGGAAATGCTTAGGCGACCATGCCTTTTATCGGCATCGATACGAAACCAATCGTGTCCGGCGGCCATTTCGAGATCCATCTTAGGTTCGAAGCCCTCAACTGACTTCACCGATCCCGTGGAAAAAAGGCTGTATCAAAGCGTCAGTCTCCTCTGAACTGCCATTCTGGTGCGACACATACCACAGCGACCAGGGTCGATTCAGTATGAATGTCACCACAAGGAAACTGACCCATCAATTGTCCCTACATTGGTCAAACCAAAGCTTCACAAAAATTGTTCGGAGACTTTACCTTCATGATGAAGGCCGGCTGGGTGGTAGGAAAGCTTTAACTTGGTGGCGACATCTTGGACCTAGTATTTCTTTCACCCAGGGGTTTACGATGGATTTTCGAAGTTTTCAAATGATTGCAATGAATATAATAACTTTCTGTTTCCCATTACCTCGAGATATGTCATATTTATTTCAGGATCCCGTGGATGCTTGGTGGAGTGCCATACTGTATCCCCTTTGAGTCAAGTAAGTTGCTCCTCGAAGCTCAGCTTAATCTATTTGGCAGCGCGCGCCGTTTCCTACTCCGTCAAAAGACAAAGGTGCACTGCCCTTGCACGTACCTAGGTACTTACCTGGCTCGGTGGCGTTGATGTGGTTGTGAGTGACTCGGGGGTGCGCGGAGTTTTTCATCCCGCACACTGAGTGAGACTTTACAGTACACCCTTGAAAAACGATAGGCCCTCAACTCCAACGCAAATAACTGGTTTAAAATTGGTGCCAAACGGAGGCAAGCACGACGAAATGTTTTGCTGAACAATTAATGGCAGCATTGTGCGTGGACGTCCGTATGAGAGTAAGAAAGTATGTTGGTAAACTAAATAATAACAGTCGTAGAAAGTGACCTAAGGGCTTGCTTCATTTCTTTTTTGCTTCAATGATACTCTGTTCATCTCTCGAACTGCTCCATCAAGCAGATATTGTCCATATAATACATGAGCTTCGTAACCTGGGGCTGGCATATGTTTAAACTCCGGTCTCGTCTCAGAGCATTCGAGCATTACATAAGTCACTCTCACCTTGTCATCCGACACCTTCTCAACAATCCACTCCTGAAATCCTCCCAGCATAAACCGCCACGGCAATCCATAGTCCGCTGCTTTGTCCACTCTTTTTACCAAGCTCACAGGATTGTGCCAGTACATGACAGCACCAGCTGAATCCGTAGGACTTTCTTGAACAAGCGCAGCATTTGATGGGAATCTCGCGGAAGGTTCGAAAGCAGCTGCAGGCAGACATGTGGGTTGCAACCCTCTCGTATTCCCTCGAGTAGAGTTCCATGTTCCCAGTAAGAAAGCAATAAACGAGTCGTGGTTCCCATACAGGTGGCTCCCGGGCTCGAAAGATAACGGAGGTACCTCCTTGTCCAATAACCATCCATCTGGTCCGTTGGATCTTGCGATCAAAAACGCATGGAGAAAATTTCGCATCAAGGTCTCTGCATCATCTTTGCTGGCGTCGCCTCTGTATCCTGCAAGCAGCGAGGTTGGAAGTTCGATTTGGAGAGCGGAGAAGGAATGGATCCAGCGGTCATGTTGTTTACGACCTGACCATGACGAAAGTAAACCTCCATTTTGAAGCCCATGAGGAGTGTATGCAGCCGTGACGGTTGTGCCATCTATGAGATTCCGGCAGGCGCTTGATTTCGGAAGTTTGGTGATAGGAACTCGTGGACAGGACTGGTCAAGATAACGCTTGCCAAAGATTATCGCGATGCTACCTGTGACACCAAGAGAGAGGGCACCCGTGAACAAAGTCCGTTTGCGGATGAAGGACATTCCTGTCGTGTCTTATGTCAAGTACCTAGGCTAAATTTTGTGATTTTAGCGGATAGGTTGGCTCTGACTTATAGGTGGTCAGTGATATACCGGTATTACAACTAACCAACGCTAGTAAGCGACGACATGGATTGGCGCCTAGCACGTGCTTGATCTTTCCCCCTACACTATAGGTAGCGTACCGAGACGAGCCTTGGAGCCCGAGGGTCATGTCGCTAAATTCATCGTTGTATATCTAGGTAAGTATCTTAGTAGTAGCTTTTTTAACGTAACTAGATAGATAGTAGTTTATAATACTATGCTAACATCAACCTTACCAGCCGTCTCGCGGTTATCTGTGAACAAAGTACAACGAACATCAATCGAGAACCGTGAATTCATTGTATTTCTAAAGATGACAGGTTATAGGAATAATGTTTGGTTGAACTTTGTTTCTAATTGTCTGATGTAGCTCAAGGATCAAGTCCACGCACACAACTTGTTTCATCTATGCGATCAATTTATATATCTTACTGTAGAAGGTAGTCCTCCTGGAACTTGATACATTGTAAATCCAATCTATTATCTTTACCTTCAATATTGTATTGGGGGTTTTCCTGCGTTGTATTTATATCTATAGCCTCCATAGAGACTATCAGTATGCATAGAAGGAAAATATCTTTATTTCTTCTTTATAGATTGGAAATTACATAATGGATCTCGCTGGTACTACATGGAACTGTTCTCAATGTAAAAAGCCTATATTCTCTACTTGAATTTAAGTGAAGTTAGCTCTGCCAAATAATGCCTGAGAAAAGAAATCTAGAAAATTAGATTATTGTCACTGCCACGTTTCGCTAGATTTGCTTTATGCCCCCACACATCTGTATAGTATTAGAAGGTTATTGACGAAAGAACAAGTATACTTTAGGAGAAATTGCTAGTCAGTACATGTCAATCAGTTGTCTTCTTATTTCCAGTGGAAAGCTATAGATCTCAGAATAATAATTTGCTTACTTGAGTTTTTATCCCGTCTATGAAAATCTGTAGCAAAAGCTTCATAATATTGATCCGCCTGGCTTCTACATCACTGTTGTCTAACATTAATTTTACCGCCTACCGCTCTACGTAAAGAGCTTTCCACCAAAGAATTAGCAAACTTCCCCAAACGTCAAGTTCGACACAACCGTTGGCTTTGATACTCATACCACACATCACTGTCTACACCATGAGTGACGTAGAGCAAGGATTGAGGGTCGTACTTCTGCTTGATTTGAAGCAGTTTCGGATAGTTGGAGCCATACATGTCGTCTCGCTAGTTCTCTAGTTTCCAGCTGACCTCATTACCATAAGATCCACCGCCAGGAGTGGCTGCATCAAGCATAGGCTGCTGTACATCTACGTAGTCTACACGCTGCTTCATTACAGCTAGTGGGGAGGTGTTGTCCCAGTTCCGATCAGGGGCACAGAATAGGAGAGCATCACGCCAGGATGGATGCACTGAGTTATCTGGGTGCGGCAAGTTCTTGAGACTAATAAGAGTCATATATGGCATTGGATTAGCGTTCGGACCTAGAGTAGCGTTACGCATAGTATTAGTGATACCGCGATTTATAGTTGCATTTAAACCAGGTTGCGAGGAATTATTCGGCTATCCACAAATGGTGTATAACCAATAACGCCTTCCGGTAGAGGTCAAAGTAGTGATGAGTAATCATAAAAATAGCTTTGCGACACAGTAGGCGTATATTAATAATCTATGCCACGCTTCGTGAGGTCCCTTAGAAAGGGCTTTAGCATGGCGTTAACTTTGGCGACGTCTGCACTAGGCATATTCGTAGCGGCGATCTAGAAAACGTGCTGTGTGAGAAGATCAAGGAATGAGTATCCACTATTGTCCAAAAACGGAGATAGAAGACTATGGAAAGCTCCTATGACGTCCCAAAACCGATCAGCGCCAACCTTAGTATCATTGAACGCGAGGGAAGCACCACCAATAATGCTATCCTTAATACGCTCTGGCGGTAAGAGAAAGAATGACCGCATAGTTCCAAGAACCACTTCCACTGAGAGCCCAGTACAGATCAGAGTTCTTAGATGGAGTTGCGACCAGATGGCGTCCGTCCATGGTAATAACTTCCCACTCAAGAGCATTATCAGTAACCAGCCATGGCTCGTGGAGAGAATCGAATGACCTCCACCTTCAAGTGCTGGCAATCCCACCTCAAGGTAAACCTTCTGTTATTAATTTGATTAGGTTCACCCGGAATTCACGTATTTATCCTCCACGGGTGCTCCGAAGCTAGCTTGACGGAATACTATAGGTCAGAGTTCCTGTATAATAGCATATATTTTATTTTCGACATCCTGTGAGAGCTTTATTTCACGTATATGTCGAACTTAAGTGTCCCACCGAGTACAAAATCATTCCTCTGAAAATGGGTCACAAACGGATTTATATATGGAGGCGAGATTTTGATTAAATACAAACCAAATGCTTATTTACAGCTTTCTTTATCTACAGGATGACCTCCGACTCTTCACGTACAGAATCCACGACAATCATGGAGTCCGTACTTTGATTTCAAACTCCATCCTCGTCTTTCTCTTTGACCTTCAACCCATATTCTGTGACCAACGTCGTCCTCAACTCAACCTCCTTAATAATTATCGAAAGAGGCACACCTGCCAAAGTAAACGCAATCAGAACCTGCCATACTCGCTTGAGTGCTTCGGTATAAACATCAATGATCTGAGCCTTCAATATCGGGTTGTCGTTAAAAGACTGTGTAAAAGATGCAATGGCATGTTCGTAAGCTCCACCGCGTTCTAGGAGTGATCGGACTGCTGGATCGCTAATACGGTAGGACAATTCATCAAACCTAGAACTGAATATCACCGCAGGAATTGCTCCTCCCCAAATTGTACCTAGTGATCGTACGAAAGACCAAATTGCTGTTGCTAGTCCGACGTCTTTTTCTTCTAGGGATCCTTGGATTGCTGGGATTGTAGTAGTGAGAATCAGACCGCCGCCAATTCCGCCGAAAGCTTGGAAAACTATCCATTTACCAGGCGATGATGTGCTGTCGAGGGTGGTAAAGAGCCCAGCGGCTAGCGAGAAGGAAACCCATCCTGCAATGAGAGCGGGCTTATAGCGACCGGTCTTGGTAATGTACCAGCCGCCAAACATTGCTGCTGGCATGAGGGGGATAACGGTGGCGAGGAGATAGGCTCCAGACATTTCCGGGGTAACTTCGAGTAGGACTTGGAAATATACCGGAAGGAAGAAACTGAGCCATGACTAGAAAATGTCAGTATTGGATGTCATAAAGATTGGAAATTTACTGACCATGCAGATACCATGAATTAAAGTCATGACAAAGGCAAGTGTTGATACGCTGTTTCCGAACAAACGAGGGGGGACTGAAGCTAAGTCTTTGGCAACGTATACTTGGTATGCAGCGAAGATGAACAAACCCGCGAATCCAAGGAAAAGCGGTACCAAGACTCGGTAGGATGACCAACTGTATTTGGTGCCTCCCCAAGTCAGAGGGATCAAAATTACCACGACGGATGCTATCAGAATACTATGGCCTAGATAGTGAACTCTAAGCATTCTTTGTAATCTTGTACCTTCGCGCTTGTGGTGCATTTGTAGGAAGATGAAGAGCAGTACCAGCGCAACTCCAGCAACGGGAAGATTTATATAAAATACCCATCTCCAAGAAGAGTGCTGTAAGTGAAGGCTTAGTAGCCGTCACAGCAAGTATACACATGGAAGTGGGAAAACCAGGTAGAGAAACTAACCGTCACAATTGTTCCACCGATAACAGGGCCGACGAATGTTCCCAATGCAAAGAATGCTTGAATGGCTGCCATGCTGGAGAAAGTCAACACATATCCCTTTTGTTGCGTCTCCGGAGACAATCGGATCTTTCAAACTTACAATTGTTGTCTCTCTCGTAACGGGACAAGATCCGCCACAATGATTTCTACTAACGCAAATATCCCTCCGGCACCAAGACCCTGCACAACTCTCGCAGCAATAAGCATCACAGTCGAAGTAGCACCTCCACACAATCCACTGCCGAGGGCAAAAATCGCGACCGATATAAGCATAGGCCATCTCCGTCCATAGATATCAGAAAATTGGCCATACATGGGCTGAACAGCCGCAATACCAACGAAATATCCATTGATTGCCCAAATGAACAAAGAACCAGAGTTAAGTTCGGCGGCAATAGTTGGCAGAACGGTAGCTACGATTGCAGTATCAAGCGCGGCTAGTAGAATCGCAAAACATAAGCCTGGGAAGATGAGCCAGAACCTCCATCCTCGTTTCGTGGGAAGCGGTTCGAGAGGTTCGATTTTCGTGTCGATTTTTTCGTCCGGTAACGTTACTTGTGGCTCTTGCGGGTTTGATATCGCGAGATCACTGTCGTCTTGCGGTTCTGATAGTCGCGTCATTTGAGAATGATGAAGACTGCCGGAGCTGCCTGCGCTTGATTGGTCCAAATCGAAGGTGTAGAAAAAATGCTGGGATACGAGTAGAATGGACGTTCGTAGTTTCAACGCCACAGAATCGACATCTTTTTCTGGAGCTCTAGACAAAAATGGGATGGTAAGTATCAGCAGGAAGTTACTGCATATTTGGCAGCAAGGAATAGGGCGGAAAAAAAACCTCCGCGTTGTATTCTCGCTTAAAACAGAGCAATCTCAGGGGGGCGAACTGCCCGGTTGGTGTGCCGGGAATTTATCTTCTACACCCGTAATATTTTCGTTTCCTCTTTCTCACAAATAATCTGCGGCAACTGTAACGTACTCTCATGATGATATCGGGCTGCATGTGAGAGAATGTAACTCGTGTTCCCAATTATGACGCTCGATGTACATGCCTTGTCACGCGAGCGAGAAATTTCAGTGTGATCTCAAATGCATTTTATGCATTTTGGTAAGAGTTCGAAGAGACTTAACGGCATTATATCACGAGCACTGGAAGTTTGAGCTGGCTGTACTCCGATTTAATCGTTCGGTCCAAACTTTTTGGGACTTTATCTGAGTTTGAGAGGCGGAGAAAAATAACCGCACTTGTATCCCGAGGTTTTGTTGGACGGAGGGACTCTAGCACGTAGAAAACGCTACATTCGAAATTCGCTGCAGCTCCGTATTACTCAGCTCAAAAACGCACCACAAAGAAAATAATCTAACAGTGTACAACAGGTCGTTGAGATTGATTCGAAAGCACGTGATCTAACCGAGCTCCTCAGTTTTCAATACTTCCTTGAAAGAGTTCCCCATCAAAGGATGATTACTTTCAGCCTTTCCCTTCGTAATTCCCATCAGTAGACGCGAACAAGATATCTCCATTTTAACAACCAACACCAATTCACCCTCTTTTCCCTCTATCTTCCAGTCTCCCTTTTGAACAATTCCAAGCGGGGCATGAACCAAAGCCTCGACTCCGTTTTCAAAATCTGTGAGTTCGATTTCGATAGTGACTTTGGCGTCGTGAACGGCTTTGGGAATTTGAGGCATGTCGTTGATCACGCGGTAGGACTTTGTGTTTGGTGGGCTTGAAGTGGCGGGGACGAGTGTGTAGGATATCATCTGGGGATCGAGCTTGATCATCCAGTCATGGTTCTGTAGTGCTTTGACAGCGGAAATACGGTTGGTAGTCGGTGGGAGACAGTAATTGTGTATAGGGTTTTCTGTTGTAGAAAAGACTGGAGCGAGGTTTGAGGTTAGAAAATTACGACTATTGTCGCAAATGATATGTTCCTCTTTCCAATTCTAGAGACGGTGGAATACTTAAGATCCATCTTGGAAGAACTTGTGTTTGGTAGAGTAAGTGAGAAAAATCTATTTTTATGCTATCTCTTTAACAGATCTACCTCCACCTATTTTCAACGAAGAGAGACGATAAACATGAAAGAGCAGAGCAGAAAATCTTTACGCAATCGATCTATCCTTGGACCCTGTTTGTAAATCCGGCTTACGACAACAGATTGTGATGAATATTCTTTTGGTAGATCCGTACGAGCGGACCAATTGATTGTGCATAGTCTCGTTGACCTAGCATATGAAGTGGCATAACTCGGAATTCGCCGCTCGAGGGTAACACAAAGAACGCAAAGATGGCACAGATATCACCATCAACTGGCCGGAATCGACTTTTCCGCCTCCGTCGCCATGGCATTCGCCTTCTCAATAAGCCCCCCATAAATAAGATTCTCATCCACCAAAGCTTTCGTCGTCGGCGAGGTCGAAAGCACACGTATAGCATAGATGTAAAGTGACATGTTATCACACCTCATCTGTAGAAATCTGCAACATGTTTGAATTGCCGAAGTGATTGGCCACGTATGGAAATTGTTCAACTGTTGGAAACTCTCCAACTTGCGCCCCGGCAAGAGTTGGCCCATCTGCAGGGCATCGATGATATCTTTTACAGCGGTTGTACACCGCGAAATGGCGTCATTGGCGAGGAAAACAGGAAGTACTTCTTTGTGGACGCGTAAGAGGGCGCTTTCGTGGAGCATGATGTCTACCGTGTTCATGCTCATTCGGAGGGCCACGGCGACTGGATCGTCAGAGTTGTTAGTGAGGTGCTCTACCATTAGGGTGTTGCGGCAGAGCTCGATGGATTTATTGATATCGTAGTGAACTTCCCAGAAGTTGTGGGAGGCATTGTGTGAGGAATTCATATGGTTCACGATGCGTTGGTAGAGATGGGTCATTATTACTACTCCGGCAAGAGAGGATATCTGAACCCTGCCTGCAACATCGGGGTCGAAAATCACGTTTAGTGAGGGCATGGTTACGTCTGTATTGTTGACCACCTCTTGGATTGTGACATCTCGTCCGGGGAGAGGAATGTTGATCTGGTTTTTTTGTTAGCTCAATAGAACACACATTATGATCTGATTTAAATACCTCTTGGTCGAAAGCTACCCCTGATTGCGTTATGATGCTTGCAAAGCCGTCAAGTATGTAGAGAACCCAGAAAGTTCGCCGCATTTCTTCAGTCTTGACAGGATTGTGTAAACTAGGTGTTGGCGAGGGCCCTGACCACTGTGGAGTCATGACACTAGCAGGACGGCCATCTGACTGACCCAAGCCCATCATCTGAGCCAATCTCGTGGTCCTTCCCAGACTCATCCAAGCTCGACGAAAGTTTGGTTGCTTTAGCTCGTAAATAGTGAGTAAGGTACAAGCTTGTAGAGTGTTGATATTGGATAATGATTCGCCGGTCTCCTCCCTTTCACAGAGGTCGAGGAGGTTACGAGACTGTTGGTAGCAATTACTGACATGGCAATGAAGCTCAGGAACTGACAGCGCTCCTAGTGCTGCAATGGCATAAGATAAAGCTTGAACCTGAATAGTAGGTGTTGGATGTGAGAGCTCAGTCTCAAACCGAATCTGATCAACCATTCCCATCATCGGACGATATATATCAAAACATATGTCGTGACTAGATTCCGTGAGACTAAGCACCAAAAGTGAATTCGGGCAATGACTTACAGTCTTTGTACGAGCCCGTTGGAAAGTTCAGGCATGGTTTGATGGAGAGAAGTGGGGATACTATTGACCAACATAGTCTCGGGGTATATCATTTGAGTTCCATTCTGTATGGGGTTTGGAAGCATGTTCTCAATTTGATCAACAGACATTTCAGATGTGTAAGTATCAAATGGGAAGTCAAGGAAATTGACGGTTGTCTGATCAGGGCTACTAAGAGTATGCTTAGCAGGAATTTCATGAAAGATACGCCCACTCATAGTAAACGTCACTTACACCATCATATTATGCATAGCAGGTGTTTTCTCGGAGATCACACCTAGATCGTATAAGTCTGTCGAAGATGAGTGACAAGAAGAATCCAAATTCAGGAGTGATCCTAAATCTGAAGACCATGATGTTGCTCCCACAGAGGCGTTGCTAATTGAAGTTTGAGTGGCGATCTGAGCCTCTGCTTGTTCTGTGATGGTAGATGGTAAGCCAAAAATGGTCTTGCAATAACGGATCGACAAGAAACTCACGAAGACGCTTATTTAAGGTCGTAAGAATTCGTGAAAGGTCCAATTTCGATGGGGTCGATGTTGAACGACTTGAATAACGGCATGTGATGCCAAGTTTTACACATCGCCCACATACTGGGCGATGTCGATTGCATCGAATCTTGCGTTCACGACACGCACTACGCGCCTCCAGTTAGCACCGGTTGCGCAAAGTAACAAATGATTATACGAATGTAAATCTTATCCAAAATCAGAGGATAATAGCAAAATACACTCACTCGCACGCAACTCGAGTCGCGGGTGAGGGTTCAGTCTTCTCCCGTCCATCAGCTGTAGGCGACGCTTTGACGACGGTGGGAGGTGTAGTGCCGTCTTGAGTTGAGTGGGAACTGTTTCTACTTCCGAAGTTTTCCATTCTAATAAATGCTAGTCGCGATTCGAAGTGCTGGTAAGGTGTCACGGCGAAGATGTTAATGTGGGTGTTGCGTGAGAAAAAACAATCGCTAGGCTCAGCTGGCCTCCCCTCGTCTCAGCGTGTTAGGCGTTTGTTTGTTTGTTTGTTAGTTGGTTGGTTTTATTTATTCACCGATCTAGTATAATAACACGAGTTTACGAGTACTAAGATAGAGGCATATAGTAGGACGTATTCGGCGGTTTATAGGGTTCTACTAAGTTTAATATAAAGTATATTATTAAAATATAAGAAGTATATATTAGAAAATAATCGCTAGCTTTATATCTAAAGTTCTAACTTAAAATATACTTAAATTAAACTTAACTCTAGTAGTTCTAAGTTTTACTTAATAAATTTTAAGTATATTTACTATATAACTATATAATACTATATTTTTATATTACTCTCTTTTTAAAAATAAAAGCTTACCTTAGTAAGGTTTTTAGAGAAGTTAGCTTATTATTAAAGTTATAGTTTTTAGTAAATTTTAATATTAATTTGTTTTAAACTAATACTATATTATAGCTAGTATAGAGATATACTAATTAAGAAATAAAGTAAAGTTACTTAAACTTTATAAATTATTAAAATAAGTTTACTTTAGTTACTTTAATAGTAATTAATAAAGAAATAAAGTCTTTAGTTAAAATTTATATTTATAATATACTATAAAAAGCTTAATTTATATTTTATTTTTAAAATATATTTAATAATTCTATATAACTTATTTTAAAATAAATTATATACTATACTAGTAATTAAATATAGTTATCTTTAAAGTATATTTAAATTAGTATATTTACTAAATAAATAAAATATTTATTTCTCTAGTATTAATATTTTTATAGTATAGAATATTAACTAATACTTTAAATACTTTATTAATAAATACTAGAGGTTAGTTATAACTATATTTATCTTTAAAGTAGTTTTTAAAAGTATAAAATATTACTAGTATAATAAACTATTTTTATTAAATATAATCTTTTTATATAATAAGATAATATAATATTATAAGTCTTTAGATATTACTTTATATAAATAATTTCTAGAGTATTATTATAAATTAGTTATATATTTATAGCTAGCTAATAGGTAAATATATAACAAGAAATACAGTATATAAAATAAATTAATAGTTAGTTAAACTAGTCTTACTAGTAACTTAAAGATAAATGTAAGTATATAGTTTACTTTTTTATTTTCTTAGTTATTACTCTTTAGTAGTAATTAGTTTTTTTTAGCTAATATAATTCTTACTTACTTACTCTTATATTTAACTATCTATAAATAGTAGTACTCTATACTAGTTTATAATAAGTATTCTATTACTTTTATTTTATACTAGTATATAAATAACTATAGAAAATAGAGTAGCTATTTCTAGTAAGTATTTCTTCTATTATTCTTCTAGCTATCTTTAAATTCTATAGAATATTTTATAGAATTAATTTAAAAGATTAGATTTTTCACGTAGTACTAATATAAAATATACTTAGGTATATACTACTATCTATCTTCTTTGAGTATTCGCCCCTCTTCTACTGTACAATTGACACCAAATTAGTTTCTTTAAACTTCCTAGGCGACACGCCATTGTTGTACAACTCATCAATCTCAACATATGTTCGTCCCTTAGTCTCGGGAACCTGGAAGAATATGTATACAACGGCAAAAACAAGGACAGCACCAAACACAAACGCAATCTTCCCTCCTAGATTGCCTTGGTCCGGATTGATTGCATAAGGGAGAGCGAAGCCCCAAATACAAGCGCTCAATCCGTTCATGATTGTGGCAAGAGCTTGACACTGCACGCGGAGACGAGAGCTTGGGTTTTCTGAGATGATTGGCCATGCAACTGAGCCGATTGATGCTTGGTACACTAGGAAAATTAGCAATGTGATCAAACGAGGATTGAATCTTAAACTTACCAAACGACCAAACGCCCATGAAGGCAACTTGACCCCAGATAGCGCCAGAGCTGTTGATACAGGCCAAGATACCAATGAGGAAAAGTGTGACGCAAAGAGTTGCCGTTCCATAAAGAGCTGTCCCTCTTCGACCAAACTGCTCAACCAGCCAGGTACCACAGAGATTGCCGACGACCATTACACCGGACATACCCACACTTGCATCGAAAGCCTTCGCGGTACTTAGACCCCCAAGCTGCATGAAGTAACTCATATATCCAATGACCCACGAGTTTCCACAAGCATTCTGGATGAATATGATGCTGACACAGGCTAGAGTTCGTTGCCAATGGTCTCTCTTGAAGCAATCCGCGAAAGAAGCTTGTTCCTCGTTCTCGGATCGATCTTTGGCAAGAGCTTCTGAAATTTCTGCGAGGTGGCCGTCGACATCATAATCTGCGTTGTGAAGACGGACGATATTGTGTCTTGCTTTCTCTATTCTACCGTGGGCAACTAACCAATACGGTGATCTGAGAGATGTTAGTTTTCTTCATCTCGATATGCTTTGCAGGGGTGTGTAAGTTCGACTTACTCGGGAAAGAATGGCAGAATGGCTAGACCGACACCAGCGAATCCCCATTGTACTGCGAAGATGACTTTATATTGCATAGCGCCTTCGAGGAAACTCGCTTGACGTGTCACACCGTAACCGAGAAGCTGGCCAAGGACAATCGCAAAATTGGTTCCGGCTGTGATTGAACCTCTGATAACCAAGGGACTGATCTCGCTAGCATAGGTTGGTGCGATAGTAACAAAGCATCTGATAATATTAGCCTTGGTACCGCCTAATCAGTTTAGTGAGCAACTCACCCCAGAGGGATACCCGTAAGTAATTTGGCGCCAAAGTAATCGGCAGTGTTCCTGGAGAAGTATTGAAGAAAAACACCGCCAATCGTGAGCATGTAACCTCCGAGGACGCAGACTTGACGTCCCCAGCGGTTCACAACAAGCCCAGTGACCCAACCTCCAATAACAAGACCACCTAAAGTGGCAGCCTGTGAGTAATGTCAGCGTCTGAAAGATATGATTGGAAAAGACGATGTATTTACCTGGAAGGCGAGCTGCCAGTCGGCACTCACGACATAACCGCCGTCATACGGATAACCAAAGTCCTCTCGAAATTGTGTGATGGAGATCACGATGTTGCCGGCGAGTGAATCATAGCCGAACATTACACAGATGAAGAACATGTAGGCACCTAGTAAAAGCCATCAGAATGTGTAATGGTTTCGTTGAGGGGGGTACTTACACCATAACATCCCTTTCCAGTTCTCCTTGACAGCCGCAACTTTGGTTTGTGCATGCTGTGCTTCCTCATAATTTGCAACTGCCTTGGAAACCGCCATAGCGTGTTCATGGGGTCTTTCCTCCTCCATGTGAACCGAGTTGGTGTGTTTTTCGTCCATTTCTGATGGAACGAGGTGTAACACTAAAAATGGAATGAAGAGACAATCTCGATTCGACTTGTGCGTTGAGTGACAATGAAGGAGATGGGGTAACATAAAGCTGAGGAAATATCACAACTTTATAGATCACATCCAGAAGTCTCGTTTTCGGTGATCCGTTTCGCCATGCACCCCGCGTTCTAGCCCTCCCATCTGGATAATTTTTTGGTTCCATAATGATGGCTCGAGTTGAGACTTAGCCGGAGAATAGACGGAGAATAGTCTGGAGACTTACTGGAGATTCAAGAGTGGACTCTGTGGAGAGATGTGTGGCTGTGGCGAAGAACAACATTGGTCGTTCGTGTTGCATGGCACGACACCTAATCGGGTCGAATCATTCATGGATGATGGTTTGTTCACCCATCATTCAATAACCATCCTCGCGGCTGACAAGATGAGATGGCTGCCGAAATACAATATGTTTATCGACAACCTGGTATAATACATTTCGTCGAGTTTTTGCAGCTAACAAAACCTTCTTGAAGTCTATTTCGAAGCCTACTTAGACCAAGGTGCCTATGTCTTCAATATATAGAAGTTAATTCGATGATATCTGGTTTTTTGATCAAGAAACCCAACGAAGATAGGCCCTGCTTATTCGGAAATACTCTCGCTACTTTACAATTTCAATAGGGACGGAAATGAAATACCCGCCACTGGAAAGTGCTCGTTCTAGCTTCCTGGACATGATGATCGAGAAGTTGGGGAAGCAGGGCAGGTGTCTCGTGGTGTTGTTGATGGCTTAAGTCATGTGTCCGTGCGCGACCCCGGAAAACCGATTCCTGACCGGAGAATAGTGGGACAATAGACCAAAATCACCCGTCGTCCTGCTTCCCAGTACTCTCGACGGTGGTATGAAAAGTGCCAAAGATGGAGATGGACAGGTGGGTTCATGTCTTGTCTAACCTACTTGCTTCTGCCACCAGGTAAGCGTATCGTATAAAGAATGTGCTTCTTTCTGTTAATATCCCTATTCTCTTGTTTTCCACTCTCTTTTAGTCCCCCTTTCATCATGTCGGCCGCTACCTCAGACACAAATAACAATGTTGATATCGACGCCCTTTTAGATAAATTGACGCTGGACGAGCAGATCTCCTTGTTGGCAGGTGCAAGCACTTGGGAGACTGCCGCCATTGATAGACTTGATGTGCCGTCATTAAAGGTATGTCTTTCCCGCACCTCGATACATTCATGCAAGATTTGACTCTTTTTCGACAGGTCACCGATGGGCCAAATGGTGCTCGCGGCGAGACTTTTCTTGATGGTACTACAGCTGCCTGCTTTCCTTCCTGTGTCTCTCTCGCGGCCACTTTCAATCGCACCCTCTCGCGCCGAGTAGGGAAAGCCCTCGGCCAAGAATCTCAGACAAAAGGAGCATATGTGTTATTGGGACCGACTGTGTGCTCCCATCGATCACCGCTCGGTGGTCGGAATTTTGAAGCCTTTTCCGAGGATCCGCTGCTGTCTGGGTTGCTAGCCGCAGAATACGTGAAAGGACTGCAATCCGAACGCGTGGGTGCGACCGTCAAACACTATCTAGCCAACGAGCAGGACACAAGACGATTTTCCATCAACGAAACCATATCGGAACGAGCTCTACGTGAGATGTATCTGCGGCCTTTCGAGATCGTAGTCAAGTCCTCAGCTCCCTGGTGTGTCATGACCAGCTACCCCAAAGTGAACGGAATACATGTTGATAGTAGCAAGATGTTTATACAAGACATACTGAGAGACCAATGGAAGTTTGACGGGCTTGTCATGTCCGATTGGGGGGCAACGACGTCTACAAAAGATAGTATAAATGCCGGATTGGATTTGGAGATGCCCGGACCTGCAAAATGGCGGTCTCTGGATGCCGTGAAAGCTGCCGTCGACGCTGGCTCCGTCACATCCAAGACAATTGCTGGACGTGCCCGGGCTGTGCTTCAGCTCCTGCATAGGACTGGGAAATTCTCGGATCGGAAAGAGGCCGTCTCGGAGACTGCAATTGATAAACCAGAACACCGCAGCCTAATCAGAGAAGCTGGCGCAGAAGGACTTGTACTTTTGAAGAACACTGACAGCATTCTTCCTCTGGATATGAGAAATTGCAAGAAGTTGGCAATCTTAGGCCCGCTTGCAAAATATGCAGCAGCACATGGCGGCGGAAGTGCCTCACTCAATTGTCATTATAAGGTAACCCCTTTTGACGCATTTACTGCTAGACTTGGCGCCGAGACTGAGATTTTACACTCAAAGGGTGCACATATATATCGTGTGTATCCAGAACTTGAGGCTGGATGCACGAACAAAGAGGGCAAACCTGGGTTTACCACAGAATATTTCGCAAACGAAGAGCTCGAAGGTAAACCATTCTATTCTCAGGGCTTCCCTCGAGGTTATTTTATGACAATGATGGACGATAAGGCTTCGGGCAAAAAGTCAGTCCGACTCACCACCTCTTTTGTTCCTGACACGAGCGGCAATCACTATTTAAGCTATTCGTCAATGGGTACTTCAAAGATGTATATCAACGACACGGTTATATCAGAGCAAAAGCAGTCAACAAAGGATTCAATGGCTTTTCTTTTGGGGACTCAGGAAGAAAATCGCTTCCGATACTCCTTCACGAAAGGCCAAGTCTACAAGATTCACGTTGACGCATGGGTTCCAGCTGAGTTAAATGGCGAGCTTTACTTATTTGACGGTCATATAGCTGTTCACCTTGGGTTTGTTAGCCAGGAAGAGATGGAACGTGATGTGCTCACCGAGGCAGTTGATCTTGCAAAGAAGGCTGACTATGCGATTTTGTTTGTTGGTAACACGACCCAGTGGGAGACGGAAGGCCAGGACATGGAAGACATGAACCTTCCTGCGGACGGCTCGCAGGATCGTCTTATAACTGAAGTCGCGAAAGTCAATTCAAACACTATTGTGGTAAATACTACTGGTGTTGCTGTCAGTGTACCTTGGCTTGACGAAGTCTCGGCACTTGTTCAGGCGTGGTATTCGGGGCAAGAAACTGGAAATGCAATTCTCGACGTGCTATTTGGCAAAGTCAATCCTTCGGGGAAGTTACCCATTTCCTGGCCGCGGAAATATGAAGATACTGCTGTTTGTGGAAATTTTGGGTTGGACTCTTATGAATCGAGAGAGGTTGAGTATGTTGAGGGTGTCTACGTAGGCTATCGGCATTTTGACAAACACTTTGCCACAGAGAGGCAGGTGCTGTTTCCTTTCGGCTATGGTTTGAGCTATTCCACCTTTTCCATTTTAGAAGTCTCCCTCGAAGGACGGATATCAAATGACACAAGTGATGGCGTTACGATATCTGTAAATGTGGAAAACACCGGGAACCTGGCAGGAGCCGAGACAATTCAAGCATATCTCGCACCACCAACAATTAATACCATCGACAGACCACTCAAGGGGCTTGTTGGGTTCAGCAAGGTGTTTTTGTCTAAAGGAGAGAAGAAGTCGACCACGATCAGCTTTCAGAAAGATTCGGCAGCATTTTGGGACGTGGTGAAGCACAAATGGGTCATTGAAAGGGGGACATACAAAATCCTCGTGGGCACGAGTTCTGATCCTAAAGATTTAAAAACAAGCTTGAAAGTAGATGTGCCGCAGACCTTTAGCTATGAGCCATAGACATAACAGATTCGACTAAACTGATGCCAATAAATGATACCAGTAGCTTGGTGTCTTTCGGAAAGATTTCCCCGCTTGATAATGTGGGGTACATTAGAGGTACAGGCCTGATCCTTAAAGAGGGCTCAACTGGTTCCACTAGCACCTGAACCATGATTCGCTGAACTAGTACTGGCGTGGACGTTAGGAGGTCCTCAAAACTCCTGAAAAGCCAGCCCGACTGCAACACTGGAACGTCAACTGCAACATCACTTTGCTCTCCCCTTGATAATGACCTCCCACACCTGATGGCAGCTGGCGACACGTTTAGTCGTGGGCATGATGGCGCCTAGTCAGTCAGCAACGGTACATCCTCCTCGGTTGCATCACTATTATGGCTTCCAGTCGGGCTGGGCAGCGAATTGCGCGTCGTGCTTGTGACCTTTGCAGACAGAGGAAGATCAAGGTAAACATACCTACAAAAATCTGAAACTTTTGACTGATAATTGAAAGTGCCGCGTCGATGATTTGGCTCCACTTTGTGACGGGTGTATAGAGCTAAGTGTGCCGTGTACTTTTGAGGACCAGCAAAAAAGGAGGGGGAGACCGCATCGGTGAGTATTTATATAAACATGAAGTGACGTATTTCTTTTCTAAGCATAGTTATTGATACACTATGCATGGCGACTCGAGAGCTTGGATCAGCCAAGCTGTTTCTGCATACACCTTCTTCGGAAGATGACTTCAGTCATGTTCTACGTGATCAGATAGTCCGCCGTGTGCTATATGACAATGAGGACCTAAGAACACCTCTCCAGTTACTCTGCGCACTTGGCTTTGGCTTGTTCATAGTTCTGGCTGATCACATCAAACAGAATCGCGGAACGATTTTTGGCATCCCGTCAGTCGCCATCTTCGGACACATTTTCCTCTTCGCCTATGGCACCACACCTTCAACCCATACCAATAGCAATTAATGGTCTTGGCTTGCATAACCTTTGTCCTCATGAAACTTTTGATCTTATAATTGAAGATTATCTTACTTTTATCTACCCAATAACTCCGATTGTTCACCGTCCATCGTTCCTCCACTCTCTGTCAACTCAAGCTTACTTGACGGACCCTCCATTTCTCCGTTTATGTTTTGCAATATGTGCTATGACCATCTCATCCCTTCAAAGGAGAATGCCACGATACGGATTTGGACATTATCTTGACGCTAGAGAGATGGTCAAGAGAACTGACCAGCTCATTGTCGCTTCTCAGTTATGTTTTCCTGAAGAAGAAGTATCGGAAATCAGTATGATTTGTACTCTCTTGATGGGTATGTCTTGTCATTATACAGAACAAGCTACGAGAGGTTGGATCTTGATTAATGAGAGTATTCAGTGCTGCCGCTTTCTAGGATTGGGTGAAAGAAGAGGTTACACCGGAAAACCTCCTGTCACAGCGGAGATCTGCAAGAGGGCATTTTGGATGCTGTACATCATTCAGATGTGAGTCCATCAATCTCAATCAAAAAGATCAAGCAAAGTGGCTTCGTCATTGACAATTGGCAGACATGACCGGCTATCACATCTAACTCCAGACACACTTCTTGGTCAAGATCCTACAATGACAGACTGGATATTTCTTATGCCTCTAGAACTCGACGATGAACATTTACCAAATACCAGTCGCGAGTCCGATGACATTGAAAGTGAAAATGCGACAGCCCCACTGATATCTGGCTTTGTGTCTCTCATCAAAGTCTTTATTTGTGTCATTGGACTCTTGAACGAAGATCACAGCCAAGCTCCATCTCCAGGCATAGTCTCCAATACAATATCATCGGGTGTTCCTCCCCTCACAACACTCAAGCTTCGGAACAACAGTCTCCAGAACGCAACTTTAGACTACCCTGTGATACTACAGAGTCTGAAGAACATTGTCTTCGAATTTCCGCAAGAGTTACAAAGTTACACAATACCAGAAATGTTCTCCAACGACCAGCCTTCATCGACGCCTCAGCTTGATATCATGAAAGCCAACATCCACATAACACGCCTCTATCTCATGTCTTCCGTCCTCGAATCCAGCGCTTCCTCTATACCCCCAACGCGCGACGCAATCGTCGCAATTTGGAATGAGCGCGAGTCCATTTGCCGACAATTACTGGAGGTGGTACATCACTGTCCATTACAGACTTTGGAGAGCAATGGAACGAGTATGGTAATCAAGATACGGGAAATTGCAAGTACGCTTTTGACACAACCTTATGATTCAGAGGGTGTAGGGGTCAGTCATGTCGTGGAAAGATCGAGGGCATATATTGAGAGTTTTATTGGGTTACTTGCTGAGCTAGATGTACCAGCGGAGATGGCTGTGATTGCGAAACAAGCCAGTACTTCGCCGACTCTGATATGAACGAGGAAAGCGGAGCTGTGACAGGACTTCACATCCATAGCAGTAAAGTGAATTGAGGCAGGCGCTATGTGCCAAACTACGCCGATTTTTGGGAGTATATGAATCCTTTCTGAGTCCCGTTGGAGCAGTAGTGACCCTCCCAACACATGTAATAACCCCGGCCAGAACATGCGCGTGAGATATTTTTTCATAATCACACGTGACATTTGACAGGATGTTTGCTGACAGTGGGATAAATGATCACTTCCTTGACTGAAAATTAATAACAGTCAAAATACTCTGAGGGGAAGCCTTGAAAGTTATTGTATCGTACCTTTTTTTTAAGGATTGCAGTAAAAGTGAAGTACTAAGCCATTTCCAGTCTTTATTCCTCAATTCCGCACCTTACTTAACATCTCCACCAGCAAGATGGCTATCCAACAATCAACACCCCACACGAAACTCTTCATACAAATGTCCGGCCGTCCAGGTTCCGGGAAAAGCACCCTATCCAGACTCCTGCGCTCATCCATCAACGGCGTAGTAATCGACCACGACATCCTCAGATCACCACTTCTCGAATCCAATATCCCATTCAACCAGGCTGCAAAATTAGCTTACACGCAACAGTGGCGCCTAGCCGAAGACTTTGCAAAACAAGGTGTTGAAAACATTATTATCGACAGTCCTTGTAATTATCAAGAGGTTCTTGAGCAGGGATCTACGTGTGCGAAACGGTTTGGGTATACATTCTGGTATATTGAATGCCAGATAGAAGACGCTGAGATGTTGGAACGGCGGCTGCAAAATAGAGAGCCGATGACGAGTCAACGGACTGGGATTGAGGCTCCACCTGCTGCTGTGCTGGGTGGGTGTGTGGATGAGGACGCTCGCGAGGTTCTTAGGAAGTGGACTAAAGTTCCCTGTCGTCCGGATGAGAACACTGTTCTTGTTGATTCTGCGGGCGATCTGGTGGTGCTGAGAGATTACATCCTGCAGCAAATCGTGTAATAGGGAACTTGTGTGTCACTTTGGGTGGCAGTGCATCATCGTTTCGATCACCAGTACGTCTCGATTCAGTTAATCTCTCACGTATAACGTGGTGATAGCAACGGATTGTATTGCCACGGATCGTAATTCCTTGGTTTCTGACCACACACTACTGAATGCAGAAGACCTAAAGTAATTACTCAGGTGCTTCACATGAGATAGAAGATGTTTCAAGAAAGAGATAATATGAAACGGATTGTCCGACCATATTTATACCCATTGGCATCTGTCCGCCCAACAAGTCTACAAATGATTGGTTTTCATCTTGGTATGAATGCTTGAAGCTTTCATTCGGTTCCGTGCCTACTAACGACCTTCAAATATGTACCCTTGAACGAGGATCTTGAAGAAGCCAATAAGCCGATCCAATTTGGACGTAAACAAAAAAGAATGTATTTCCAACTCAAACAAATGGTGAAATTAGATTTCAGAGCCATCAGTTATCCTCACTTCATCAAAAAACAGATAATTTGTGATTAAAATGGGCAGAAGGTAGAGACAGCGAGTTGCTGAAACTTCCTTCTCAACTTGTTCCCTTCCACATGAATACAAAGCTTATTTTGTAAAAGTGTGTCAGCCCAGAAGACTGGTCTCGAAACTACCTTTTACGGGAACGAGATGACTTTGATTTGATCGTGATGTGGCCAAATGTTGATGATATGCTTACAAAGCCAGAAAATTGGATGGCTTATTTGTAGTTCTTCATGAATACCGTAGTGTATCAAGTGACTCCGGTTGAGATCTTCAACTGTCATTTTATGAAGGGTGCATACCATGAAGTCGTGCGTCCTGAATCTGCAACTTTCACTTGCGCAATCTGTAGAAGTACACCGTGCCGATGAGATTTGTTTGAGGGAGATATCGGTGATAATTGACATAATTGGCTTGTTACAAAATCGCCTTTCTTGTTCGCTCCAAGAATTTTAGTGAGAGAGGAATTAGCACCCAGACACGAGCAAATAAATTGAAGCTGCTATATTATAGCAGAAAAAATACTCGCAGTCAGCATAGATTATTTCACAAGACCTCAAGGCTCGTCAAGAATTCATAGTATCGCAAAGATTTCTTCTCTATAGACTCGCCCATCTGACTTCCACAATCCCTCATTTATTTGCAGCACAGTATAAGGCCATTCGTTGAGAAATCTCACGCTTGCTATGTATACAGAGCTGAAGTTTGAACATAAGCCTGACTACAACCCCAAAGAAAGATCCGGCACCATCGACCAAACATGAGCTGACATCAGCACAGCACCGCCATTTCGCCAACCCTCACTCAACTTTTTTACTCTCCCAAACCTTCCAACCTTTAATTGTATGACCCACTCATTCTCAGCCTCACGCATCTCATGTCACGAAAGTTCATAGCAATAACCTACGCCAAGTTTCAGCATCGACAATTAACGTTACGTACCTGAAATCTCTTATATACTCACGTGCAGTCGCTTACTCTCACAAACACGAGTTCTTAATATCGAAACGCGATACTATAGGCTCTTTTCAAGTATAGCTGCACAGATTACAGCAAACACGTGGTATTCTCCTATTTCGGACGACAACGCCATGGCATCATCAGCTTTCAGCTCACGAATAAGTCTGTGTAATAGCTGATAATTAGACTTTCTGGAAGATGCTTCTGTAGTCGATGGTCAGGGGTGGCAGTGAGAAGTGGTTGTTGCCAAGATTGCGTGGAATGTAGATTGTGCTTCGGATGTTGCGGCGGTTTCAACAGCTGACCGGTGTTTGTATGTTTGTCAGTGTGACTATGAATTGCTGTAGTGTCGTAAGATATGAGTTTATGAGGGTATATATATTAGAGGACAATCCTTCTTCACTTTCTTTCCATACCATACAATAACTACATTCAAAACAAGTCATAGAACGCTCTAATATTACTCTTCCATCAAAATCCATCTCAAACTGTATAATACCCAAAATGTATACCTCGAACGCTCTCACAACAACCTTCCTCTCCCTCCTCAGTCTCGCCACCGCTCTCCCAACTACACCACCCACTGAACTCGTTCCACGCTGCGGAACAACTATCCTCCCCGTCCTTCATAGCAGTAGGTTACCTTTCATTCCCGCTTTCTTTTCGTCCTCTTTCTTCAGCAAGATGTCAAGCCCTCAATCCCTTCCACAACTCACATCATCCAAATCCAAAACCAATGCTAACACCCCCAGTCTCCAACAAAAACCCCTCGCAACCCGCACCCCTTACAACAACCTTCAGCGTCTCCACCACCGTCAACCCAGCACCCCAACCACCAACCCTCGTTAACACAATCCTAACCTTCCCCTCCATTCCCGCCAACTCCTACGGCTGCACAATCGCCTACCGTATCCCCTCCGGCACACCTGTAACCATCACCGGCAACCCAACTTTAAACATCACCACTCTAGGTCCTACATCTGCTGGCTACACATGGGATTCCGTATACGCTCAACAACCGCAGCCGTTTACGCATGGACTTTTCGGAACGGTGAATCTGGCGCAGGGTGGTGAGGCGGTGGTCAATAGTATGGCATGTCCGGTTGGCGGGGGACAGTTGGTTTTTATGGCTGCGATTGCGAATTGGGTTTGGGGGAGTGCCGGGGTGGAAGTTGCGCAACAGAATGGAGCGGGGTTTTATTTGACTTATAATTGTTAACTTAGATGATGTTGTGATGTGGATGTTGAAGAAATGGGAAGAAAGTGTTTGTCTGGGTGGAATGAGGGTTGGGTGATGGTGGAGGAAATTGAACGGTGATTGAAAAAAAGAGGGGGAGGGTTCTGAACTAGCGAGTAAATCTGAGGCTTTATTATACACTACACCTAACTTGATGGACGTACCGCATCTCTCATCATATCATATACCTACTTAGGTAATTTCAGTAGGTAAGATACCTCATATATTGCAGTGCGAAGTAATCGACACATTTGCTCATGACTTGAGGGAAAAGGACCACGCTTTCAAAACCCACTGCCTGAAAAGCCCGACACTAATGATATATTATGTGCTCGCAATTCGATAGTATCAGCGATGAGCCATGACATTCTAATATTATGAGTTCGCCACATATCAAGTTTTCCAAGCCGGTAGTTTTAGAAATCAAGTCGGGGCCGGCGTATCGGCTCCGTGTCCACGCGTTCTACGGATTTATCTGAAACATTGACCGATTTTAAGGTGGTGTAACGAGAGTGCGCCATGGCTGCCTAGGTAACTCGTATAGGACCTTGTTTATTGGTGTTGTATCCGTGTTATGTCCATGTGGTATCCGCGGAAAGATACCTATCTAGGCACGAATAAAATTCCTGTCTCTTCTCCTGACTAAATGCATGTGTTACATTGCATGCTAAACACGCCATTATCGGACGTTAAACCAGACCTCACGACCTCACGGTTCTTTCCACTGCACACAGAAATCTCAACAATAGGTATCTGCAGGTTTGTGATCTGAACATCTCGACTTTTGATCTCAACAGTACGGGTCATTGTCAATGCAGCACTTTACAGCCAAGTGGGGTATCCGGAATTGTTTGTGAAATTCCTAGTCCGCGCTCGTCACTTGTCTCCGTAGTTCGATATCTGGGGTTTCAACTGCTCTAGGCCATTAATGGTGATTTGATACGAGCCCTGAAGATGGGCGATCGCACTGGGGCTGTAACTTTATTCTAATAATAGAAGGCGCGTGTTATAGATGCAATCGTCACACACAGCGCTCGAACAACTCTATAACTTCTCGGAGTTTTCAGAATTTTGTCGCACTGTAATTTGTTCTCGTTGCGTCTGCAAGTCGGTGAAGCCGAATATATTCTACATTCTTGTAGGCATCGCTTACTACAGTACGTGAGCTTTAAGCGAGTGATTGCATTTCTTTAGAGACATACATTCATGAACAACGATTCCCCACAAAGCCGTGATAATTGGAGACAACTTGCATTTGTGATTCAGCCGAAAGCGACTGTCGTGTGCGACTCTTCCTAGTACTTAAAGTTTTATGTACTCCCCAGTGGTAGCATGGCACGGTGCATGCTAGCTTGCTAAGGCTTGAAGAGAGATGTGATGTGTTAGAGAGAATAATTCCAAAGACAGAAGGTGACAGTTACGACCAACTTTGCCAACTGGCATAGGACTAATGTAACGTGTTTAATGCAATCGCAGGCAGCAGTATATACTAAGTCCGTTTCTTCAAGAACTGTTAAGAGATGGGACCCTACGTGTGTTGAATGGCTTGGTTCGTTAATCATGCTTCAACCTCTTTTAAAGCTTTCATTGAAAACCCTATGTATCTTATTCATTCAAACATGGCAGTTGGTAAGATTTTATTGATTTCAATACCATCTGTTCATGCAAATACTTGGAAGTCAGTATGCATAATTGTGCCGCAGTACTTTGGATATTAAACCATAGAGTAAGTGTATTTAAGGTTACATGACGGGGTGAACCCGTCGCTAGAGAAAACTTATTGAATCGCTCAACGATTCTCACACTGTTCAGTTACATATCTGCAAGGTGACACTCGGGTACTCGCTTCCCCGATTCAAGTACGCAAGCACCACAATCCCATCAACATAGCTACCCCACCATTATTCCGTTAAGTCATTATTCTGGTACCACCGGGGGAAAGTCTCTCCGTTGAAATCTTCAAATATCTATTTTGACATCCAAGCCAGAGAGTTCCTGGTAATCGGCGGGGTATAGAAAGGTTCTGCTCGTATTGATGGAGCTGGATTTCTATGTAGCTATATGGTGCTTGACACTAGGGTACACATGGCACTTTGCACCCTGAGTTACCTGCATCTTTTCAGATGACTTGGCAATATATCTGCAGTCGTTCGACTTCTCGAAACCACAGTTTTTTAAGTCACATTTCTCTGACAGAAACTTAATGTAATTCCCCTCAACAGTTTTTATAATTGTAGTGTCAGTAAGTAGACAACGTGACCTGCGAGACAGAAGTGAGTATCCTTCGGGGCTCATTTCACTTACTGGATCTAGAACAACCATGTCCTTTTTCCATTCTACCTTTCTAGTGCCTATACGAATTTGAAAGAAGCTTCAACCTGGACAATGAGACCGGATGTGCGCTTCGCACAATATGCTACGCAGAGACCTTCCTCGGAGAAGGTAGTGAGTTTGAGCAGCTATGCAGCTCATGCCCAATTAGAATGGGACAGATACGGAGGACTTGTCACTTACTTTGCCAAATTATATGATTCTGGGAAGCACACGCATCTCATCCCTGAGTTGAATATGCGTGTGATGGCTGTGGGGTTCCGTTCCTAGTCTTGCAATCATGTCACTACAGACAACAAATATTCCGGAGGAGATGTAGAATGGGAGCAACAACACATTCTAGAGCCAAAGAAAAGGTATAAATAAACCTCAAAGACCCTCTTCAATCCAAACATCCAACCCTCAACTTCCATCTTCATCTACCCTCACGAGCCCCCCCAAACCACCACCAACTATGCATTTCCTCGCCCTCATCCCCGCCATCCTCACACTAGCCACTTCAATCGTCGCTCTCCCCACAATCGATGGCCCAGACGGTCTCTACACCACCCAGCTCGAAGCCGACGGCTCCAAAACCGTCATCGACTTCACCCCTCTGGCCGACATTCTAAACATCACTGACACCACCGCCATCACCACCAATCCCACCGGTCTGCAAGCCCGATCCGCGGCCACGCACTGCGAGAGCAGCAATCTCAATCGCAATGATCTGATTCTAGCGTGGCGATGCATGGTCGATGCGTTTGGAGGAGGGTATAACACCGTTGACAACTCCGCTGTTTTTGTGCGTTCCCAATCCTTTCAACTTTATATACATCTGTCTAACACCATTTCTTTGATACAGTGCAAGAAAGGAGGCGTAGTTGCCTATTTTTGCAGCTACACCGCTCAAACGGTCAGCGGGCAGTCGTTTCAAGATGCGCTCACGGTTATTAGTCTTGTTCGCGGTGGGACGCAGGCCGGGTATCAGCGATGTAAGAATGATTGTGGTACTAAAGACTCCACTTTTGGAAGAAACAGCAATGGATTGGATTTTTGCTGGAAGGGGAATGCGAAGTAGATAGGTCGTTTGGGTATCTTGAGGATTGAGTGGTTAACTTGAATGCTGGAAGCGTCGCTTTCTTGAGGTACATAGAATGAGCCAAGTGTTGGTCTGCGAAGGATGAGGATGATGATGAAGGTGTATGCGTTTGGTGGTCTTCTTTGATGGACTTATATGGTGGACTTTGGATGATGGATTTGACGATTTCGAAAAGGGGTTGATGCTTTTTATCATGAAGTGGTGATTTGGTAGCAAAGTGAATTGTTTGCAACCATAAATTTTCAATACACCTCTTTTTTTGATCAGTAGTGTTGTTTAAAATGATTTCCAGCAAGAGCAGCAGGAATAGATGGAATTGGGAGTGTCTGGGATTTTTGTGGCTGATATACCAATTCATCTGTATAGCTTGACGTCTTCAACGAAAAGAAAAACACTGCATAATTTCAGTTACAGAAAAAGGTGCCTCCCCTAAAAGTGCTGCAATTTCTACAGCTAACATTACATTGCAGTACTGACAGGATAACCTCCTGGTATAGCGAATGTTGCGAACACGACGTTCCACCACTTTGCTCTCAATAGGTATATCTACCTAGCTTGGTAAACGAGATAATTTATATGTACTTGTACGAAATAGAGTAACCATTGTATTTTGGACAGAGTAATTTCATTCTACCGCAAGAAGGGGATCCCGTCAAACTTACAACGCACTGCGGGGGCCTCTTCTCTAATCCCAAAGCCCGAGGTTAACCTTGTTCGATAACTCTTTTAGCCTTCGAGTGCGTAAATAACATATTGGTAAAATGTCAATTGTAGCTTAAGATTCCCAAGTTGTTAGATGTTTGTTCCCAAAAAGAGTTCGATGAATAGCTCGAACGTACTAAACAGGACAGGGGAGGTTATAATAAAAAATATTCCTCTATATAGTAAAGTATCAAAATCATTAAAGATGGAAAGAAGGATAAAAAGGTTAGCGATATTCTCCTTTAGGATCAAAGCTGAGAGGGATTGTATCATGTACGAAGTATAGTTAGATGCTAGACACGTAGGCGGGTGTGGAGAGGAATGATATTCTCTGCAAGAGCACATCATATCATGTGGGAAAATAGAAGTGTGTAGTTCTCCAAACCGTTGATACGGTCAGTTGTGGTCAGTTAGTCACCACGTTCTTTATAGAAAGAAATGCATGCACTGAATGAGCGAATAAACTCGAGGCTTCATGAACATAATGTGCTAACCTAGCACAAGTTGGATAAAATGGTCCGGATTCGGCAATTTCGCAGATTATGGTCTGACTGGACCACGAACAATGGGAAAATTGGAAACAAAAGTACAGAAATAGTTGGAGAGCACTGTAGTATTCTGAGAGTTAATTCAAAGGCTGTAGGTGGTATCGTTGTTGATTTAGGTCAATTGTAGTTGGTCTTTAAAAACCGGACATTTTCATCCACCGCATGCCTAGATAAATTTACCGTCTCTTTCCTATCGTATCATATACCTCGTTGATGTGTACATGTTGTAGCACCATAGAATCGCTACGGTAGATCATAGCTTAAAGAGACAGAGACCCCGTTCTCGAAACCTTCAGCTCAATCAACTCATTAGCAGTTATCACATGTATATGCTTCAATTTGGCAGCATCGACGATCCATACATTGGGTGATGCAAGCCTTTCATGTAGAAATGAGGAGATGCAAACAACACCACGCAGCCAGACCACCACCAAACCAGACGATCAATATAAATCCAACAGTTCAACAACGCATCGAGATGTGATTGGAAGTGAGTCCCACCACCCGATGAAGAGGTGCGGTCCCTGATGCAGCATTTTCCCGCTTGTCAAGCCGAGTGGACCTTCTCTCCCCTCGGCATGCCGTGGCCACAGACAGATGGTGTTCTGGCCGCGACGAAGTGCGCAATTGTTGGCAATACTTAGTATTTGATGGTGGGTTGCATTTCAACCTGGAGAATATATGGAAATTATTCCCGTGTTAAAGCACCCTTCGATGTTTTCAAGTCGAGACTTGTTTGTATATTCGCATAAGATACGAAGTATATCAATCAGACCATCCACAAGGTCCCCGCCGAAATGGTCGTGCAAACGGAGATACAAACGCACTTGTCGTTGCGCAAACGCCAATCGTGGGGTGCGGGAGGAGCCTTCTCGGGAGCGCCACCTGACAGCGTTTCGGTCCCTGGGTTTCTTCAGTGACACTGTGTCACCACACTTTGTCACCACACTTGGATCCTTGAACACAAACACAAACTCTCATTAGTTGTCCATTCTGACCACCACAAACTCCGAAAACTCGTTTGTCGTAAAGAAAAGAAAAGATGAAGTCCCACCTGCATCCACTGGATCCTCTGATAAGCCCCAAAGAGTATCTAGCGCGCTGCAAAGTGGATGTGCCGCACCTGGTTCCGTCCTTTCCCCCGGCTTCTCGAATTACGCGACTGCATTTCCCAGCATTCACTGGAGTCACTGTCCACCCAGCGGCACCCACCCTCACCTCCAGCATCAAATGACCCTCTCGTCCACTTTTGACCGACGCCACGGGTGCTGGCAGGTCCAACACGGTCCCCATCCTGCGCATCGTTGCCGCATCCAGGGCCCTCCCAGTGCTCTGTTCGCGTGGACGTTCCTCCCAAAAACCCGTTCGCCGGGAATTTCTTTGAACTTTCGTCCTCGTCGTGTACACTTCACATTTCGCGTCAATATGCCTTCGTTTGGCCATCTGCACGTACACTGGACCGTCGTGGTCGCGGTGCTGCTGCTGCTGCTGCTGCTCTACGTGACCGCTGGCGTGGTGTATCGTCTGTATTTCAGTCCCCTGGCCAAGTTTCCGGGTCCGAGGTTGGCTGCGGCGACGTTGTGGTACGAGGCCTATTACGATGTGATCAAGGGGGGTCAATACACGTTTAAGATTAAGGAATTGCATCAGAAATATGGTCAGAATCCATGAATAGTACCAATCTAAGAGGATAAGCTGACGTGGTAACAGGTCCAATTGTGAGAATCAGCCCTCATGAGCTTCATATTGATGATCCGGATTATTATGAAGTACTCTCATCGCGAACTTCTCCAAGGAACAAATATCAGTATTACGTGGATCAGTTTGGTCTTCCCGGTATGAAAAAATTCCAATCTTTCGAATCCTCTGCAAAATCACTTCAACATCTCATCCTCACCTTCAAATTTTGGACTGTCAAGCACGTGCAAAAACAACAAATCCAATGTCCCTTGTTACCTGTATGACTGTATGAACAGTGCAGCTATCCTAAATTGCCTGTACCGTTTCCGACTCGTGCACCTTTAATTTCCCTGACCTTTCAATATATACATATTGACTTCGATCTATCTAGGATCCTCCTTCAGCGCAGTAGACCACCGCCTGCATCGTCTCCGGCGCCAACCTCTCAACCTCTTATTCTCCAAAGCAAGCATCATTCGTCTCGAACCCACCATCAACAGCATCATCGAGAACCTCTGCCACCGCCTCGACGAATTCAAGAAATCAGGTCAACCGGTTCCCATTAGATTAGCGTACCAATGTCTCGCCACCGACGTTGTCACCCTCTATTCCTTCAACAAATCCTGGAATTACCTGGATGATCCAGATTTTGCTCCGAACTGGTGTGAGACGGTCAAGGCGACGGCCGATATGGGACATACGACCAAGCAATTTCCATGGTTGTTTCCCGTTCTGGAGGCGTTACCTGATAGTGCCGTAGCTGCTGTTTTCCCGGGCATGTTGTTATTACTTAACTGGCGAAGAGTAGGTCTATCATCTTCTTTCTCACATATGAGATCCTAAATTTGTGCACAGAGTCTCGCAGCACACATCCAAAAATCCATCGACAGCAACGCCAAAGGTGAAGACATCGGCGGCGAACTACCCCGCAGTATATTCCAATCACTACTCGAATCTAATATCCCAAAAGAGGAAAAGACTCTTCTCAGGTTAACCCAGGAAGGTCAAGTTGTTGTTGGTGCTGGAGCTGATACCACTGGAAATGTATTGACAATCACGACGTTTCATCTCTTGAGCAATCCTGATATCCTGGCCAAATTGCGAAAAGAACTCGAAGAAGCGATGCCAAATCAATTCCAGCCCGCGAAACTATCCGTCGTGGAAAATCTCCCATATCTAGTATAATTCCCCCTCGTCCCAGATTTCCCCGCTAATACATCCCAGACAGCCGTAGTCAACGAAGGTCTACGTCTCTCGTACGGTCTCTCCACCCGTCTCGCACGAATCGCACCAAATGAAGTCCTTCAATACAAAGATTGGGCTATTCCAGCTGGTGTACGACCCTTCATTTCCCCCTTCCAAACCCTACTAATTTAGAATATAGACGCCCGTAGGAATGACCTCCGTCCTCATGCACCACAACGAAACCATCTTTCCAGACTCCTACACCTTCAACCCGAATCGCTGGTTCGATCAACCAGATGGCGGTCGCGCGCTGGAACGATATCTGGTTTCTTTTGGGAAGGGGTCGAGACAGTGTATTGGAATGAAGTAAGTCACCATACCTTCCTCAAAAATCACTTTCCTCAAAAGTCTCCTCTTCCTTAATGCAACTACCATAATATTTGCTAACACCTCACAGCCTAGCAAAAGCAGAGATCTACCTCACTCTCGCGACTCTCTTCCGGCGGTACAACATGACCCTCCACGACACGATCCGTTCCCGTGACATAGATCTGAAATACGACGGTTTCCTCCCGCAACCAGGACCGGAGAGTCGGGGCGTGCGTGTTATTTTCAGTTGAGAAGTAGTACGATCGAATTAATTCAGCTTCACTTGTCGAGGATGAAATGGCGTTTGATCGAATCGACGCAGCGTACGGTGTTTGACTGGAGTTGAACTGTGAATACTGGGGATGGATTACTGTGCATAGATGTGCTGGGAAGGAAAGCTTTGTGTATGGAGGCGAATTTGTTTAGCATGTGGCAAGTTCTTGCGACTGATTCAAATGCTGAAAATAGTTCTTCGCATCTACAGACTAGTATGCAGTTTGTATGGTAATCAACAACTCATTCGTGTTTCTCGGTCGTATCCACGTCGATTTCTCTCCAGATTCCAATCAAGTAATAAAACAGCAACATCAATCATTGACTTAATGAACTGACGCAAACCAACATCATATGATTAGCGACGACTATCACCAAACCCTAAAAGCCATATACTTTCATACTCTCCCTAGCAACCGGAACCGCCTAGAGGTCGCAACCCAAACCCAATCAAACTGTCATCTCACCCGGACGGACGCCGGCCAACAAATACTCAGCACAGAAAAACACTACCATGGCTTTCCTCCCCGCCATGATACCGCAGCGCTATGCCTAATTAATGATCCCATCTTCTGAACGTACAACACACTTGTTCTTCAACATCACATAAAGGTCTTGTATTATGCTTGAGATTGTCCTTACTTGTCGCTGACAAGGCATGGCTGATCGCCTCAAGATACACGCCAACAGTATTAACAACAGACAAACCATGTCCTACATAACAAGAACCCACTACCCAGCCCTTCATCCTAATGCCCTGCCCATTTCACACCCTCCCACATCTCCATTCCAGAAACCCCCTTTAGCTCACCACCCTCACTCACCCCGCCCGCCCAAAGATGACATCCTCCCCACCTACACCTTCCCACCAAAGCCCACCCAATCCCGTTCCTAAGTAGGACGTGACAGACCAGCTCATCTGCCACCTTACCACGCGCTCTATAACGGTTAAATCACCCATCTGACGGCGATCTTCGATTATCCTTACAGCAAGTGACTTATTATAAAAGGAAGCAGTAACAGGCTCGTTTTACGAAAAACTGGAAACGGCGAGATAGCTGTTCGTGACATACCGAACCACGGTAGACGGAATAAGCAGTAGTCCATCACTGGTATTTGATTGAGATAATTGAAACTAACACGTATCGACCCACCCCGTTACGTGGTTTTTCCAAAACATTTTCCGGATGTATCTGGAAGGTGATTATCATCAGAATTCTAGATGTAGGCGTTTCGTTGTTTAATAGGTTTATTCTAGCTACTGTCCTCGAGGATGTTTTCCATAACGATTCTCGGGACAGAGATCTATCCATCGGCTTCATATTGGTGAAAGAAATATCCCATTGCTTGTGATATTCGTTTATATGTCATAACTCATGAATTTCCACCCTATCCAAACATATCATTACGATTAAACATTACACCTCCCCTGCCCCTTCTCCTTCCATGTCAATCTAGACTCAACCTCCTACTCATGCGATCCCTCGGAGCCAAACTGATATACGAATCCCCCAGATTGACCCCCTGCGGTCCTCCCCTGAGTCCCACCCCATAATGCACATCCGCGACCTCCTCGCCCACCTCCTGGTGTTCATTGACCAGGTACCCGCGTAGCCCATGTCCGAAATTAAGCATACAGACGACGCCGCAGGCGACTGTCAATGACAGGAAGAAGATGGAGAGACAGGCGTAGGAGGTGGAGATCGTGAGGGTGGCTTCGTAGAGATAGTGTGTTTTGCTGGGGGCGTACATGAGGTGGAGTTTGAAGACGAAGTAGGCTATCGCGGCGGAGAAGAGAGTCTATGTTGTTAGTGAACGAGGTTGAAAGTATTGGGGTTGGGCATACGAGTATAACGAGCATGCCTGGTACGCTCTCGCGACGAACGAGGTAGGCTGCTAGGAGGGGGATAAGGATCATGCCAATGGCGAAGGCGATGGTGGCGTAGAATTCCCAGCCGCGCCAGGAGAGGACGTTGACGGCGTAGATGGTGAGGAAGGCTATGACCATGAAAAAGTCGATTTTGAGGAGGGCGAGGAAGCCCTGACATTGTTAGTGAATTGTTCCATAATGAGATGGTTTGGACCCGGGTGTATTTACCTGATAGACCAGATATCTACGACGCATAATCAGATCTCCGTTTAGATGTTGGTATTTGATCCACGAGAAATGCTTAAGAAGCTTAAACAAGATGGCGAATAAGAGAGCAGTTCCGATACCAAGGATAATAGGGCTAGCAATCATGATTCCTCTGACGTTCCCCCATATGTCCTGGTCGAGATGGACTAGTGGTTGACCATTTGCGTCTCGAGCGTCCGCCATGGAGTAAATTGCATTCTTCAATTGCAGGCGTGAGAGCGCTGTGGTAACCACCAACCCGGCATTGATGAAGCATACTGCAGTGACTTGTACACTATTCTGATTGTAAATGGCATCGCATATCAACAGACATTCGTATACAAAAGCGAAGAGGATGATTGCCAAATTGGTCGGGACGACATAATTCGAAGGGACCTGGAAGGAATTTGGTCCCATGTATTGTTGCCATTGCGCAAAAACATAGCTGAGTTCCTCGTCAGCACTTGAATTATCCTCGCTATGACGTTGCTCGTACCTATACAATCCGATCACAACTGCAGCCTGGACAAATCCTACAATACAGAAGATTTGAGGTAGTGTCAGTCTCAGTCGTGGAGCATTTCGTTTCACGCTCTCTGCGACCTTTTCCGACATTGTGATGAGAGAAGTGTGGACGATTCCAAAGGTCCTCGAAAACGCACAATACCCTTTTCCATGACCGTCTGCTGCCCCAAGTCCTCGAGTGCAAGTGCTAACTGAAATACGAGAGGTGGGGCGGCGATCGAAGCTCGGTACCACGGTACTTGCAGAGTTGCAAGCGGCTCTGGGCGACGTAGAGCATTTAATTGGCTGCGTCGGACAGATTAATTGCTAGATGCAGTAAGAAGCGTATTGATGTTCCTGCAAATCATGTTTCGGACCTTGGAAAATGCACCGGAAGGTCTCCCCCTACGTCAGTACCGACAATTGCTCACTACCGGAGAGCAGGGACTCAGCGTAACGGTTTTCTCACCACTTCTTGTCGGATTCGTGGTGGGCACCATTTGCAAGTATTGAATAGCATAAGTTCTCCTGGTAATGAAAGAAACACCCAGATCGACGACAAAATGGAAGGGAAAGAAATACCCGTGCCATTAGCTGTAACTTGTACGCCTTCGGATTCTGGAAAGGAATGGCAAAATGAAATAGCACTCGCCATATACTCTCTACAACTGGTGAAGCTACACTCGCAGAGATAACCTGAAACTTGAATTTGCGGAATTTGAGAACTTCGTCTCGAGGCGGCTTTGATTTGGTTCACCCTGTGGTGAGGGACCACAACTTTCATTGGTAGCAGTGTTCGACAGAGATGCAATATTCGACGTTCAAAATTGTCTCTTGTCGATACTTACGACGAATAGACCTCCTGCGCAAGATGCAATATCCTTACCCAACCCGCGCTTCCGATCATTGTTTTACATAGATTCCCCTGCTCGTCCCGTTCCTGGCCATTCTTCTCGAGACCTTTATCCGTTCCAAATTTCGAGTTGAACCTTTGTCGAGTGTCGTCGGAAATGGTGTAGGGGCAGGTACCGCGATAGAAAAGCCCGTCGGATGCGTCCAACATAAATTCACGTCCAAATGCTGCCACTCTATGTATTTCGTCCACAAGACGCTCCCTCAACGCGTACCGCGATAAAGCAGCGTAGCCATCTATTAAATGATGAAGGAATTGTGAGCCATCACGATACATCCGGTCGTTTAGGTTGGGAATTGATCGATCGACCAATGGTCCTTCCCGATTCATTGCTGCCTCTGCGAAATCAACAGCTGTCTTGAGATGATCCGGGTTCTTGCTCAGCCCATGTAGTAAAGCGAAGCCGTGTATTGCGAATCCAGTGTTGTATGTCCATTTCATCTTATTGACGTTGACTGAGCCGTTCTCTCCATACCCCAAACTATCCCAGATCAATCCATCCTCAGGGTCTCTCAACTTTTCAACAAGAAATTGCAAAGCCCGCTCCCCAAAAGCATATAGTTGTGGGTTATGCTCAATTGCACAAATTCGCAGCGCCGCAACCGCAGCTGGCCCCGTCGAGCAAGCATTTCGAAAGTTTTGATTGTTGGTATGCCAAGGCACCCCTCCATCCTTTTGCGCTGAGGGCATGATCAGGTCGAATAATATTTGCTTTGCTTGCTCCATATGCTTCTTGTCGCCCGTAGCTTCAAATGCAGTGACCAAACTCTGAGCTGCATGGGCGTTATCGTCGTAGTAGATGTCGTTGTTCCCTGGAAACATCTTCCACGCGCAGAAGCCATGCTTTTCTGGGTTCCAGTATGCCTGCAGTGCAGTTGTTGCCTTTTTGACTTCATGAGAAGACAGACATTCTGCGACGCATTGAACCATAATCACCACTGGCCAAACCACATAACCGAAATGGTCATTAGCACCTAGTGTACTTTCAGACTTGACTCGAGCTTGGAATTGACCATTTTGAGACGAATAGAAGTAGGAGAAGGCTCGCTGTGCTGATTCCGCAGCTAGGCCCGAGCCTGACTTTGGGTGTAATCGGTTTGATAGTTGGTTGATAGGATGCTGCGATGATGGGTCCCGCACCGTTTGCCGAACATCATTTATAAATTTCCGCATGGTGGGAGAGGAATATAATCTAGAGATTAATAGAGTCAAGACCTACAGTTGATGAAGAACGGGCAACAACATGGTTCCAGAAGGCCACTGGTACCCATTAGATCGTAACCTTAATTCAAGCGTGTTTTCGTCCCACTTGGGCAGCTTGCTCCAGCTTGATAGGAGTTAATGACGTTCTGTCCGATATTATATTTATATCCAGTCGAACAGAGCAAAGCTAGCCAGCAACGAACATAATTTCAGGCGCGAAGGAGAAGAATCTCAATGATGGTTGAGCAGGTGAACATAACCAGAGCGACGTATCGGGGTCAACTTTGCGGAATGTCTCGGCCCGACATAGTTAAGCTAGAATTATCACATGATAGAGTTAACTCTTAGATTAACAGTATCGTAGCGATGAGATCCTGAACTGCGGTTGGGTTCCTGCAAATGTGTGTCGTCCAAGTACTGGCTGGATTTATATTTTAATCCTCCTGCGATAACGTCGTGACATGATAAGTTGTCAAAGGATGAGGACGAAATCCACAGCCTTTCTGCTATGTCAACCTGCATGGAGCGCCCCAACGAGCATGAGTGTCCCCTCTTTCTGGACGGACACCAGGAACACCCGCTGTCAAGAAACTTTCAAGGCATCTGCGCAAAAGGGAGATTATTGCTGGGTGTTTCCCAGACTGTTGTAGTGTAAATGCGCATGATTAATATATCTCATAATATATGATTTCCTGCTGCATCATTACGTCGCAGGTGCTGAAACAAATAGGGTGGCTGGCAGAGACACGAAGCGGGGACATCTTCTGTGAACATGATTTGTACATTTCACACAGAATTGCTGTAACCTTCACCTTAACCTGACCGTGAACAGCTGAAGCGAAGAGCGCCCGCCTCCAAGGAAAATAGGAAAAACCCAGTCTTCAAGTCTTGTATGGTCCCAATCCAACCCAACGTCCGAATCCAGCCCAGCCCATCCAACCCCTCCACTCCCAGAATCTCACTCGTCATCCCCCACCACAACCCGCTCCATCCCATCCTCATTCTCGTTCGGATGCGGTTGCAGTGACAGCAGAAGTGCTCACATCCTTCGCAGCCTCATGCAAAGTCAAGCCGGGCCACACTTGACGTTCAAATCTTCTCTGTTTTGACTTGCGACGGTCCTCCGCACACGTCGCTCGAGACACTTATCCGTAGTTGCACGCAGTCCGATTGCAGATTTGCATACGATCGCTCTCACAACCACTGCACCATTTGATCTTCTCACCTTCACGGCTAACTCACAATCATGTCTCGACGAGGCGATACGATGTACGAAGAGCGGGAGTTCTATGCTCGTGAGGAACGTCCACCACCCGCTCGAACTCAAGTTCGTGAGCGCGAGAGGGAATTTGAAGAGACAGATACTTACTCGAGACGTGGTGGCCCCGTGCGTGACAACCGACCGGATTTCCTGCGCGACGATTATGGTAGAAGCGATCCAGGCCAAATGGTTTTGCGAGAACGAGAGACCGAAATAAGCAGACCTCTGGAACGACGACCACGATCACCTTCCCCGCCAGTTCGAATCGAGCAGAGGACCGAGAGGATTGTTCGCCGCAGGTCGCCCTCCCCTCCACCAATTCAAGAGACCTACCGTTCGAGGGTGGTCGAGCGAGAAGGACACCGCTCTCCCTCTCCCGTCAGAATTGAGCGCACCGAGAGATTTGTCCGTCGCAGATCCCCATCTCCGCCGCCAGTCCAGGAAACCTACCGGTCTAGAGTTGTTGAGCGAGAACGCGAGAGACCTCGATCGTATTCCCCTCCTCCACCACAGCTCCGCGCAAGAGTGACCGAGACTCGAGAGAGAGTACGAGAACGATCCCCATCTCCTCCCCCACCAATTCGCTATCGTGAGCGCGTTGTCGAACGCGAACGTGAAAGATCGCCATCTCCAGTCCGAATCGTCCGGGAGCGGGAGAGAATCGTTGAGCGAGAAAGAGAACGTACACCCTCACCACCTCGTACCGAAACCATTCGGATCCGAAATATCGAGCGAGAAACCAGGCGGGCCCCATCACCTTCGCCATCGCCATCGCCCTCTCCTCCCCCAGCTCCAATTCGAGCCCCTCCAATCCACCAAGAAATTATTACTCATCATAGACATATTGATCATGGTACCTATAGCCTTCTCAAGTCTCAGAATTTTAACCCGCTGACACTCACCAGGATTTGAACGTGCTGCACGTGTTCCAAGCCCACCTCCACCAGTCCGTCGCACGAAAGAAACAAAAGAAACCGATATAGACATTCATACATCTCGTGGTAACACAGAAATCGACATCAAGCAAACTCGTTCCAAAACCCCACAACCCACGAGCACATCCTTGGCTCGACGGGAAAATTTCTGGGATGATTTAGATATCGAAGATAAGGAGCATGAAAACTTGAGAATCCGCGATACGCGGCTAGAGTTAGGGAGGCGTCGTAGCATGAGCGCCCGACCAGATACACGCGAGCGTGAACGAGTAAAGGTTGATATCAAAGAAAGTTACGGGCGCGAAAAGGATAGCTACAGCAGGGACAGCATCCGAGACGAGGATGAGGCTGAATACTATCGCAGAAAGGTCGACGAGAGAGCGTATATTGGAGAAGCATATAATGGTGCCACGAAAGACTGGGCAATAGTCGATGTTCCACCGGGAACCGAACGAGTCCAGATGGACGGAATTGGTGGCGGTAGCCAGGAAATTACATGGCAAAGATATAATGGAGTGCGACGAAGCAAATTTATTGCTGACCGTGAGGAGCGGCCTCGCATTCCTGAGCGTCAACCGGAGCGTCAGCCTGAGCCTCGAATCGAACGTGAACGAGAGAGGATTGAGATTCGGGAACGAGATGAGCCTAGGCAAGAAACCACCGGTTTTGAGATCGAGATATCTAGTTCGAGCCGACGGCCAGATCCTCCGCGCGAACCCAGTCGTCCTGCATATGAAAGAGAGTATGAGAGAATCGAAGAAACGACCAGTGATCGTCGAGTTGGCATGCCCCGACCTCCGCCAGCTCCCAAGCAAAGAAGAGGGGACCTCTGGACCGAAATTACAAAGGACTTGGTGGTAGAAGATGCTATCAAGCAACTCGGATATGATTACGAAGAGACTGAATTCTTCTATTACATCATCCAATATTTGCGCTATGTACGTATTGTGTTTGCTCGATAATGAACACCTAGTTCTTACATCACTAACTATTTGTAGGAGGATGTTCTCGAGCTTGTGGAAGTTTCCGAGCACATCAAAGCAGAACGACAACGCCGAATTCGTGAAATCGAACGGGAGCGGGAGCGATTCGAGCGCCGCGCTAGGGAACGCGATGACTGGGAGCGGGCCGAGAGACGAAGAGAGCGAGATCGTGACAACGGTTATGATGATGAACGAATTATCGAACGGGAGATTATCTACGATGGCGGCGGCGGCGGGTCACGACGCAGACGAGGCGGTTGGTAGACGTCGAATAACGAGACAACGAAACGCAGAAACGGCTTTCACGATTGCATAGCGATGATTCGCGACTCACTATCAGAATACTATATCCAAACATATTCGGTTCATATTACTATTTTCAGATACCACAGTCCCGATGTACGTCATGATATATTTGACGATTGTTTTTGTTCATAGTTGTGGCTACTCATATATGAGCGTGGCGTTGGATGATGTTACGACGCTGAAAGGGCGAGGTTGCTAGGAGCGCCGGGAATTTCTTATACGTTGGATGTTCTTATATTTTCTTACGAATTGACGAAACTTACTTTGATGTGGTTTGCTTCATACTTGTCTCTTGCTTTTCTGCTTCCAACCGTGCTTTATGTCCATACCATTGCGCTTTTCAGCTAATACCAGGTTGACTTGCTTATTCAATCACTCGCGCTTTCCTGGTTTCGTTGATCGATGTTGAACGAACGAAATTTAGATTGTCTATCAAATCACAGCACGACGACCGAATCGACTGTTGCTTGGTCTCGAGAAGCATCCAGGACCCTTACACTTCAAGTCAAACCAATTCAGCACCGTCTCCGCATCCGTCTGAATATTATGCGTCACTCCCTTTGCCTTCGTCGCTCGGAACCTCTCTACACCCCCAACACTCCAACTCTGCGTCGTCCACCCAGCATTAATATCATTCTCCCTTACCACCGCCGTCACATTCCCCAATCCCAAAACCGCCGTCCACTCTTTAATCTCCTCCTCCAAATTCTGCACCGCAAGCACCTCATCCACCGTCCCATGCAGAACATGCATCTTCGGTCTCCACCCCTTATACCCTGGAAACCCGCCCTCTACAATTCCTTTCCACTCCCCCCCGCTCTTTACCACCTTCCCCGTAGCACAGGCATCGCTCCATGTATTCACACCCCCTTTAGCATCAGCATAACAGCCAAAAGCAACACCCGCCCAGGCGCTGCCCGCCGCGAACACATCTGGATACGCCCCTAGCAGGACGTTCGTCATCATTGCGCCGCTGCTGGTGCCCATGGAAAACACACGGCGTGGATCGGCTTTGTATTTCTTGAGAACGTAGTCTACCATGCTAACTATACCCCGTGAGTCGCCGCCGCCGTTGTGCGTGAGCGTCGCTGGCGAGGAGACGTCCCAGCAGTAATCAGCCGTGTTGGGGGACGACGGGAAGATCATTATATAGCCATACGTATCGGCGAGGGTTGCGAGTTGCGTGCCTGTGAATGCGGCTTGCGCGCTCCCGTGGCACCAGCTGTGTTGTGTAAGTATCTTCTTACCTTTGTTTTAGAATGAGAGGACGTACTGTGGGTTTACCAGCACAGGCGGGTTCGAAGCCAATTTTGTTGGGATGTAGAGGTAGAACGACACATTTGAGGGATTAGGACCGAATTCTGAGTTTGGGATTTGGAGGAGTTTGTTTTGAGTTGCAGTTGCACTCGCAACTAAAAATGGCAAGATTGCTCGGAAGTACATCTTTACGGGTTCTCTAGAGTTTACGGTGGTCCTCAATTGACAAATTTCCCTCGAATTCAGGTTTTCTGGAGTTCATCTTATACTATCATCCATAGTGTGTAACACCCCACTATGTAGCTTTCAGCCTCTTCGATCGTCACTTTAGTTTCGGAGTGTCTTCCCCCGCGTGCGAATTTGGATAAATGGGGGAATTTATTAGATTGACGGAATATTTATCGCGGGTTCCGGAGTATTTCTTTATTGTGCATTAGGTTATGGTGAGGAGGTTGCTAATGCATCTCGCCAGGACGGTCGTCATCGTGGTGGTTTGAAGTGATGGAGAAGTGTGAGCAGTTAGGGTGAGACTAGTGGGTTTAGCCTATTCTGTAAGGTTGATCGAAGACTTGAGTCGTGAGATGGTTGAGTGAGGTAGTAGGAAATGTTTTGGAGAGCTGGTATTTTGTTATGAGTACTCGATCAACTGAGAGATAGACGTGTCTATCGTTGCTATGGCTAGGTCTTGTGATGATACTTTTCCTCACTTTGCTACTTAATATATCAATCAATTAATAATAATTCTCAAACATCCATTAATAGAAAAATACCGTTCAAAAGTCCAACGATCGAGTATATGAACAAACATGCTAAATCAAGAATGTCGATTCTGTCATCGACCAAATCCCATCGAAGCTACCGAACTGAATTGGTAGCAGGTAAGCCAGAATTTCTTATGTCTGGCATACTGCGGTAAGCACCAAGAAGAAGGGTTTGCATGGACGTATTTTCTGGATGCTCGTAATCTTTGTATTCAAGATTACTCTTCTAGTGAGTACCCAGGTAGTTGAGTTATTTCCATGGAACCGGTCGTCCTCGCTTAATCCTCGTCACCCCTGAAGTATCTATCGAGGGGTTGCATCCGAATAAATCAGTCAAGGTTACGGTCAAGCCAATCTTCAGATCAGGTTCGTAGAGAGGGAGCAGGAATGAGTGAAGGCATCAGCGTTACATTTCACACTGTGAGAGTCACTCCAGGTAACGTCAACTGGAGATTCATTTTCGGAGTAACAGAAGTATTTACTCTGTTTTCGAGAGGTTCAAGACGATAAAGCATACATTTTCGCTGTCCGACTGACAGCATAGTGCACAGCATCACAACAGATCCTCTCTTTAGATCAAGTGCATACTAATAGACGTAATGTGGAATTGATTAATTTCCTGAATGAGTGAACTCGGTAGGAATCACATACTTAATTCAACTGTTTTCTCTTACTAACATTAGTAAGAACTGAGCCTCTCCTCTCCTTATATATGCTGAAAATGTCCTCTTATTAAGTTCTCAGATTACATTTACAGAGTCGTAATCGCGATGTTTTCCCCTTTGTGTCGTGTTTCATGTTTCTTTCCTCGCGTAATTGTCGTCTAAATTTAAACTGCTGACCACCCTCGAGCCACCATGTTTGCTGAGGAAATTGCTGTCGAGATCGCACATCTTGGACTTGATCGAGGTTAGATTTTGCTTTCCTGCGAGTCTGTGAGAAATAAATTTGAATTGCCTCGCGCAAGCTCCTCACTTCGCACATTCAATCTACCATCCTTTTTTTTCCCTCGAAAAAATAATATATTCTTCGCAAACCTCACGTGGAAATCTCCATCCAAATCACGTAAACCTGCACACCACCAAAGCTCCCCGCCCTTCTGCGCCACATTTATCCCAACAAACACCAACAGTTTTAGAATCCCTCCTCCCGCAGGCCCCGCCCATAAATAACAGGCGCGAAATGACCGTGTCTAGCATCCCAGGATCCAGTATTCGAGCCAGCGTATCGCCATGGCCGTTACGCGCGACTGGCTTCGCTAAACCCTGAGCCTCAATTGACAAAGTCGCTTGCCAGTAGGAATGCGGGTAACGTATTTTTGTATGTTGGTGATTCCCGTAGGAGGAAGGTGTCTATTCATATCGAAGTGACAGTACAGCTTTGACCTGCTCGCTGACGAGGATGGAGGGGATTGATATAAGATATTGTCGCCGCATTGCTTGGTCTTTTGGAACGCTGACTTGAGATGTCATCTCCAAGATATTATTTCTTACTGTCTGTCGTTCACAGAGTCAATAATACAATCTCACTCGCTTCTCCTAGTCAATTGTTGTAACGGTTTTCTAGCATCTAGAATAACACGTTCTCTTTCCAATTTCTTCACCGATCATATCAAAATCCACAACCATGAAACAAACACTCACCATCCTCTCCATCGCGCTCTTACACCTCATCTACGCACTACCAATCCCCCTATTCGGTCTCCCCGCACCCCAAACAATCACAATAAGATTCAACACGCCCACCGAAGACACATTTACAAGATCAATCCCCCTTTCGAAAGATATAACAACAGGTACGCATAACACGCCCAACTTTCTATAACTTTCTAACACATTTCAGACACCGAAATGGCGAACATGAAAATCTCATCAATCATGGTTCCACCACAAATAACATGTAATTTCAGTCGATCAACAGGAGGAGTGATCGTAGGGGGTTCGGGACCAGAAGTCAAAGTGCCGCATCTGGTGCAGGTTGTACCACCGGAGGTGTTGAGCCATGTACAGTGTTGGCCTGCGTGAGTTGAGAAACGTTGTTGATCATTGTAAATTTTGTATCTGTATATACTTGCCAAGAGCTTTTCTCGGGATTGTTGAAACCCGGGATCTGATATATCGAAGGGCTTAATGCACGAGGAAGGGATTGCATTCTCAGAAAAAGATGGAAAATAGACGAGAGGCTGCAAAGGCCAGGCGACATAGTTATGCATCGCCAGGTATATTGTTCTGGAGGTTTTGAGTGAGTAATGAGATGCTTCGCTCACTATTGTCAAAGGATGTTTTGGGAAAAGAAGTGCGAATGTCTGAGAAGACGTGTTAGCCGATACCAAATCTGTATGGTACATGTAGATAGTCATAAACAACCACGACGTCTCTTAAAGTATCTAGGTCAAAACTAGGTATGGAATAATCACCTTTGAGTTTATATGTACCAGTGCACTCACGAAGACAAGATTGGAGTTTGAAACCTACCTGAGAAAACTCGCACCAAACCAATGTCAGCATTGTCAAAAATTGGTCGGCAGAAGAAGATTATGAAGATACTTTGGGATTTTGGAATCACTTGGTCTCTCCTTTGGAGCAATACATATACGCTAGGGACTAACTGTTCCCTCTTCCCAATTCCAGCTTCCTACGCTCCAGCTCAAAACCCATTGATCCGACACCTTATGATGCCGCCCGGTTACATCAGAAGACTATTGATCCGATCTCCCAAAAAGGAATCTGAGCTCTATAAATTCAATAAACAACTCCATTTCTAACTTGCGAGCCATTTCCGAGTCCCTGCATTGCTCTTCAGCTAGCTCAGAAGCCAGTCCCAGTAATTGTGTTCTCATGCTGCGGTTTCTCCGCCTACTCTGTGCAGTTGCGTTCATCAAGATGAGACTGCGTTGCTCTGGTGGGAGCGCGAGAAACGTTTGAGGATCAAACTGCGGAGGAGTTAGTGATGAAAGTGGCGGTACTTGCGGTCTCTCAGCTTGTTGAGGTGGGAGGGTATTGGGAACGGTGGGAGGCTGAAAGTTACCCTGGTTTTCCCTGCTTAAATTCCTCCGACCTACAACACTTAGTTGTTTATTGGGATCTTCTGTCTCAGGTTCTTCTCTCCTTCCATTCTCCTCTTCTTGGCCGATTTTCATTTGCCGGGGTCCTTCGAACCATTTGACTGCTCCATGATTAAACCTCCATCCGCCCTCCTCCTTCACGCAAGGTAACCAGCACCATGAACCCACCGAAAGTGTTGTGATGGCTGGAACTAACAACCACGACCCATAGTTAGAATTTGACGCTTCTACTGGCCATTGTTGAGGAAAAAAAAGCACCAGGACCAAAAAGACAATATACAAACAAGATGCTGCTGCGAAGTAAGGACTTAGTAAGCCCAGCCTGAAGGCGCCTGGGGTAAAATCTTTTTGGTTGAATTGTCGCAAGAGGATTGGGAACAGGTAAGAGATGTTGAGGGCCATAGCTGAAGAAGCTCCGAGGACTTGCAAAGGAATCTTCGGCAGCATAGCAAACAGAGATAAGAGTATCGATGAGCCGTATACAAGAATTGCGGCGTGAATTGGTATGTTCTTGGTCTTGTTGATATGCATTAAAAAACTTCTGAATGGGAGAAAACCATCGCGGGCTAGGGAATACGTGACGCGCTGGGCTGACATGAAGGAACTCGTTGCGGTGAATGTCCCGCTAATCCACAAGAAGACCAAAACAACACAACCCGTGGTTTTTTTCCCGACGATTTGGATGAGATATTCGGCCCAGTCATTGGTGTATTGCTCAGTATAGATACTTTCTAGGTTTGAAACTGAGGCAAAGAGCACACAAAGTATCGGGATAGAAAGGAAGTAGGCTAAGAGCGTAGCACACCACATTCCCCTTGCAACATTCTTACTGGCGTTCTTGGTCTCCTCTGAAATATGGACACTAGCATCAAAGCCAAAAAAGACCCAGAATGGGTATAAAGACGAGACAACCCCAGCGTAGCCACCTGAAAGGTGATTCTTAGTATTTGTATTGATTCCATTATGCGTTTCGTGGAACGCCTCGGTGTTAACCTTGCAATTGCCAGATCTGGTCGTGCAAGCAATCGGAAACCAGAACTGGAATGCGACTCACAGGAATATGAATATTAATGTGGCAAGACAGAAATAAAGACGAATGAGTTTCCGATGCGAAATGTTAATGAGAAAAGCTAATGTCAAAAGTGCCATAGTGAGCCCTGTTGTGACTCCCTAAATTGTATGGGTCAGCATTTATTGGGATTATGGGTCTGTGCTGGACAGTAATCAACCTACTCCTCTCCTCAAAGATTCCTTTTCCCCGAACCACGGCTCAATCCCTTTTGGTGAAAGGAGAACTTCAAAAGCGGAGATGAGAAACCTTGTCGCAGAAATTTGGGATGCAGGGACAACAAGGATCTAAAACATTTGAGTTATGGTCGAGTAACAAAAGAAGTCGGCAAACTTACCCATCCAGTCCAGTTCCACCACCCAGTCAGCCATGAAAGGAATCGCCTGCTTAAATATTAGACGGCGCACGGAATTCACAAATGAACCAACGCACCCATGATTGCCGCCTAGTTGGGTTGACCAGAAGTATATTCCACCTGCGACCGGAAGAGATGAAGCAATTTCGGCCATAGATAGACTGACAATAACCGCCAGGCATCCCACGACCAACCAGACAATGAAGGCAGCTTTTGGACCAGCAATAACTACCGCCCAGCCAAAGAGAGAGGCTAGACCGGAGACGAAATTGATGGTCTTATCATGTGTCAATAAGAAGCTATTTCTCAAAATGACATCAGTTACCTCGTACCGTAAAAGTTAAAGCCCTGTTGATAGTCATTAGCCTTTGATCTTTCAACAGATTTGGAAAGCGGACTCATTACCAGCTCTCAAAGACCGTCAAATCACGCTTGAACACTTTTTTCACCCCCCAAATTTTTAAAAGCTTATCATCTGATGGCTCTTGATACCCTGGTGGTGGGAGCATCTCTAGCCGGTTTTTTATGGATCGCCAATTGTACCGACTGTTTTCTTCGGTTCTTGGAAGTTCGTTTGCATTTTCAGTCGCCGTGGCTGAGTTAACACCGTCTTCAGCTCTCGGAAGCTCGTTTACATCTTCAGTTGCCATGGCTGGATGATCTGCCGACATTTCAAGGAAAAATATATGAACAGTAGCAGGTAAGAGATTTTGCTGGAGCAAGTAATGTTTTGACTGTGGTGATGCTAATTAAACAGAGTGATCGTTGGGTATGCGTATGCGTCTATTGGCCCGAAGATTGTGATAAGAAGAGCGATGACCTGGAGAGATGAAGAAGGGTCAAACCAATGCAAAAACAGTCGCTCCCGGTAATTAGGAATCAATTGAGGAAAGAACGAGGGTCGGCCAAGCACAGAGAATACCCACACCTGTGTAAGGCAGATAGCCAGAAGGAAAGCGCGTTTGCGAACAATGAAGCCATGAGGTCAAGCGAAATATCTCGCAGTGCATACATAAGCGGCAGCACTTTTCGACTACGGGCTTCAACATACTCGCACCTAAGTATAGGGAAGGGAAATGCTCTTTTCTTGATAGATTCTGAAGAGAGTCCAAAAATAATTGACGAAATATCGGATATTTGGATGTTTTGTCGATCCCGTCGAATAAATATCAGAACTCGAGCCTGGTGAAACTTGAGTCCGGCTGATTCAACAATACCACTGCCCTTTATTTTCGCAAATAAGCTGTGTTGACAATAGATTCGGTAAAGAGCCATCTTTGAAGTGTGTCTCTTCTTCCATGCTGGGCCATCACTGCTGGAAATGCCACAAACTGTTCGAGGTGATCGACGAAGGGCGTAAATACTCAACGGATCAAGCTGCGCGCGACGAGTTCATGTATGAATGTAAAGCACGAGAATCAGAACGAAGTCTACAAAATGGGCCCCGCTTTTTCTCCGCCCGGGAAACAAAGAAACTCCGCCCCGACAACAACCTCCAACGTACTCTAACCCCTTTACATCCTTGATTTCAACCTCTTCCAAATTACCTCAATCTTCATAGCCATAATTAGATCCAACAGCGTCTCAGACAAATGCAATCTTCACATTATCACCATTCCAAAACTCCACCGGCGGTTGCCTTGCAAATTGGACTTCTCTCACCACCATTCGCCAGATTACGACAGACTGTGCGAAGATTAGCACAACATACAAATTACTTCGTGCCCGATAGTGCTTACACGAATCGTCGGCTTTGCCAACAGATGATACAGACTCGCTCCGTGATGCAGGATGAACCTCGGCTTGCAAATATTCTTCTTCTTTGGCATGTGCCTTCATGAGCTCGTAAAGTATATGCTGTCGCGCAGCAGTTTTATTTATTTCTGGCGACTCGTCCTGAAGCGAACCATTTCCGGAGATGAGCCTTTCTTGCAGACCTTCTGTTTGTACACTCAATTTCATGATCTGATCTTTCCATTTGTTATAATCTGAAGGATCCAAGGATGGCTTAGAAGTGTAAATGCAACACTCTATCGTCGTGGTCCGGGATGATTTTGGAGAGTAACATATTGTCATTATGGTCCCGGGACCTAAATGATGAGTTTCTGCGTTCATTCCAGTTGAGGCTGCCTTCTTTGTTCCGGAAAGGGCTAATGGAAGCCAGTTCAGCAGTCCGGTTTCCGGTTTCCAAGAGCTAAGAGTAAAGTCTACAGCTAAAGTTAGCGATGTTCGCCTTTTATCATTCCAAGCGTACCTGCCAGTTTCCAATTGAAGTCAACATCGAACTTCCATTCTTCAGCACTTTGCAATTTCATGTTACTCCAGTTCACACTCATATCTCTTGCTGATGTAGCGAGTTGAGCCTCGTCTACGTTCTCACAAGCCAGGTTGATGTACACCAATCCTTCTCTGATTCTCAATCTCACCCCCCACAATCCATTTTTGCTCTTGTCGAAGCCTGACACGTTATCGAACTCGGGCGCTTTGATCAGTTTTCCTTTCGTATCGTAAGCCCATCCATGGTAGCGGCAACCCAAGACGGCGGAGCTTCCACTTTCCTTCTTGGTGACCCGATATGCACGATGTCGGCAAATGTTTTGGAAAGCTCTGAGCATTTTGTCTTTTCCCAATATGAGGAGGATTGAGTATCCCGCGACTTCGAAAGTTCGATAGTCTCCGGGCTTTTTGAATCTACACGCATGGGTAGCCAGTAGCCAGTTCTGCGAATAATTAGAATTTCATCATTTATATCAACATCATTTTTCACCTTGCTAAATACAGCGCGTCTTTCAAGCTGGAAGAGTTTATCATCCGTCCACCAGTTCTGAGGCAGTACTGGAGCCAGAATATCATCGACGGCTGACAAACCCTTCTCAACCCGAACCACATCGCACGCTGATAGTTCATTAAGCACTGCCTTATCCGACCACTGGCTTGAAGTTCCCCTCTGCTTAAAACCTCCAAGCAAAAGAAATCCACATTTTAACATCAATATGGAGAGAAGAGGAAGAGCGAGAACAATCGTATACGAATGCACGTCATGCATTGTCATTGCGGTCGGGAAATTGCTAGACATGTTCGTTTATTCCTTGGGAGAAATAGTGCGCCGTCGAAGCATCGAACGAGTTCTTTGAAGCTAAAGTCATTAAATTCAATGAACCCCCGTCGATGCTATTTCTATTCGCACTGTGTTAGCTCTATTGAATAGCTCCATATCCAGATACGACCAAAGAATCTATCATTTAGTGTCTCAGGAAAGTCTACACATAATCCAACCTCCTGAAGCGGAACTGAAATCCATGTTAGGATCGTGATACTTTGTTCGGCTGTTTTGTTCCAATTCACCATCTGCACGATTTGGAGTCTAATTAGACCCCGCTCAGTGCGTTGTTGGGTTGATGCAGCATTATCAATATACTTGATGATTGGTTCGACAATGCAGCCTTTATCTGACGTCTCACGAACCAGTGTCTCCTCATTGGTTGGGCTTCCTGTCTGTATCTCTATGACTTGTGTAAAGCCACTTATGGGATGGGTTGACTGTTTTGGGATTAGCTCAACAAGACATCCGGTTCCAAGCATTTGGGAACTTTGTCCAATCAGCTCAAGACAACTGAGCGAGCCCAGCGACTCCGCTCGGAAATTCACACATATCATGATATACTTTAAATCCATAGGGGGGTTAAAATAGATATGTAGCAATGCTCCCTGCATTCCTCCGAGCTTACTGCCAACTTACTTTACCGCCACGATGGATTCATTAACTCGAACACTCCCAGCTTCGTGGTTCTGTAGCGAACCTTTGTATCAACTTGAACGCAAGGGAGTATTTCAAAAGGTGAAAACGTCTCCCTGATTTCAGTAAATGGGTCTCTTACTACAGCGCGCAGTCGTGGCATCTCTTGGGACCAGTCACCCGGTTTCAAGACAGGTCCAAGAAAGTCAAATATGAAATTGCACAAACCACTTTGATCGTAGAAAATCGAAGTCCCGAATCTGACGGAATTGGGAAAGATGGCATTGTGGTCTATGCAGAAGATCAAGTATGACTTCCCTTGATGTTCTCGAGTTTGGATTGACAACCAATCACCAGAGCATCGAAATCAAATCCCACTTCACCCCCAGCGGTCTTCTCTTCGCAACTCTCTCCACCAAAGCACCCGATTTCGACGACTACTTCACCGGTCTCGAAGACCTAATCAACAAAGTAGACTTCTCCAAGCTTCCCCATCGTCGAAGCATATCCTACGAAGGAAAATTCAACTGGAAAACAATGTACCGCCACACCCTTCCTTCTCAATCCAAATGTTGGATTGACAACTCTATTACAGTCAAACTACTAACAGCCCCAGGATCGACGGTTTCCAAGAATGTCTGCATTGCCAATACACCCATCCAACCTTCACAGCGCAGTACCCGCCAACAACCTACCTCGTAACCAACCACGTGAATTTCTCCCGCCATCTCAGCGATCCCTCCAAAACCACTACCTCAGACGGTTTATTCCTCTATTTCTTCCCAATCTGCACGCTTAACGTGTATGGAGGTGGTATGTCATCCTTTCGCACGTGTCCAAGTACGAAACCGGGCGTTGCGAGGATGGAATTCGATTACTACCATGCTGGCACGGACGAGGAATTCGAGAAGTATTACAAGTTTGTGAGACAAGTCGCGCTTGAGGATTTTGAGCTTTGTGAGAGGGCCCAGATGAATTTGGAGAGTGGCGTTTATGGGGAGGGGATTTTGGTGAGTGATCATTCCAAAGTGTGATGTGAGAGTGAACGTTGATGAGTTACAGAATCCGATCAAAGAGAATGGAGTTGCGTTCTATCAGGGGAGGGTTAAGGAGATGGTTTATCGGCAGCATGAGGAGGATCAGAAGGAGAGGGCTGAGATGGAGAGGATGGAGGATAAGTGCTCGGGACAGGAAGTCAATTCAGTTGAGGTACCAGTCAAGTGACACCTGACTTGTGTATTTTTGAAGGATTTTGATGAAGGTGTCACAATACATCAACTCCTTATTATGCGGAGCGTGAGATGGATGTCGCCACTAAATTGTTTTGGAGTATGCAATCTCAGAGCTTACACTTATGGGGATTGAATCAAACGGTGGTCTTTTGGGCACTTGTCTCTCAAAATTTTCATGGATCTACAGGACTTGGGATGACGATTTTCTGTGTACACGGTGTTACTTTCTGAGAGAGTCCCTACAGTTTGTAACTTGCAAATTACATGTCCTTCTAGTTCTAAAAACATTTCTTTTGAGTCCCTTTTGTTAGTAGCACTAGTTCTATACATGTCTTGTTATCGAATGCAGAATGCGTATCCCAGCTCTGCATCTGACAGGGGACAATTTCAGATGGATATTATGGTAACGAAGTAAAATGAACTTACTGTATCAATTACGAGCAACTTTTCTTGATAGGCTTATGTCTATACCGAGGTCTTCCACGCGGATACTCAAAAGTGAAGTAGATACCTCGCCTAATCCGTCGTTACACAAAATATAAAAAAGAAAACCCCTCAAAAAAATCGTCTTAAATCGATCTACCGTAGAAAAAAACGGCAAGACTTACGCAACACCGTTAAGGATTGCTGCTTATTAATTCCCCAATAGTCGTTGCTGTGCACCACTTTCTCACTCTCCCCTACCTCCCGTTGGGTACCTAAGCCACTTCGAATTAATAAGAGCGGCAGAGGTAGTTCTGATGTAAGTAGGATCGTAAAGCTTTACTGCTATTGGATGGTGCAAATATGCGAATTTAGGGATATAAACGTGAAGGTGGTGAATCGGGTGGGTCTGGGATGTGTTTTGTGCTAGCGGGAGGTACCCGTATCATGAGCATCTCACTGATAAATATCTATCCAAGAACGTTCGTTTCAGAATTTCATTTCATCTATTCATGCAATCCCTAATTCGTCCAGTATGCACTGCACACCCTGATCATAACTCATTCGTCCTCTCGCCGAGAGCTTCCATCCCAGAATAAATACAAGAAAATGCATCAAATGCTAATCGCTAACGACTCTAAATGCTTATGCGCGGTAAGTGTTAAACATGTTAGTCAATCTAACAGTTTGACCAGGGGTAAACTCGGTATAGCAAACACTAGAATACCAATTAACACACGCCAGAATAGCAAGCAGGAAATGGGAACTCACTCGTAGGAGTAATCCATGTAGTTGTGGATAGGATCAAGACCCGGGCTGTTTGGGCACGAATCCCGGGATGCGGGACACCCAGAGGTGTAACCGTTCTGGGCTGGGGTGTCTGCCACTCCATCGTTGGTTGCAGAGCAGGCGCTTCCCTCAAAGGTGTGGGCGAGTCCGAACCAGTGACCTACTTCGTGGGCGGCGGTGCCGCCGAGGTTGTAGTTCGCTAGGGTTCCGCCTGCGACAGATGAGGCGAGGACGGTGCAGCCGTCTGTGAAGAAGGCGGTCGAGCCGTTGACTTTGCCGGCGGCGCTGGGGTAGTAGCAGTACTGAGGTATGTGTTAGTAATTGGGGTTGAAAGCTGGATCTGGGAATGCTTACTCCGAGGTTGTCGTCGGCGAGGAAGTATTGGAAGTAGATGTTTACGGCGTTGTATCCTCCCTTTCTCAGAGCTCTCTTCATGGTCAACTCGGCTCTGTCATTTGCCCAGTTGGTGTTGACGGTGTAGTCAGCTCCGGCCTGGGTAAATTGGTATCCAGTGGACGAGAACGCATTATTCATGTAAGCGAGTTGAGCTGTCAACTGAGCTTGTGTCAAGTAACCACCTGCTGGAGTCGTGTTGATTGCAACAACGTGGAAATAGACTGGAACAGTAACCACAGCAGCAGCTTGAGCTCTGAAAGCCGCTGCTGGTGTAGACGGTAGTGTTCCATTGGCCTCAGCAGCAGCCATATCTTGCATGACAGCTACGAACTCGGGAGAAGCGTCAACACCACATGGAGATGGGTTTTGACTGCGATCTCTGGGCAAGTTCATGGAATGCGAAATGACTTCACGGCCATCGATGACTGGGTGGGCAAGGACATAGCCTAGGCTGGCGAGGCCGAGAAGTGTGCTGGAGAAACGCATGATGAACAAGTGGACGTGGAAGAGTCGTGAGAAGAGTGACCTGGAAATTGTTAGCTGTGCGATCATTTATGTATGTTCAAGAATCGTAGCATGATCACGTCAGCTCAAGCTTTCAGTCAAGCATATGTGCAGATACCATAGAGTGATTTAATATAGTATATGCACATATAAATGAAGGGTTGAATGACCTCATACAGATTAGGAAGGAGTGAGCCTTACTTTGAAGTAGATGATGAATGACCGAGTTGATGCCCTTCAAAATCGTGAGGAAACCTCTTTCATTTATACATCTCATCTCCTTTCCATCGTCTCCAAACCTCGAGGCAAACAAGGGCTTGCAGCTGATGATCTCTACTTCGTCAAGGAGTACATTTGCTATACACTGGTCCAGACATTCCTAATTGAGAAATGATTCCAAGGTACCTGCATGTCCGGCAGCTTGGTAGAACAGATGATGCCTTGCATGAATGGTCAATCTGATTCAGCCTGGCTTTTTCCCGCTGCTAGTCGTGGCAACTAACGTGAACGAACTCATCGAGGACCCTCACGTGACACCAATCAAGCGTGATAACCAACACTCAAGCACTTTCAGCCGAGGCTGGCGACGGTGAAGAAAGTAAGATCCTCAAGCTGATCCGCAGGAGCGTCGCAGGTTGATTGGGGAAACCAGAGATGCGTTGAAGTGATGGATGCATCGCCAAGTGAACGAAGCACAAATCAGGAAGGCCGCGGTATCGCCAAGTACAGTCGCCAAGCGATACATAGTGGTTTGAAGAGCCGCCGCCACTTGTGGCGGATGATAGTGTCAGTGGCATTAATGGCAAATCGATGATCTGCCGGTAGGTGGGAGGGTAGACATTCCTTATCAAGGGTGGTGAGGACATGTCCGTTGCGAGCCATTGGCCCCCCTTTTTAACCTGCCGAGAAGGGGTCGCACTTCCGTCGGCATTCAACAAACCGGCCAGTAGTTTGAACCATAACTACGTAGAAGAATATGGCGGGCAAGTCCGCTCTAACTGCTCTTTCCCATCATATCATATGTGCAACGGCGATGCATTGATAATGGGAATTCGATCCTATTGCGTATTCGGATTCGGTTGATTAGAACGACCGTAGGATTCTGTCTCAAATCAACTCAATTGACATTTCAGAACACAGCACTTTTATGTCATTCTCCCCGCACATGAATTATGCTCGCCAGATCTGTGGCGAAGAAGACATCGGCTGTCGTCTACAAGGCTGACTGCGGCTGGGTGTCACCTTCTAACAAAAGACCAGCTTTGCTTGGTAACGGCACAGAGCGGGAAATACCCAATGATAAGCTAGACATCATGGTCGATCTTAAAACAAATTTAGTTATCACGAGCTGGATCAGCAAAAATTGTTTTGAGATAGGAAGCTGATGTTTTATGGCTGGCGCTGATGTCTTGAAGGTACTGCTATCTCGCGAGCTTTTGGTTTTGGACGGGAAGTGTTTTTCTTTTGCTTTTTGTCGGTTGGTTGATTTGTTAATATTCAGATCAGCAACTCGACACCCACGAATTGCTCTTATCAATAGATATTGGCTGCGCTTTGAGACAAGGTGAACTCGGCTCACGTGTCTTATTTGTCACTTGGATGAGTTTGAACGTTTCTTCAGGTTATTTCTTTAAAGGAATCAATGGTCAGTATACGAGGAACCCTCCTACACATGCTACATCATGAACATACCTAGACCTCATCATCAGGAAATCATCTTGCCTCACCCTTCTTTCCACACTAACAATGCTTGGCTAACATGAGTTACCTCCACCTCCCTCGATTTCAACTCTTCAATAGCTCACCGATAGTACTCAAATCCCATTACCAAATACAATGCAAAGCTTACTCTCACTGACAGAATATAATATCTGGTCATCTCACGTCCAAAGTACATTGCAGAGACAAACGCAATCAGCTTATTGTGCGACTCGCACTCTGACACATTATCCGACGATGAAATGAATTAATTCGATATTTTACATCAGATCTACCAGAAATCTAGACAACTATTCGGGCTGCTAAGTATTTCCGTAACGAAGAGAAAGCGCATTCTGCCAGAGAGTCTTGTTTCATATATTTTCGGTGCAACACTTTTCCAGGTAGTCCAACCCATACACTTTAGGAATCAAAGACCTCCGCGTCGAGGTACCAAGACTTCTTTTCAACGTTGACTGGAGTAGGATTGAGATTGAGTAAGGAAGAGGTATGCTAGCATTTGACAAGAAGCGAAAGGTCTAGTTCTTCTTCTACGTGGACGATGTTCAGCTATTATACCACAAGCACGATGACGCCCAATCTCAAAAAGTCATTAGTGGAATTCAAAAGTTGTGCGAGCACTACGAACTCGGTTGGTTTCAGGGGTGCTGATCGTCCAGAAGAAGGAAAATCAAGACTCGCTCGCTCGTTCATGACACTTATATCGAAAACAGGGCAACCAGATCTAGGCTAGTTGACGGAAAGGCACGAGTAACATTCCCGTCGGTTCAGGAGCTTGCGAAGAATGAAGGGCAAGTGACCAAAGCGGAGACTAAAGAGGTTCAATAGAACCTAGGCTCGATACTCTATACCGCCATCATGGGCAGGTCAGATATTACCTACCTAGTGTTAGCAGAACATTAAGCTTCAGCGCACACAAGCCTCGAAACTCCCACAAACCCCCTCCCCAAACCCAAACCTTCACACAAAACCCTAAACTCCTCCACCCCCTACTTGCCAACAAAAGTCCATACCCTCCCCACCTCAACACATCCCATCTCTGCTCTTATATGTATCTCTCCTCTGACCCTCCTCGAATATCACAACACCGTACAATTCCCACTGTCTTTCCATCTTACACGTCTAACATTCCGCTATGAAATTGAAGTGTGGATGTGGCATAGTATGTGGATGAAAGGCGTGATCTGAAATGAGATGGACTGCGAGACGTCAAAAGCAAGAATGGAGAATGGAATGTGAAACGGGGTCCGGGGCTAGCGATTTCGAAATGTCGAATCATTACCGAGGCGTTTTTGAAGGGGGTTGAGAGGGGAGATATGAGAGAAGTGGGTTGTGGGATGGGAAGGGGTGGATGAGAAATTATGTTGCCAAGCTTGTTAATTCGATAGTCTAATTGATTTACATCTTGAATTATGTCTTTGAGAAAACTTGTAGAAGCAATATTATCTTAATGGAGCCGTACACTAGCACAAATCTAGTATCTTTCATAATGTGTTTGAACAGGAACATCACAACTCAAGACAAATCCAGATTTCGAGAGAGTATCCAAAAGTCTATTCAAAAGGTATAAATCTATAAGCGCGCCAAAACCCAAAAGCTAACCAACCATTGCACATCAGACTTTCTCAATAGTCTGAACAGGCGACTTCTCGTCCTCTCCCAAACTCTCAATATCCTTTGGCGCCTCCTCAATTCCCACCTTAACCTTATCAGTCCAAGCATCCAAACTCTTAGCCTTGAAGACGTTCAAGTAGACTGGGAAGGTGAAGGCGATACAGAAACCAATAAGAGGAATGAAGAATGCATGTTGAGTGTTTCCGTCAAGCGCGTCAGCGACGGCACCGAGAACAGGTGGGAACAAAGCTCCACCAGACACGGCTGCGACGATGAATGACGCACCACGTTTGCTGTGTCGACCTAATCCACGAAGGGAGAGCGTGAATATCAGAGGGAAGATGCAGGATTCGAAGAAGAGAACCAGGAAAATAGCTGCGAGACCGGCGTTGCCCTTAGCGCCAATAGCCATCGCTGCGAAGATGACAACACCAGTAATGAAGCCCATAAGAACGAATCTAGGTCTTGTAAATTTGAGAAGACCGGAAGCAGCGAATCGGCCAACTGCGAAACAACCTTGAGCGCCAGCAAGGAGGTTGGAACCGGTTGCGTGTGAGGTACCGGGTTTGATCCAGCGGACATAGTTGATAAAGTAACCGGCATAAGCGACCTGAGCTCCTACGTAGCAGAATTGAGCGACCACTCCATAGAACAGGGTGAACTGTTTGCTGAGGGGCTTATCTTCGTAATCGGTATCCTGAGCGGATTGTTCGGCTTGATTGGCCATATCGGCATCTGTGACTTCAGGGATAGGTGCGAAGAAGAAGACAATTGCGAGGAGGAAGACAAAGATGGCGATGCCAAGGTACACCCATTGGACACTCTCCAGGGAGGTATCGTCGACATTCTTGAAGATGACTTGAGAAGCGAGAACTGGAGCGACAACGGTTCCAACTGCCTGGAAAGATTGTGCGAGAGTCAAACGGATCTCAGAGTATCTTGGTGGACCACAGGTGGCGATGAAAGGGTTTGCTGCCGTTTCGAGGGTAGAAAGTCCACTTCCGACGATGAACATGGAACCACAGAAACCTGGGAAACTGGTAAAGGTTAGCATTTATATTTCGAGTTGCGTGAGGATACTTACGATCGCTTCACTCCTGATGGCCAGAACATCAAAGCACCAACACCATAAACGCAAAGACCAAAGATGAATGCCCATCTGTAACCAAACTTTCGAACAATCCATCCGGAGTACGTCAATGGACCAATGAAGTAGGCACCGAAATATGCTGCTTGTAAGCCACCAGATTGTCCCTGGCTGATGTCTAAAGCTACTTGGAAATGAGAGTTCAGAACATCCTGTACGCGAATTAGCGTTTGGCCCTTTTTACTTTCTCCAATGTTTTGTGTTTTACTTACCAGTAAGCCATATGCGAAACCCCACATGAAAAAGAGAACCGTAACCAAGCAGACTGGTACAATCGACTGGCGCAGAGTAATCTCTCCGGCTCCAGTGACGGCATGGTCGTCAATCTTCGCACGCTTGCGGTCATTTGCAATCGCCGATGCCGATGAGACCTTTCTCTCTGATGTTGACTCCATGTTTGCTAGTCTCTAGGTGAAAGTCTCGGGTGTGGCGGGGAGAGTAAAGCCCTGGCTTCGAGAAATTTCGAAATGTAGTTGGAGACTCGAAGAGAAGAGGAATGATTGATGAGGTGGAGATGAGGAATGGAATGGTAGAATGAGGGGAAATGAGAGTCGTTATATGGAATTTCCCCAGGTCTCCAACATATCCATAATGGTTGATGCGGAGTAGAGATGCTGTCCAATGGCCAGGTGCGGAGGTCCCTAGCGGGGAAGATGTTGTCTCCATGGGTTTTGCCCTTTGATACGTTGGAGTGGAAGGGATAGCACAACTAGAGACGCTGGATTCGAGCTAAACGGTCTATCCTGGTGTAGTGTGAGATATCCCAGAGCCCCAAGCGGTACTATGTAGCTTCGGCTCTTGTCCAAGCCATCCAGCTAGTATCTGATGTGGATACGAGTAACAACGGTATCCTATCATGGGAGGGGACTCATGACCTAAAATGCAGAGAATGACGCTAGAACATCGCAAACCTTGCTATGGAAGGGCCGAAGAAGAATGATCGAATTCGAATACGTCCTTGGATCATCATAGTGTGGTCCATCATGGCTAGAGTTGCATGTCAAGACGACGGGTGGCTTGGCCCAACCCACCATAGCGTGTCCTCATCGATCTTGTCCATCTTGGTATGTATCCCTGCAGTCTTGATGTTGAGTAATAAGAATTGACGAAGCTTGTTGGTTTCTTGGGATGCCGTACTACTCAACAAAACAACGGCGTGTCCGTTTTCGTGAGGGAAAGTGTCTATCGAATATCGACATTCTCTTTCTGCCATCCTCTCAGATTGGTCGGTGAGCTGTTACGGGCAAGGAGCGCGGGTTTTGATGGCCAAAGGCACCCTCCCCTCTTTGCCTCTCGCAAGCTGGGGTTGATGAAGCGGTCGAGTCATGAACGAGGAGCTGGAGACCCCGCGTTTGAATTCTGCTGTGAGCGGAGAAAGTGGAGCCCAATGAGAAAAGGCCCATATTTCTGTCCAACGTGACGTCGCGGGTTTCTTCCCGATCCCGATGCTGAAATATTCGTCGAATCTTCAGGGATAGGGGTGGAAGCGTCGGTAGTTCTCATCACGCCGTCTTCTTGGTGTAGACTCTGAATTCTCGACTCAAGTTCAAGTCACTCATCGCTTCTGGATTGCGCTCTGTGGGACGACTTGTGAAAGCTAGATTCGACTAATTCTACTAGACGAACCGTCTTAATCTATGACATCTGTCACTCGATATGAAGAACATCTTGTGTTCAATTTAATCAATGAAGACGACGACAAAACCAATTCTTTCATCTTGCGTCTTCGCCAGCCATCAAGTTATTCGATTCTGTTATTGCGGTCTTCTCGCCGAAGGGTCGATATCTCCTCCACGGAACCTCCGTGTCTTAGAATCTCAACCATTATTTTCCCCAGTTTCGCAACTTTCCCAGCTCCACAGTCTTTCCCTTTGGCTGGTCTTGGAAGTTGGTGGTGCTGCAACTCTAAATGTGGTTGAGTGGATCTGATGGAGCTTGTCTGGACTCCGGAAGCGAGCTTTTCTGTTCGTTGCAAGATCACTTTTATCTTTGCACTGGATTTTCGTCTTTTAATTATTTCCAGTATCACTACAGCAATCACAAAAACACAAAGCCTCAAAGAACCTGTCTAGTCTGCACATTTTGTACACTGCTTACGGTACTTGAATGCCTACCGCAACTAAAATATCGGGACGTCTATTAACTGCCATAGCGTCTTTGGTCGAAACCGGCCCGATCACAAAAGCTGGATCCTAGCGCAGCCAACTTTTAGCACGAGATATATTGCATGATGCGGCTTATACCCATGCTCTACAACAACCTGGAGACTAGATCAATGTCCATAGAGCTTCAAATCGTACGTTTGTTGTGATGTTTGTTGAGGAAATACGCGTTGTCACGCGGCTTGATATGCTATCTTATCTTTCTGTCGCCAAATCCCTTCGGTAAGACCATACAGATTCTTAGATCTCAAACCCGCTGATGGAAATAATAGGCCGTGACTTTTGTTTTTGACCTGTCAAATACCAGAAAAATAAGTTTATTAGTTGAATTCCCTCCATGGACACACAAAGTTATCTACGGCGGAATCGTCGTTGAGTTGATGGTATTTTGCAAGCTTCAACTAGTCGTATAAAGATTTAACTTTGCAGGAAACTACTCGATTACTCCCTAAACAAATGTAAACTGCTGACTTGTATATCTACCAGATTCCCATCCCCCAATACCTTCTTCGTCCATAAACCCTTGAACATAAGCCTCTCCGACAACTTTGAACTGCTCACCAAAGGGTCGAATCACAATCGGCGTGCTACAACCAAACAAGATTGCGATCAAGTCACCCACCTGAGTCTGCTCTGAACCCTCACCATAGATATTACTCGGACACCACCCCAAACAGCCATTTTCCGTCGTCATAAATCTCCTTGCTTTCGCCGTGCGATCAACACCACAGTAAACCTCCATGAAGTCATACTCCGAGGCATCATCAGGAATAACGTCATCGAAAAAGTCACCAAGTCTATGACCCCAGAGCATGAATTCTCTGTTTGCTTGAACCCAGCCTCCCCATCTGAAGTAGTAACCTTCTTGGTCTCCTAACCATTTCCATCCTAGGTTATCAAACTGCGGTTTACCTTTTTCGAAGCTGGAAGGCAAGTGGAAAATAGCAGCATGTCTTCCTTCTGCCTTTCTCCCCTTGTCAACTCGGTCAGCGACAAGGGCCGTATATAGAGCTTTCCTGATACCAGATTCGTCGCCATAAGCACTGGTTTGTTGTTTGGGATTAATGATAGACTCGCGCGGCCACTCAAAATATCCATCCTCTCGTGAGCCGAGACCTAATATGCTTGTCTATCAGAAAGCCTCGACATTGTAAGAGAAACCCATCTTTCGAGAAAAAATACTCAGCTTTAGTATCTCCACTCGCGCGATATGGTTCCGCGGGAACAGCAAGTCGAGTGCTATCTACCGTCTCCCAGAACGGTCCCCAAAATCGAGTTTCCGGTCTATTGTATCGTAATCTACCATCCCAAGTCCAATCGGCAGCCCATGTTGGAGCATTCATTTTGCCCCAACAATTCCCTTCGCGGATCGGCTCCAGATCTTGGTAAGTCTCGATATACACCTGCAACACCTTTGCAAATATCACAGCTGACGAACTGATATAATCTGGTACAAGCTGCTGTGAAACGAGAGGATCCATCATCCCAATCAGACCATACACTTTGTCCCTCACATCGCTCGAGTTCGCCGAGTTTGCAAGTACCAAAAGACGACCAAAATCAAGCCAGTCTCTCCGCGACTTTTCCTCTCGCATCTTACTCATCGGCCACAGATCTTTCGTAATAAGATGACAACTGGTCGTCGACCACATCTGAGGTTGTCCTCTCCTACGCGGCACGAGAGCCAGATCCCGCTTCAACAACTCATCCTTAACCGTCCACAAATAATCCGACAAAAACACTAACCCAGTACAGAAGCTCTCCCAATCTAAACACCACTTTCCGCATCTCAGAACCACGCGCTTCGATCCAAGCACCACCTCCTGTATAACCCACACCCGGCTCCAATACTCGCGCTGCATAAACTCATGCAGCGCAAACCAACACCCAACTCCGAAATACGCCGGATCACACTTTAAACACGCTTCTACCTCTCGCCCTGCCCCAGATCGACTTGCTGCCGCTAATCTATCCAACAGAAGCATCGCAGCAGGACTCCCATTCCTTTCCTCGCCCGCCCATGAAATCACGATCCACGCAGAGCTGTACAGCATATGCATCTTCTTGACCTGTCTACCCCGTTCCTCGACATCCTTCTGATTAATACAAAGCGCATCAACCCACAGCCTAAACCTCCCATTAAACCGCTGCGTACCTCGCAGTGACCGTAGTGCCGCTTCGAGGTTTGCCCCAATATAAGTCGGTTGTTCGTTTAGTATTATCTTCCTAGAGCGTCCGCTACCCCAGACGTAAGAGAGGGTTGCAAAGTCGCCCCAGGTGAATCGGTGTTGAGGCGCATTAAATTGTGATTCCCAAGACTCTCCTCCATTCCTTTCAACACAAGCTCCCTCTTTCAAAGCATCCAACGAAACAATTTCCACTTTACATCGCAACACAACCTCTTCCTCTCCCCCCACAAAGCTCAAAACACGTATCTTATTCAACGCCTCATTTAACGGTGAATACACCACCGCCTGCACCGATTGCTCCAACTTCAGATTCTCTAATTCCTGCGCAAGATCATAGAGGTCATCAGTTAATTTGCTCAGGTCTGGAGGCGCATTGAGGATATCTCGGCGAGCTGCGGAGAGCTGCGGAGAGCGTGCGAAGGTCGTTGATTTTTGTGAGAAGGGAGAGGGAAGAGGTCATTATGTGGGTTGAAGATAGAGTGGATGACGAGGAACGGTTTTTATGTCCAGGAACGAGGATTGGTGGGCTGACTTGCATGAGCGTGCTTGTGTTCGATTGGTGGCTTCGTGTAACGACATTTCGAGATCCAAGTCGGACGTTCCCTACATAATGCACCTTATTTGGAAACCGTGGAACTACTCAAGTTCTTAGTTACCAATGTACGCCACAAGCCAACCCTTATTCCTCCGCTGTCTGAATTCACCACCTCAACCCTTTGAGATACGAGAGTATTGAAACGTCTTTCCCCTCTCGACTTCGAAATATCAACTCAGATTCCAAACGTCATCTCTCAACGTAGCAGCCTACAAATTATCGATGTATCTACTCGAAACCATCACGGCTTCTCGTCTCGCCAAAAGATAAATATTTCGCTTAAAACCAGAAAACCAACAACGAACCAACACGTCACGGTATTCCTTTTCTTCTGACCTCTCGGCTCAGAAAAATACCACTACTTTTGTATAAGGATCTTTAATCGACTAATCTCGCAAAGACGAAACACGAGCCACGACTGCCGCCTCTTTCCACACGCAGCCTTGCAGCTTGCGCACTTATCGGTATGGAGCCAGTCATAGAGAGCGTCAAGGGAATTGATTCGAGGTAAGCGCTTTTGGTGTGAGCTTGATATATCCCCGAATTAGCGAAGATTGCCTTACTGTTGGACATAAGCTACAACTTTACTCCCTATACACAAGAGTTATGTAGCACTAGTACGTCGAACACTGGATGTTTTTTTAGTTCTTCTTTTCTACTCCCATAGCTCGGTATAAGCACAGCAACCCTATTCTTTTTTTTTACTGTTTTCATTTCCCTTCATCAGCTTAAAAAACCACACGCTCCAAAACCTAAGGACCCTGGAAAATTCCGTCATCGCTCTCCTCTCTCATTAACTCTACATTCCCACTAACACCCTCCCAACCCCAGCCCCTCAAACCCTCCACCCGCTCACAAAGACGTCGATCGTCTTGAGGAATCCCATTCTCCTCTCCAGTCATCTACCCATGTCACACCCAGGAAATGGTCTACACCCAAGCCACAGGATCCAGAAATAGCGGCATGGTACGGCGTCACACCCATAGACGGCACAGACACCACAGCAACGAGCCAGACGCAGAAGGCTCTCCAGTTACTGTTTGGCGACGAACAGGTTAGACCTCATGTTGGGGATGATGGAAAAGTATCTTATTGGCAGTGTGGCTGTATGTCAAATTTCCTCCTCAGCTTCCACCACTACTTTTAAGGGATTTTACTGATCACTGCGAATACAGTGAAAGCATCTCAGGTGCGCGATGCGTTCAAGACTCCTGGTGTTAAATCTGTTTGGAATACGCCTAAAAAAAGGAGAAACTAAGCTGGCTGGAAGGGAATCATACATGCGTAAGGCTAGAAGGCAAGATCGGACTAAAAACCAGATGGGGGTTATGATGTGAAAGGATCTAGGGTCCTAGACATCACGGACAAGTGAAAGAGCTTTGGGATATTGACCTATCCCTCCTCCTAACGATCAATATCTCATTACACGCACCCAACCTGCCCATTACAGACCCATATGCATTACCCTCCCTTCAAATACACATTCGAATTCCTCGGGATGACTGGAAACCACTTTGTTAGCCATTATCCTCTCTAATCTCTACAGGACGAAGCGAGCTCACCTAGTCAACCCCGTAGTCATACCCACGTTCGGCTCAACTTCCTTTCCTCTCTCGTCCCTCACCTTCCTCACCCTCATCGTAGCCAATATCCCCACAACCGCAATCCACACGCCAGCGTATCCGAGATTCTGACCTGGACATATCCTGTTTATTCGTCAGTCCATGCCCTTAGATAATGCTCTATTCACTCCCAAAGAAAAGATACGAACATATCTTTTACTTTTTTATGTCTTGTTGAATCGAAGAAAAAGACTCACCGTCTTCCAAATCCAAAATGCGCACACGGAACCGGCGCCCCATCTCCACCTTCAGAAGGAGGTAAATACCGATCCGGCCAGAACCTATCAGGATCTTTATACACATTCGGATCCCGATGAATGGCGTAGGCGTTTGCAATAACTAGCGTGCCGGCCGGGATATAATAGCCTTTGTAGGTTGTGGCTTTGGAGGATTTATGTGGGATTGCTTTGCTCATCAACACCTTTACATGTATTTGTGAAGGGGAGGAGGTAGTACTTAACGGCACAACTGGATTCCATCTAAAAACTTCTTGCACCAATCTCTCTATGTACGGCAGCTTCTCGCGGTGTGTAAAATCAGGAAAACGGTCAGCGGGGACGACGCGGTCGATTTCTGCTTGGGCGGTGGATTGAATGGAGGGGTTGAGGAGCATGGCGAGGATGAAGACTGTTATTGTGGAGTGCGTCTACATCATATATCAGCATTCTGAAATTTTTGAGTGTGGAGAGGGAGTACCGTGTCCTGGGCAGCAGTATATAAAGTCGCTCCCGCGCCTTCGATATCCGCATCTGTGATCTCGTCGGGTGTTTCGCCTAGGACATCCCGTTCTTCGATGAGGGAGCGGATGAAAGAGGGGGTTGAACCGCCTTGTGCCTGGATCGTTCAGCATTATCCCTAACATAAGCTGGAGAGGGGAGTCTACAATTTCCTTCTTAACATGTTCGAACGGCAGGTTATGCATCTTCCTCACATATTCCCTATGATCCCTAGCAAATTTCAAGCTCGGGATGAACGTCACCCATTCCGGTAATCGCCTAACTGATCCCCATCAATCAGCCAAAGTCAGAAACAGAGTAATGAAAGAGAGGAAGCCTACTAATCGGAAACAAATCCACCATCGTACTCCCCGTACTCCCCCCCGTCCCCCCAGCCTCAGAAATCTGATCCGCAATCTTCACATACAGATCATCTCGTCCTTTCACCTCAATGCCATATGCAATCCGCAGTACCACTGCCGTCGTATACCTATTTCCAATCAGCCACTCCATGCATCCCTCACACCTAAACTATCCCCTCACATCCAAACCCTCTAAAAACAAGAAAAGATTCAAGAAACTCACGCCTTAACCTCCCCATTCCACTCCCCCGGACTCTCCAAAATCCTGCGCACCATTTTCCACGCCTCCTCCACCTGCCCCGCCTGATACCCCACGCATTTCGCGAGCGTAAATGAGGATCCAAAGATCTTGCGGTGTTTTTTGAATTCGGCGCTGCGGGAGAAGAAAGTCAGGGAGTTGGTCCAGCCTTGTCTGTTTGACTTCTTACTATAAAGGACAAAGATGGAGGGTTAAGGGTAGGGAGATGGGCGCTTACTCTTTGAAGAAATGAAAGTCCGAGCGGTCGCTGAATAGGGCGCCTCTCTTGTCTAAGAGGGCGATGGCGTCGGCGGCGGTGTTGAGGATGAGGACTGGTTGGGTGAGGAAGGAGAGGTAGAGGATATCTGTGTCTACGTTGTGTGAGTGGTGAGATCGAGGATGTTGTGAGGATATCTGGCTAACTGTATTGTTTTCCCCATTTCATATAAGTGAGTTCTGGGTTCTTAGAAGGGATGGAGCGGATGTGGCCGAGGATTGGGTCTGTGGGCGGGCTTGGGGGAAGAGGAAGGGATTGCTTTTGGGGCTTGAGGAATTTGTAGAGCACGAAGAGCAGAAGGCCGGAGAGGATGTAGGTAGCTATCGTTGCCATTTTGGCGTGTGAAGGGAAACGAAGTGAAGATGGATGTAGTACGACGGGCTTCGATTTATTTTATACTTGACTGGAAATCTATTTAAAGGTTAAGGGCGGCAGTATCACAATGATGATACGAGGTGTAACTTGATATAGCACGATGCATTTCCCATGCAATATAGGAATGTATGCTAGCCATCAATTATAGTCCGTTGATACACATCGACCCAACACAGATGGTTGCAGATTTCTAGCTTTCCGATCGGATGGACTAGGACTTCTGTGTAGACCACATGTTGTGGGACGAGGCCCTCTCGATTGTATGAGAAGCTTGATCCAATCACGGATTGCTGTACCTCACAGAGTAGATGATAAGATGCTTGAATACAAGCTTCAGGTATTAAGCGTAGCATTTGGCAACCGTGAGAGATTGAAAAAACTTCAAGTTGTTTTTCAGTCTAATCCTCACTGAAAGCCTGTTTTCTCGTCACTGAGGTTTACTTATTTTATGCAACACAATCAATCCCTCTGTAATACCCTCTATTCCGTGCATATTCCGTATTGCAAACTGATGAGGGTGCTTGCATCTTACCTTCCATCTTTGTTGCCATAATCTGATCCATAATGTGATTCTAGCAAAGGAAGCTACGCCTGTCCAGACGAGCGGGATAGTTTTTTGTAACAAGTATCGTATTGATCTCGGAATCCTATCCACCTCTGCTGTTGCGACAGCTGTATGAATACAGAGTAGACATGCATTGGATGGCTCCCTGTCCTCGAGTACGACCGTGACCACCTGGATCTCTGTCGTACATAGTCTGACAAAGATGGAAATTTCGCATTTGCTTCGGACATTAGTGTAAAGGTTGAAATTTGTAGTTGTTTGGAACGCAATGTATCTGACAAAATTTTCAAGTGATTCATAATGGCGTGAGTCAAGCCCAATAACGTAGGAAGTGCTGACCGTAATTATAATTGTGGTACTGTACCTAGGCAGAAGGCGGGGTATATGGTACACAATGGACATGTTGTAGTACAGATAGGCCGTGATAAATTGGCGCAGGGGTCCGGATAACTCTGCTTTCGTACTAGCCACTAAGATCTGGCAAAAAATCCCCAAAATGCAGCCCTGATGCTGTACAATAGAACACAAGGTACCACTGGCCGAGAAAGCGAGCGGGTCGATTATTGATATCGATATATGCCAGGAAAGATATGCTGTACCAGCCTTTTCCCGAAAAGCGCGTGATTTAAGATAAAGGTCAAGCATTCGCAAGAGCAGGACACAGATGGTTCCATTTCTTTTCGGTCAGCTCTGTCAGGATCCAGGTCGCCAGTCTTCCGCGATCAAGAAACAAGCCATCGCGACCTTCCTCATCACCAACCCAAGCGGCATGAACCTCACCAGTGTTCTCGTCCAATTTCGTCCCCTTCAATAGTGGGACTCGGAAGACAGTCCAATCAATCTTCTCCCAAGCGCGACTGTCTCTTTGGCCATGCTTGATATCTCCTTGTAGGAATCTCCTCCAATTATCTTGACGTAGAAATTTATTGCCATATACCATTTCAAGCTGCGCTTGTCTTGGGGAGCCGAATAGGACGCAGTGGAAAGAATCATGATCCGCTTCGTGGTTCCGTTTGCGAGAAGGAGAGGGTAAAGAATACAGAGGGCGTTGGTTATGGGCTAAAGATAGATCAGCACTTGCGACTACAAACTTGCGCCATACATACAGTGCCTTCTCGTTTCCCGAGCGTAGGACCGGCGAGAGATATGAAAACATCGGCTCCGCAACCCGAAGCTTTCTTCATTGCTTCCTCATCATGAAATTCGCCCTGGATAACATTGAGGTTGCTATTCGATGAAAGTTCTGGTGGGATCTTGGAAGGTGTTCGCACATAGAGCGTGAGTGTGTGCCCAGCTCGTAGAGCTGCTTCAGTGAAGATCAGACCACAGATTCCAGTCCCGCCCAGGAGGAGTATGTGATGCTTTGCATTCTGTACATCCATTTTGAGGGTTTGTGTTGACCTGTTCTAGGAACTCCAAGTTGATCGCTATCGCCAGAGTCGGGATTGATCTGTCCGTGTCGCGGAGAGCCAAAATCTCGACTGGTTCTATGTTTTGCTTTTGAAGCCTCGAGGTGCGACGAGAGACCAGCAGGTTGTACAAATGGTAAGTGTTACCAGTGCGGATGGTTTGCGTACTCCGGTAAATGACCTGAAACCTCGCTGTTTCCTAATTAGTTTGTATTGGATGGTTAGTGTAGATATCAAAGTTGCCTGGTTCCGAAGAGAAGTAACACAGTATTTGATTTTGGCTTCGAAGTTCGAAGTATTGGGAGCTCCATCGACTACCTTGCGATGGTCCATTGAACAGCTGCTGGTCAGGTCCCTAGGTAGGAAGTCTGGCCCTCGTCACACGTCACTCGTCCCTGGTACCTAGGAACAAAAATTTGGACCTGGACCGCGAAAATATTCGCTGGGCTTGGACAAAAAGTCTCGGTTGGCCGCGGAGCACGTGTTATGTAATGCCGCTGTCTATTTTTGCCGCGCTAACCTTATCTCGAAGATCGCCTGAAAAAGTGTGCATGCGACATGCGACCACCACTTCTCGACCTATCATCGTTGTTGGATATAAGACAAGGGGGTGGGATTCACAATTGTGGTCATCTTCGAGAACTTATATCTTCTTCTCAACAACTGCTTCAACCTTTGCAGCTTCTATATTTTGCTGGCCTGGAGGTGTCCTCATCATGTCTGCCGTCATCCCTCTTATCGCCCGATCGCTCTCGAAAGAGCTCACCGTTCAAGAAGCCTTATCAGGTATTTTTGGTAGCATCAGTTTGGCAACATGGATATTCTTACTGGTAGGTCATGATGAGCGGAGATGAGGATATACTCTTCAAATAAAGCTCTAACAAACTCTGTAGGTCCCACAACTCATCTTGAATTATAAATCCGGAAGCGCGGAGGGAATCTCCCTCGCATTTTTATTCGTATGGATGATTGGTGATATCACCAACCTCTCAGGTACGTAAAGGGCTATCCAGAATCTTCAGCCGAATCTTCAGCCAACCCATCATCGACCCAGTATTCGCCGACCACGAGCTATCTCCTCGATGTGCCGTTTTAAATCTTTCACGTGCTTACCATTCATAGGTGCCATCTGGGCCAAACTTGTGCCTACGATGATAGCATTAGCCATCTATTTCTGCTTTGCAGACACAGTATTGATCTCTCAAGTCTTGTACTACAAGTTGAAAAACGCCAGGGAGCGCAAAGATTCTGTGGTGTCAGTGTCCTCAAATGAGCAGGAACCTCTTCTCAGCAGACGACGAAGCAGTGATGCTACTGGGTTGCCAGGCTCTCACAGACGTCGCTCGTCAGCTTTGAGTGCTACAAGCCACCGGACTGACACATTGACTAAAATTCTTGAGGAGAGTGAATCAGGAGATTCCAACCCTTGGGTAAGAAATACCGTTAGCATTCTCGCCATTCTTGCCGCTGGTGTTGCTGGATGGGCAATTGCATGGCAATCAGGAGTTTGGGCACCTGCTCCCGTGAACGATATTCCTGTTTCTGCCGAGGAAACTGCTGTAGGAGCGAAGGTCTTGGGATATATCAGCGCTTTGTGCTATCTGGGGTAATTAATTATCCTTTCAAGTGACAAGTTGCTTGCTAAAATCGGACTCTAGTGCCAGAATTCCTCAAATAGTCAAGAACTACCGAGATAAGTCATGCGAAGGTATGTTAAAAAAAGAAAACATGGCGACCCGACTGTTCGCTCTAACATTACGTAGGACTTGCTCTCCTCTTCTTCATCTTGGCGCTGGTTGGAAATGCGACACAGGGTGCCAGTATCCTGTTTCATTCTCAGGAGAAGGACTACCTTATGACTAACCTACCATGGTTGCTCGGTTCGCTGGGTACAATGATCGAGGATGCTACAATTTTCGTCCAGTTCCGGATCTACTCAAAACCTTCCACGGATGCCGTTGAATGAGTTTAGGCGAAGACATAGATGCTCGTGCTATTTTGTTTATTTCCACCATCTCAGCATTAAATTAACCGTGGGCGTTATTGGGAGAGGGTTGGCTATCATTATTGTACTTGTACCTGGCTTTTCCAAGTCAAGAGGCTAAGTTGTGAATTTGCATTGCATCAGGCCATAGAATATATGTAATACTGTATCCAAACCAAAACCAACTCGTGAATTAGGAATGCTGTCTGTGTGAAAATTCTAAACAAGATTTGCACGAATTGAAGTTAGTGATGAGGCACCGTCAGAGAGGCAGAGTCGAGGGGATTCATTTCGTTATGAGGTTCCACAGTAATTCACCCGTTTCGGACTGGCGTCTCGGTATCCAGTGCTCCTGAGACTGGGCTCCGACTATCTTCATACAGTTATACATCAACGACACTTTATCTTGTGTTTCTTCAATTTCGCGTCAATCTTTCAGAGGAAATCTTGTACTCACTCCTTGTACAGACCCTCATCCACTCTCTTCGTTTCTTTCGATTATCGCATCTTTGTTTGCCCCTACGATACCCAAGCAGCTGAACTACCACCAGCTATCACGATGCACTCGACTACCCTCCTTTTGGCAGTCCTCCCTTCTCTGGCAGTAGCTGCGTCCGGAAACTTGGGATTTGCTCTCGGAGCTAAGAATCCAGATGGAACTTGCAAGACCTCAAGCGATTACTCGGCGGATTTCAAGGTCCTGGCACCACATTCCAAGATTGTTCGTGGATACTCTGCTTCGCAATGTGACACTGCGGAAGCCATCCTCCCCGCTGCTAAAGCAGCTGGAGTGAAAGTTATCTTGGGAATATGGTATGTGTGAGCAGCCTAAATTTGAATTGCGAGCTAATTGGTGTTGCTCTAAAGGCCCGACACTGAAGAATCCTACGATGCAGACAAAGCCGCAATTGTCAAGTACGCTCCCCAATATGCCGATCAAGTCTACGCTATTACTGTCGGATCCGAAACCATGTACCGTGGAAACTTCACGGGAGAAACTTTATTGGAGAAGATCAACGACGTGAAGAAAGCGACTGGCGGCAAATTCAAAGTTGGAACGGCAGATTCATGGAACAAATATCAGGATGGAACCGCAGACCCATTGATCAATGGTGGTGCTGATATATTGTAAGGAGATTTTGTACCTATGATGGACCGGTGCTAACGCTGCATAGGCTTTGCAACGCTTTCTCTTACTGGCAAGGACAAACTTCTGCCAATGCTACTGCTAGCTTTTTCGACGATATTATGCAAGCTTTTGGGCATATTCAATCTGTTGCTGGCTCTACCACCAAGGGACCTGAACTTTGGGTTGGCGAGACAGGTGAGGGTCTTCGCATTACTTACTGTTCTACCTACTAATTTGTCTGTAAAGGATGGCCAACCGGTGGAAGCAATTATCAGAACGCAGTCCCAGGTCTTGCTAACGCCAAATTCTTCTGGCAAAACGCTATCTGTGGTATTCTCGACTGGGGTGTCAATGTTTTCTCATTTGAGGCATTCGATGAGCCATGGAAGCCAATGAGCATCGGTCAGGATGGAAGTGTTGCTGATGAGACTCACTGGGGTATCTGGAATGCTGATCGATCCGAGAAGTGGTCTGTTACGTGCTAGATATATTTACGGTTTGGTTGGCGATATTCAGGCTAGCGATATTGCACAATATTTAGGTACCATTTAGATTGGAGATTTGCCAAGGTTGGATGCCGGAGATGTGGAATGGAAAATATGAAGAGATATCCCTTTTCGTCTGATTATGTTAAAACCATCATGTACGACTTTGCTATCGATATCCTCGTGAGATGGTGATACTGAGTTCTTTTGCTTCGAATGAGCGGGCTTTATTACTGTACGCACCACTTGCTTCCGCCGGCGCTCGATATTGGGGACTGTAAGACCCCATGGAATACCTCGGCAAAAAAGAAATACAACTTCCAGGTTGCTTGAACCCACGATTTCTTGTGTGTAATTTGCGCAGTAAGTGAACGCGAGTCTATGCTCCTGTAGATAGAAATTCACACCTGAACGATGTTGGACTTGTTTACGATACATTTTCTCAGCTAGACCTTCGACTAATTTAGGGGACCGGGCCGGGGCGGATGGCCAGTCCTTGTTGACAGTCGAAGGCACGCCGTTATCCACTTGCATGGCCGCCACGTATTTTTTTGGATTCGATACGCGGTGTCGAGAACAACAAGATCGACGGACATACACGTGGAGAAGAAGAAGAATCAATGGATTAGGGCTCAGAGACCTCTTAAATTACCTCAATTTCACAAATTTCAGAATCAATAGTATTAGGGCATTGAGTTTGGAGAACTATTTCTCCTCCACTCGATCGCAAACTGATTGGAGCCAATCTCAACCCACCCCACACCCCCGGTCAAGCTACGTTTTATTTCGACCACACCTCGAGCCTGTGAACACCTGCCTCGTCTCCAAAATATCCAAATCGCCCACGCCCTCGATCACGACGAAGAGGCTGCTTATATCTATCGACCCGTCTCGTGTATGTATATACCGTTACTGGCTTGATTGTGTCTGGATGTTCTGCAGTCGACTTCTCCTATTTACTCATACTTTCTGCGTTATGCCACTCCTTTAATTTACCCGGCCAGATTTCTCTCCTTGTCGAGCCTGGTTGAACGCGTCGCAGCCACATCTCTCGATTGTTTCCGCAACAGCACAGCCCTTTGCCATTGTTGGGCTCCGGTAGATAATTAGAGACACAGTGGCAGACGAATCCTGTCTGCGCTGAGTCTCGTGGTGGTGAGTGACTCGGTGGATCATTTGGCACACTGCTGTTCTTGCTAACGCGCCTCGGTGCAGTAGAAATTCAGAACAATTTCTTCATTGCCTTCATCCCCTCCGCCTGCCGCAGAGGCAGAGGACGGACCCCTTGATCTTCCTTCCATCTCATCGGCGCGACCTGGATCACCAGCTTTCTCGACAACCTCGACTGCCGACGGAGGCTCATCCCCTTTACTACCACCACTTCCGCCTCCAACATTTGGTGGCAGGACACTCGATCATCTGAATACTACTCCTCCTTCTATCGCGCGAACGCATCGAAGTAACAGCAGTAGCCATAGCCAATATTATACCGCTAGTTGGGGATCGCCCTACCAACACCCAGTTGGCACTTCTCATCGGACTCGATCGCAACGACATAGTTATACTTTGAGTGGCAGTGAGAGATCCGAAGACTCATCAATTCGCCATCTCGAGTTCCATACACCTTACTTGCGACCTGCTCCCAGCTTCACTCGGACTCACACGCTTCCTGACTTCGTCTCGCAAGACGGTCTTATTAGCGCAGCTGTCCTTGCGAACCGAGCTCGACGACCCAGAAGAGGATTGACCGAAGACTGGATTCGCCAGCATACCGGTGGTGAGCTTGCAGAGAGAAACCATTGGCTGAGCGACGACGCTGGAGATAGTGAGCACTCTTCATTGAGCGGATCCATCTCTGGAGAAGGAGAAAACTGGTTGGCGCAAGAGCAAGAAACAAGCCCTCAAACACCGACGCTGAAAAGATTTTTGGAAATACGGGAAGAGCAAAGACTCGCCAACGGAGCTCATCGTAGAAATCTTAGTACGGAAACATTAACACAAGCTGATTTCTCCGACGTTGGGCTACCCAGTATGTCGGGAGAAATGGGAAATGCTGCTTCCGCGGAGGATGTAGCGACGCCCACCGAAGAGAGGCCAGCTCCCCCACCAAAAGATGGATCATGGCTTCCAAATGCCATTCCAACTTTTGGCTTCGATTTAGCTGCGGACCCGGCACCAGCTTCTTCGCCTGCGCCCGCTCCTCCTCGATTGAAAAAGAAAGTTCCATGGAAAGGAAAGACGATCCCTGTCCTGCTTCCTTGGGATGATGAACGTGGTATGGCAGGAAAGGCTCCAATGCCTCTGCAGCCCAAAGATGTAGAAGCCATGCTTGAGAAATGGGAGCAGTCAGGTTATGATACAAAAGGCTTTAGCCTGGGCCACGAAAACGATTACAATGGGGCGTATGGCACACAAGGCCAGAGTTGTGGTATATGGCCGGCCGTCAATGATCTGGACCAGGAGCGGGAGCAACGGGATTTTCAAGTCAGCATCCCGGACAGAAAAGGTGAGAAATTTTTCTTAGAAGATGGATTTGAGTTTGCTCAAATACCGTTATATAAGCTCCTTGCGTCCACGAAGCGGTTACTAGTCCCACATTCCACGTTTCAAGCAAGACATTTGATATTCAATTATCGTCATGCTGACTAACGTGTCGTTTTTATGGTCATTGCTAACAAAACCACAGAATGGGACGCGTATGTTGAGGAGTTGAAGGAAGCCAAGCTTCGTGCACTTGGTGTATCTCTTGGAGATGATGATCCACCTCCAACAATCTCACCAGCTGTCGCAACAATGAGCCGACAAAATTCTATGCAATACCCTCCCTTGCCATTCTCGCCGCCTATACCAACTTCTTCAGCTTCCAGTATGCACCGCCAGCATCCATTCTCGCCAGCTTTACTAGTTGGGGCAGGGCTCTCAACAGGCCAGAGTTCCAACCCCGGATCGGTCGCCTCGCCAGCTTCGATGCACGCCCATCTGCAAGGGAAATTCAACACGAGGCATCAATCCGTATCTTTCTCGCCAGGGGAACATCCATTCGGTTCGCCATTTCAGTATCCTCAACCCCAATCACCTGGAGTATGGTCACCCCAACAAGCCATCTTTCAGCAAGGGCACGCTCGTGGTGGGTCTCCTTCCATGCACAATTTGGGATCGATTATGTCGCCAAGCTCTCCATTCTCTCAGGATGGTGGCTACTTCCAGAACGGCGATGTCATGTCTCAAATGCAGCAACGACAGCAATTTCTTCAGAACCAGCTCCATCACCAGCAACAATTACAAATGCAATCAAGTGCTAGAGCTTCGCCACGCCTGCAAGATCTTCGGGAAGTTGACGATGAAGCCACTACTGTTCCGTCTAAAAGTCCGTCCAAGACCCCAGAGGCTAGGCCAATCAGACATAATCCTAGTGCCAGCTTGCAAAAAGAAATTGATGATGCCGAGTATCATCTGGAGGAGCAAATGGTGCGGCAGCTTGAGCATGAGGATTACAGTCCTCATTCTGACCACGGCGAGAAGGAGACTAGATTTGCAGAGCCCCCTGTTCATGCTCGAAACCCTTCGGTTATCAAAGGTGGGCTTGGGTCCTCACGTTTTGCCATCAGCGATGATTCGGATCCTGGTCCTACCTTGCACCACCCTCAACCTCACAGTCGGGGCCACTCCTTATCTCAGCAACCTTTCCATGACAGTGAGGACACTCTGAGCGCTACAGACATTAAGGCGCGCTTCTCTGGTAACCTTAAAGGATTGTCAGCAGACGCCTCTGATCTTGAGACAAATCCAAGCAATATTGGTACCCCCTTACACAGCTCTAATCCTTCCACCAACAACCATAGTAGAGCTCTTTCAACCATCAGTAACCCATGGGCAGAATCCGAAGCCGCTAAGAATGGGCAACGTCGTAACGGCCACAGCGCTAAGCCGTCAATGTCGACGCTCAATGTTGCGGCCAAGGAGTTCAAATTCAACCCTGCGAGCTCCTTCAAACCAAGCCAATTCTCATTTGGCAGCAATGGCTTTCAACCACAGCAACCTGTCTCTGCATTTCCTGCCTTTGGCCTCCCAGCTTCCGCTACTTCGAGCCACTTCAGCCATCCATCTATAGGAAGTGGAAAGATCAATGTCGCAGCGCCAGTGTTTACGCCTGGCCAGAGCGAATTCAGTTTCTCCACCTCTGGTCCAACTTTCAGACCCGATGCGCCAGCGTTTACACCGTTGTCTGGTGGATTTGGTAGTTCCATTGGAAGCGTGGGGTCTGGTAGCGACGTCCCTCAAAGCACCATTTTTGGTAACATCGATCTCAATGCCATCAACACAAACAAAGCTTCTAAGAAATCCAAGGCTATTCCTATCATCAGACCAGATAGTAGTCACTCAGTCGAGACAGAAGATGATGGTGTGGAAGACAAGGATGGCCGGATGAATCGGAGTGAGGGGCGTAACAAGAGAGCTCGTGGCGGAAAGGACGACGGCGATTCTGTGCCATTGTTTGCTGAGCCCAGCTTGCCTCTTGGGGAAACATCTCGAGAGCAGTCGCCTCCGAAGGAATCACCAGCAGCCTTGGAGAAGCCTACCGACAAAGAAAATTCAGCACCCCTTGCCAGCCAGGATGTTTCTCCTATCACACCGGATGCAGGTGCTTCTCATATGTTTGAGCACTCTGCGGAGCAAGGTAACAAAGAATTTTCACCGTATGAGTTTCAGCAACAGAAACAAGCAGAGGACTTCAATGCTGCACGGCCATTTGTGTCTCGAAGATACGGATCTGGTCTTCCTGGATACGGTTTCCACGCTCCTTCAGAGGATGGCGAAGTATCACCAGTGGAAGAGGAAATAATTTCTAGACCTGCAAGTAAAGGCCATAAAAAGAATGTGTCATCATTATCTGCTACTGCCAAACCATTCGAGTTTAGGCCTGGAGCGTTCAACTTTACCTATGCAGAAACTTCCGAGCCAACGCCGACCATGAAATCCCCGCCGACATTGCCAAAGCCGAATATGGGTCTGTCAGCTTCTAGATACGCGAGAAGCCCCACGCCTCCTGCTGCTATCGATTCTTCTGACATTGGTATGAGGTCTCCTGAGAGATCTGAGTTCCAAGCTGCCTTGCCGCTAGAAACTCCGCCAAATGATGCCGAGGAGGAACAATCTGATGCTGCTACCCATGAGGCGACGTTCGAAGAGATCGACGCGATCATGAATCACATGAATCCCAATGCGATTGATACCGCACGTGCAAGCTCTCCAGGTTGGCAACAGAGCAGCCCTACCAGAGGTATTCAAATGCCAGATATGGATGCCTCGTCGCCGATACGACTCCAACCACAGAATCTCATGCGAAGTGACGCTCCAAGCCCAAGCCCAGGAAGATTCATGTCCGTTCCTGGTGCTAATGGAGATGGTCTCTTTTCTCATGATCCCTTCGTTGGAGATAGCTTGCAGACAACAATGCCTTTTATCTCACCATCACCAATCCATCGTCTCAACAGAGCAGGCAGTGTTCCGCAAAGCGATTGGGACGATGTTCTTAGTGAGACGGAGGAGGCTAAGTTACAGCCACGCTCCCGATTCTTTGACAACCATGTCAATGATCTGGTCGGTGGTCTTTTGGCAGAGCGGATCGAACCTCTTGAGAGAACCTTGGAAACTATACAGGTCTCTATTGAGATGATGGCTGCACGTGCGCCTTCGAGCCGTCAGGAGAGAAGAAGCATATCCGGTGCTCTCAGCGATGCGGACGACGAGGACGACGATATCCCACGCCGGTCCCTCAGCCCGCAGAGGAGAGATCAGAAGCTTGATAAAATTAAGCGTATCATTATCGATGCGCTCAATACTCACCAGAGCTCTCAGACTGTTACTGGGGCGCCTCAAGAATCCGAGTCCACTGATTCGCGTAATGTACTTCAGGTTCTCGAAGAAATGAGAGAACAGTTTGGCCAATCGATGCGCCTCGACCTTCGTGGAGAAGATCTGCGCAATGTGGTAGAAGAGGCCGTTGAGCGACGCATGCCAGCTACCGTCAACCCAGCTGCTATTGTTGACGAGGCAGCGATTACACGAGAGGTAGAGCAACGAGCCCGGATTGCTCAACTTGAGGAAAAACTCCAAATTGCAGAAACCAAACCTGTCATCGACCAAGCTGCTATCGTACGGGAGGCTGAGTATAAAGCAAAGATTGCCCTTCTTGAGGAGCGGGTCCTTGCGGCTGAAGCTAGGCCGCTCTTTGATGAAGCGGCTGCCGCGAGAGAAGCCGAGCAGAAGGAACGGATTGCGGAGCTCGAGAGTAGACTTCGTGGTGCAGATAGCAACACGGAAACTGAGATTCAAAACAGACGAGCAGCCGAAGATCGTCTCGCTGAAGTTCAACGATTACTCAGAATTTCATCAGAGGAGGAAGACCGCCTTAGAGAGTCCATGGAGCAGAGAGAGGTCAAGATTCGTGAGATCGTCGACGAGCGTGATCAGAAGGTAAGAAGCGTGGAAGAGTCACGAGCCAAGACTACTATGCGCATTGCCCTCCTGGAAGCCGGCCAAAGCAATGCTCAAAAGTCACAAATGGACTTGCAAACTAGGATCAATATTACCGAGAGCGAGTTGCACCAATGCCGTCAAGAACTCCAGCATTGGCAAATGGAAGCTGAACGTGCCGTGGAATCCGCCAGGAGACACAACGAGGATGCGGAGCAGGCCAACGATACCAACAAGGAGCTCAGAAGGACCATTGATACTCTCAGGACCCAGATGGAGGAAAGTATCCGAGTCCGCGAAGGCATGAGAGGGAAATTAATGCTTCTGCAGGAGGAAATGGCCCATGCAGCCCGTGACATCTCGGAAGACAACGCCCGTCGCGCCAAAAAAGAGCAGGAGCTCGTCGCCCGGCAAGAGGTCCTGGACGCCAGACTTCAAGCGGAAGCTCGAACTCGGGAACGCCTGGAACTGGAAATTGAAAGGTTGGAGAACGGAGAGAGAGAAGGAATGAGAGCTGTCAGCGATATCAAGAAACTTGAGGTCATCGTAGCCGAACTGCGACAAGAAAATCACAATGCTCAGAAAGATGCTATGCGATACCAACGAGAGTTCGAAGAAGCCCGGGAATCTGGACTTAGCGAGGTGCAGCGGACAAGAAAATACATGCAAGCTGAGATCGAGTCTGCTAACAACCAAGTCAATGTCGTGCGAGAAGATCTTGAGAACCAAGTTTTGAGACTCCGTGCCGAAATCGATCAGGTGAGACTCGATGCAGATACTGCGAAGGAGAAGCACGAAATGTTACTAGAAGAAGCGAACACCACCAAAGTATCAATGGCCGCGGAATTGAAGCAGCAGCATGCTGATGCGGTGGATGACATGATTGCGCAACATGAGCGACAACTTGGGAATGCCATAGAGGATGCTCAGCGATCCGAACAGCATCTGCTTGAGCGACTGTCACTGTCTTCTGCTAAGACCGAGCATCTTCAAGATCGCGTTCTACATCTGGAGGAGAAACTTGAGATTGCTAACCAGGCGGCCACTGCTGCTGCTAAGGCCGCTCGAACTGCAAATATCTCGGGTCCGCCAGCTTCACATTCATCAAATAGACGTGTCTCTCGTGGTGCTGATCTTCCAGAGAAGATTTCACCTCAGGCACTTCGCGAATCCATTATGGTTCTTCAAGAGCAACTGCAGGATCGCGAGCAAACAATTGAGAAACTTGAGGCCATCGTAGCAAACGTCGACCCTGAGGCGCACACCAAGATCTCCAAGCGCGATGATGAAATCATGTGGCTTAGAGAGCTTCTATCGGTTCGAAAGGCCGATTTGCATGATATTGTCGGCGCTCTCTCAACGGACCAATACGATCCTGAACAGGTTAAGGACGCTGCCATCCGATTGAGCGCAAATCTACAGATGGAAGAAGTTGAGCGAGAACGCGCCATGAACGGTGGCTCTGCAATCAACCTTCCAAATATCGCAGCTAGCCTTCGTGATGCTGCTAGTCCACGAGTTGCTCAAGCTGTTGGCCCCCTCGCTGCTGCTTGGGGAAATTGGCGTAAATCCCGGGAGCCAAGTGCATCTCAACCTGCATCACGCAGCAGCTCTTCCACACCAAGACAGTCCAACAGCCCTGCCAACTCATCTTTCCTCTCTGGGCTAATGACTCCACCTTCCACCAAATCTCAACTCAGTAACTCTCGTCAACCAACAGCCTTTGGCAGTACAGGCCAGCGTTTCACCAGCGCTCAGCTAGCTAACCGTCCTCGCGTTGCTTCTCGTCAAGAGCTGAGCAAGCCTCACGATACTGGAAGCCAGCGAAGTAGTCCCAGGAAAGAAAGAAGCAGTCCTAGAAAGCCGGCAATGATGAGTGGAGGTGGAGGCATACCGAGTACACCGCCGATGATGCGTAAAGCGAGCTATGATATGGATGCCAGAGCATCTGAGGATTTCAGCGACGCTGGTTTCTACGATGACGATGAGAGCGAGGTTACTGTGGATGAATCGATGTATGGTGGGGGACGCCGGTAATAAACCCTTTATTTCTTTTGTATTATTTAAACACAAATGGAGAATGTCGAAAAGAGTAGAGAGGGATATATGGGCTGCGGAAAATGTATACTCTGTAATGGATAGATTGAATAATTACCTGGGAATAGGGAGATGTCGAGACGCTGGAAAATTGGAGACTGCGGATACCCCCTTATTTGTTGTTGTTTTCTTTTGTCAATTGTTTTGCATATCTTGTGGTGGGGTGGTTTATAGTCTTTCGTTAATATTAGTATATAGTGTGGGTTGAATAGAGAGTGTAAATTGTAATGATTATTGATCATTGTGAGATGGCTCGCGGAGGAAAAAATAAGTGTCAATCACCTACCCAGTAATCTTGGACTGAATAAGTCGACTTCGAATAGAGCGTAAAAAGTCTTATTTGCTTAAAATGATTGACGAAATATCTAAATGTTCTAAATTAAACCACTAAACGATATTTCGTCAACTTAATCGAAGAAATACCGTGCTTCGACTGCCACTTATTTTGTCCACCGCGAGGATGGAAAGCAAAGTGAATGCAACCTGTTGATTCGGCGCTAGGGTTGCCAAACATGGGGGTGGAGAACACTTCTGCACTCCACTGTGAATCCGGGGATATCGGATGGAGCTCTGTTGATCTGCGTTACAAGCCTCTACGGAACCGATGAAGAAAGTCTTGGTCTCGAGGAGATGAGCGTAATCAGCCAGCTTGGTACACATTCGAACATCACGTGTCTCTCCCCCTCTTTCACACCCGCCACATAATAGGCGTTGCTCCAATGCCGGGTGATGTTTGTAGCGAGAAGCTCGAGTCACGTCATGACGAGACTACTTTGGAATACAATTGGAGGAAATCGAAGGAAAAGCTTAGTTTCTGGATAATAGCCAAGTAATAGATGCAAGGTACGAAAGACGTTTCGGAGTCCACTTGTGGACGATATGCAGGAGACTGCCTTTAGCAACGACTTGTTCTGGGTACGATTCTAAAGTGATTGTGGGGTTGTCTTGGAAATGCTTTGCCGGGTTTGGTATATCAAGTCATGCTTCCCAGAAGATGGGTTAGAGTTCAGATATCTCTTGTTCCTTGCCTGAGGAGTTCATACCTAAAATGAAGCTTCACCACTCCTTACCAGCGTTTCTAACCCTCCTCACCCCCCTAACAACAGCAAAATGCACACTCTCACCCCGTACGTCCTCCACATTCCTTCCCCCAATACCCTCACTAACACCCCCAGACGCCCAAGATCTCTTCAACTACTCCATGTCAATCAACGATCCCCGCTTCGACACCTCCTACAAATTCATCAGTTACCCGGATAAAGGGCCCTGGAGCACCCGTTTTACGTGTTGGTATGTAGCAGGGTTGTTACAGAGGAATGACGTTGAGGATTTGGAGAATGCGAAGGGAGCGCTGGAGGGGATTTTGGGGACGCAGTATACGAATGAGGAGGATTATGGGGAGGTGTGGTATGGGACTTGGAAGTTGTCGCCGGATCGTAAGTTTGTGAAGAATGGCATGATGGTTGAAGGGTGTTAATTGAGTATAGAGCCGACTCCTACACCGGATTCGGAACTGTATCCGCCTTCTATTTATGTGAGTAGTAGAGTTGATGTTTCCCTGGCTCAGAATTTGGAATTCTGATGTCTTCCAACCAGAACACATACGACCCGAATTGGCGCGAGTTCATCGGCACTCAGCTGGTCCAGATCGTCGAAGAATTTTCAGATCTGATCGGTGAAAATCTCGTTTCTAGAATTGTGAAAGCCATGGAAATACAAGCAATCGGCGCCATGCGTCGAAACGGTACCGAAGGAGACAATCTCGTCACAGCATATACAAATCCAGCTTTGATGCGAGCCCTCACTGTAGGTTGGGTAGGCGTCAGAACGCAGAACCAAACCTACACCGACTTTGCTAATAACGAAGGAGAAATGATAACTCAACTTTTCAGAGAAAGCGGAAACGCGTTTAGCGAATACAACGCACTCACTTACTACGGGGAAGATATTTGGGCATTAGCAGCATCCATAAAATACGGGCCTGCAAACCAAACACTCACAAAGAACGCTCCGTTCATGCTAGGTGCACTCTGGGACGACATCGCCGAACATTACAACGCCTACCTCGGAAACTTCGTAGGCCCATACGATCGAGCAAACAGCCGCGACCTGACGCAACACAGCGCCATCCTCCCCCTCTGGTTCTGGGGCCTATTCGGCTACGAGAACGCGCCTGAACCAAATAAAATGGAACTCGACTTACTGTTCGACGCAACACAAGGCGCATCCTTCGCCTTAGTAATGGAAACAATTAAATCTCATATTAACCCACAAACACTCGCAAAAATCCTCACACCCCCCACCTCAACAGAAGAACGCTTTCTCACAAAAACCCTCCGCGAAAGCCTCTACAACGACACCACACGCACCACCACCTCCTACCTATCCCGCAACCTCATGATCGGCGGCCAACAATTCGCCGAAGAAGTCGTCCGTGGAAAACAATTCGTGCCGGTCATCGTGCATTGGGCTGCTGATCCGAATCATATGCCGTTTCCGTATATTGGATTCTTTAGTTTGTATCCGACTGCGACGACGATTGATGCTGTTGCGAGTAAAAATGGATTGAGTATTAGGTACCCGAATACCACGCAGCCGGGCACTGATCGGTTTGAGTTTATGCTGAGTGGGATACCGCCGGGGTGGAATCTTGAGGGGAATGTGGTGGATGGTTTTGAGAGGTTGCCGTGTTTGGATGTGAATGTGACGGCGAGGGGGTTGAGGAGGTTGCCGACGAGGTATGGAGAGGCGATTTATAATCAGCTGTATTATAATGTTACATATGTCGCTGAAGGAAACTTTACGGGCGTACCGGAGATTGAGTTGGGGTTCATGTATACTTGTTAGTTGGGAGGGGGACGTAGGACTCTGGTTGAGGAATTGGAATGGAGGGTGAGAACCAGGGGCATTGATAATTTGAACAGTTTAAGAAGACCACCCAAAAACCGAATCTAACACCCGACGCGTTTGAAACTATGCTGTCGACGTATTTTTAAACTGATCAGCAAGTTTGAAAATAAGCGAGCTTCATATAATGGAGAAAGTAGAGTTGAATTGAAATGCAAGTAAAACTCCGTTTCAACGAACACCAATTAATATAGACCAGATCTTTCTGAAGCCCTTTACTCTAAGCAAACTGTGAACTCAAATGGCTCCGGCTTCAATGCATACTGCGGCAATGTTTTCGGGCCTATCACTGATTAGAAACCCCTCTTTTCAAAACTTTAGCGCAGAAAAACACTTACCACAACTATCACTCCCCAACCCATGATGATCCAAATCTAATCTCACGATGACCTCTTCCCTCTTCCTCCTTCTCAACTCATACGGATGTTTCGCGCTCTCAACATCCACGACATCATAATGACTAGCCTGGAAATCAAATCCATCCGGCAAGTCCAAGAATCTCGCAGACACACTAGAGTTCCCATCTGCGCTTTCGAATCGCACCCATCGCGTCTCCGTATGATTCCCCGATTCTTGTGGAAACTCGTACATAGGCGAGAGATCGTCGATCGCAGCGGTGTAATTACCGAATCTTTGCGAAAGTTTCTTGTCTTTGTAGCTTTCGCCAGGGCCGCGGCCGAACCAGCTTGCGGTTTCGAATTTGGGGGCGAGCGCGAGAGTGAGTCCGAGACGGGGCAGTGTGAGGGGGAGGTTGAGACCTTGGGGTTTGCCTGCGACGTTTATGACGACGCTGGTGTTCGTGAAGGTATAGGTGATGGTTGTGTCAATGGACCATTCTAGAACTGGAGGTGCGACGCGTTGGATGGACTTGACAATCACATTCCCGGTGCTGGGATCTGATTCCCATGTTACGCTTCGCGTGTGTGGTTTTGCATATGGTAGTTCTTTTGCTTTCCAGTGTTTGCCATCCCTGTTATCGTTGTCTGTCAGGGCTCGAGAAATTGTGAGGTTCGGCCCAGTCTGTAGAACGTTCTCGGAATTCTTGATCCATGAGATGAATGTTCCCTTGACGAGATCGAAATTCCACGTGGACTCTGATCCTTTGATCTCTAATACTGTTGGGGAGATCTTCTTAACTTCTACAGCAGACCCATCTTTTGTGGGTTGTTTTGGCTGCTCACTTTCTGACGACTCGATGGGAACTTGCAGCCACGCAACCTCGTGGCCTGCTTTGGCCCAGTTGGTGTCGGCCTTCAATGTGAAACTTAGCTCAAGGAAAGCTTCCGTCGGAGCACCTGCCAGTTCAATTTTGGGGATCGATAAATTTGCTGTCTGTCCCGGAAGGATGTTTGGAATCTCGACGTCAGATCCGGCTTTATTGAAGTTATTTCCAATAATTTTCAAAGTACACTTCAAGTGGTCTAAGTTGTTGAAGTCGTAACGATTAATGATCTTCACACTTTCGATAGATCCTTCGACAAGCTGGACAGGCTCGATAGCTTTCTTGTATTCCAGGAGCCCTGATCCCGGGCGGTGTTGAGAGTCAACAACTCCGTCCATGACGAAGTTACTATCGTGTGGATATTCCCCAAAGTCACCACCATAAGCGTAATAGTCTTCTCCCTCCTCATTCTTCGTCAGAAGACCATGATTCGCCCATTCCCACACCCAGCCCCCTTGTAGACAAGGATGTTTGTAGAAGAGGTCGATGTACTCTTTTATGTTACCTGGTCCTTGACCCATTGCATGAATGAATTCACAAAGTACCAATGGTTTCTTGCCATCAAATTTCTCTGCAAAATCGATCATGATGTCTAAAGTTGGGTACATCATGGAGAAAATGTCGACTGTCTGTGCTTCGAAATCACCTTCGTAGTGGACTGGTCGAGTTTTGTCGACTGATTTTATCCAGTCGTACATTGCCTGAAAGTTTCGTCCGTAGAATGCTTCGTTTCCGAGACTCCACATGATAACTGAAGGATGGTTCTTGTCTCTGGAAATTAGCTGTTTCGCGCGATCCACGTAGGACTCCTCCCAATCTGGGTTGTCCGACAACCATTTTCCTGCACGCCCATAAGTTATAGCTTTCTTTTCTTCAAAAGTCTTCGCCTGTTCTGACTCTGGAAGGCTTCGCTCATGAATCGTGTCAAAGCCGTGGCACTCTAGATCTGCTTCATCCATGACCCATAATCCCAATTCATCGGCGAGTTCGTAAAGTCGAGGATCGTTCGGCTGGTGAGAAGTACGGAGCGCGTTAATGTTGTGTGTTTTCATGAGTAAAAGATCCTGGCGTAAGAATTCGTATGGAACTGCACGTCCTTTGGTTGGATGGTGTTCATGCCTGTTTGCACCTCTGAAAACAACTCGCTTCCCGTTGATCAGAATGATGCCGTCCTTGACCTCGACTTTGCGGAAACCAACTCGGTGAGCAACGTGTTGATCGCCAAGTTTTAACACTAAGTGATATAATTTTGGATTTTCGGCTGTCCATAACTTTGGGGCTTCGACGGGGATGGAAAACACAACGCCGCCACTGCTAATCTGAGCGGTTTGTTGGACAGTGACGGTCTGCTTGTCGGAATTGTAAAGTGTGAGTTCGACATCGCCTATTCCTTGAGCCTTAACGTCTACCGAAAGGGTAGCATTTGTATAATTATCATCTAGTTGTGTCTCAACATAGAAGTCTTGGATGTGATTCTCAGGAAATGCAAGAAGGTATACATCACGAAAGATTCCGGAAAGCCACCATTGATCTGCTTCTTATCAGTAAAATAAGACTTTCATCCATAAGTAATGTATACCTTGATCTTCAATGTAGCTTCCGTCGCAGAATTGATACACCCTCACAGAAATAATATTCTCACTCCCCTCCTTCACAAATTTGGTGATGTCAAACTCTGACGGATTCCTCGCACCTTGAGAGTAGCCAACTGCCTCCCCGTTGACCCACAAATGAAATGAAGAGTCGACTCCCTCAAATCGTACTCTAACTTGCTTATTTGCGAAACTCTTTGGTACTGTAAATTTTCGAGAATAACTTCCCGTTTGATTATTGTCGTATGGTACTTATCACGTGTTAATCCACGAGCTTTAAAAGTTTAAATGTCTGGGAAGACTTACCATGTGGGGGATCAACAGGAAAGGGATACACCACATTAGTATAATGCGGTTTCCCAAAGCCTTCCATTTGCCACATTGAAGGAACTTCCAAGTCGCTCCATTTTGACGTATCGTATCCTACAGCGTGGAAGTCTTCTGGGGGTTCAAAGGGAGAGCTTGCGTGGTGGAATTTCCATGTTCCGTTTAAATACAAAGCTTCTGTCTCGCTGGCAGAGTATGAAAGAACACTTTTGCTATCTGTATGATTGAAGAAATGAGCCCGGGGAGGTAAGACGTTACGATGTGTGACTTTCAAGTTGTCCCAATCGGGCGTTTGCGCGGGGTAAGAGCCCATCTTGTCGGTATTACTTGTATATGAAATAGGATAAAAGACGCAGAGAACGTTTGAAGATTGAATTGGATCAAGCCAAATCAATATACGTATAATTAAAATGTAAACACGAATTGAAATCGTCGTGAATTTTCTTAAGTATTGCTATTGCTAGACACTTGGTAGCTGTTTTGGTGGGGCTGGCTGAGGTCTTTGCCCGAGAAAGTAAGAACCTCAACATGACTCGGTTGATAGTCTAAAGTTACCAGTGTTATTGGACGAATAAACGGCCCGTAACTGCGGGTATATTTGACCATTTTCAAATTAAATATGGACGAATCTACTAAAGCAACTGGAGACTAACTCAAACGTGGGGGTTATGCAGGTGTACTAAGGTACAGTTCCGGGGATGTCGGGGAACGAGGAGTTTCTTCGGCTGCGCCAAGCTGTGGAGAAGATGGCTTGAACAGGTGAACGTGTTTCTCCTTCCTAGAAATAACACACATACAAACGTATTCTGGCATGTTAATGGATAGCATCAACAGCGACATCTAGATGTTAATCCCATGGCATCCCGAAAACTTCATCAAGTGGTGGTTTCACATCAATTGAGCGGCGAGTCCTCCTAGAATACCTCGAAAAGTTTGTGGGGGTTCCTTCAATTCGCAACCAAATACAGTGTCTTATGAGGATATAGGGGTTCACACTCTTTTCATCTCGATACTCTTAAACCATAGGCTGGTTTGTTATTAGGGTGTGTTCGGTGCTCTCAATTAGTGCGCTTTCCTAGAAAATCACTTCGAGAACTTGGAACGAAATAGACTTGTGCGCTGTTTATCATTTCAGTTGCTTCCCACAACACACTCTTTCCGTATTTTTTGAGCAATCGAATCCATCACAGTCCTTCTCACAATTCTCTAGGTAGGAATTGGTGGTCCGGTACCGTTCATGCCACAACCAGGGGTCACGCAAGACGAGACAGTGTGGACATATCGTATTTGTCCTCCTTCGATTCTGAACATATGACTGTCAGGCATCGGTAGCTGTCCCTGTGTTCTATCCAGTCCGGGAAAGCCCAAATATATGTCTACCACACCCATTTCTTCGTCTACCACATATCGGCGGTTAGTGACAACAATTGAGGATGGCATTCCTGCGGGAGTGCAGGTGTCCGTAGACAAGTCGCGCCCGGCTCCGGTATATGCACCACCTTCAAGTCGAGCACAAGGTGTACCCCATGGGACGATGATTTTAGTATCATTGAACCTGTCGAAATACGCATCACCAGCGGCTTGGATGACAGCTCTGCTATCTCTTTTCTCCTTGGGAATTGGATCCCACTTTTCCAACGAGTTCCAATACAAATAACCCGTTGCGTTGAATGCCCAATCCCCTTTATCGGTCACAATCGATTCTATCAAAGTCGCCTTGTGGTCGGTAAAAAGCATGCGTGTGCCAATTACATACGGGTGCTCGGATTTGGCTACAATCAGTTCTGTAAAGCTTGCACAAAGTGTCGTATCGATGATGGTACGATTGTGATCAATCTTCAGTGGTTGAGCAAGGATTCCCGTCTTTATGTCGACTTTCTGTTCGTTCTCGGTATACGTGACGTTTGAGGCGACAGCCGTCATATCGCTACTTTGGCCATTGGTTTGTGCTGTGATATATTTATCCGTCGCATCTTTCAATAATGCTCTAGTGCAGTGGGCAGAAACTGTCGCTGCGAGTGCTGCGTATGCAAAAGCAGAATAGAACATTTTTGCGACTTGGTGTTTGACTCTAGAGATTGTGGAGAGAGTTTTCCATGAATCTTTAAAGGGTGTCAACGCACACGAAGTCATTTAATATAGCACTATGCTGGGGGTAAATAGAAAAGCCGTTCCTGAGTTTCATATTTACATATTGCTGTGAGAAGATTAAGACCAATCAATCCGGATGAATAAAGTATTCCCCGCTTGAGTTCTTTTGCATAGTCGGCAAGTTTAAAGATTTATCTGCTCAATCAAGCTCCTTCTAGCCTGATATGAAATTATAATGTGCAAGTCCGTGGGGCATCTCATTTTCGTGGCAAAAACCCCACCTCTTCATAACATTCTTACTCTAATTGATCCTCCAAAATTTCTTTCACTTCCTATGTTTCACTTGATGGTTATTTGAGTCCAACGCACAGTATGCTGGAAATTCCCGTAATATTTCTCCTGTAACATCTGTTTCAGGTGGGGCTTGCAATTGCGTATCAACTGTACCTTTTGATTAATCTCTGTGTCCTTTAGAGTTGGGATTTGTTCAACATGTGAAGCTGATTTCGAATAGCTCTGTTGGTTGTATGGCTTTACGCGAAACATTAATTTATAGACTCCAGAATCAAGGAGGGTTGATATTTAATGTCTTTTGAAACCTTTCTGGTGAAGCTTAGCTTTTCGATTACAGCTTCTCTCGGTGGTTGCATATCAATTGAAGTCAATGAAAAGTATCTGATGACTCCCCGTTGCATTTTATAATTAGAAAAGCTGATGGGAGTTTGTCATTCTCACGTGTTGTATAAAAGCCACTCACCTGATCTGAGGTTGAGTCTGTGCCGCATTCGGGCTTCGCCCTTGCTATTTCCTAATCGGGACGCCGGAACTGCGATGGATTCCTGAAGCCTTGACGTCCAGCTTCAAGATATTTCATCTCACAATCTTAATTTCAAATCGATGAGTTGGCGATATAATTAGGGGACATAATTACTGCACCAATCAACACGACACTGGATCATCAGAGACACCATGGCTACTTACGGTGAGAAGAATGTTCATACAGACAGAAGCTGCCGAGAGACATCTGTGTTCTTAGCTCCGGAATACCATATTAGTTATGGGGACGACCAAACTTTGCAATGGGAGCCGGCCGTTGGCTCGAAAGAGCTTGCTGTTGCTTTAAGCTATCATTTTCCGATGCAGACCGACTTAGAAAGTAAAATGCAAGCTGCCACGAGGAAGTTCTTGCGGGAAGAGGAAGTTGCCAACCAGGCAGCATCACGTGAGAAAGACACCGCTCTAGCAGACACGAAAGATTCATGTCTAGAACCCCAACCAACACTAGCGCCAACTCTACAAGTATTTACATGGGACTCGGAGATGAAAGAGTACAATCCAAAGGCTAAAAGACGTCGATACGATACAAGAGAAAGGGTTAAGGTGGCTCAGAACCGTGGATTCGCTTGTGAGCAACATCGAAGAATGAAAATGAAGGTATGTTGGGGAAACATAGGTGCTAAATACCCATTCTCACAGAGTTTAGTGTGATCCAGAGCGGTGCCCCAGAAATAAACAGCGACTTGGTAGTACAACAACGCTAGATTTGATACCGAATGTAGACGACGTACAACGGCCCGACGTTGAATCTAGTCAAGGCACTCTCGATTTCAACAGCCAATTGGAGGAGTCGGAGTGTGCTCAAGTTCAATCAGACTCATTGAGCTTGAACTCTTTCGCTCTTTCAGATACATCACACAGATGGTCTGTTTCTTCATTCGTTCCTTCGATCGAGACGTACATGTCAGCCGAGTTCTCCACAAACGGCCAGTACTCGGATGTGCCTGCTTCGATGCATGGAACAGGTGCAGGATCTCATAACTCAATTGACTCAATTGTTTTATCGGAGCAGGATCTCCATATACTCGCCAACTGTGAATCACTGAACTATAATATTGACCAGAACGATAACAACAACTGGTGGCCTAACAGTGTTGTTCAGTGTGATAGTAATGAGTTACTACACGAAAACCTCATCAGTGGAGAGGCACAAATAGAAATGACGACTCACACTCAAATAAACGAAACATTTTTGACGCAGTCGGCAGAGATAATCGACGGAGACATAACACTTCCACTCGATCAATTTACCGATTTCACCAGTGATATAATACCAGAAGTCCACGACGGGTCAATGGAATGGGAGTTCTCGCATGGGGTAAACACACTGCCAGACTATGAGGGTCAAGATATTATACCTTTGACGGACGAACAAAAGGAGACACTCGTCAAGTGGTGGGGTAGAAACCGATTGACAGAGCCACCTTCGAGTCTATTCGGAAAATCAAATCCAAGTCGTCCAACTTCCAGCCAGAACCAGTCTTCGGCAAGTGTAAATGCCATCGAAGTCTCAGGGAGCATTGGAAGAAGGAACACCCTCGTTGATCGTGTAAGAGCTGTCAGACACGTGCCGCCATTCATTCGACGAAGTCTAGAAAGGAGCCGGTCAGCTGGAAGAGACAGGGCTCTAACAAAGTAGAACTTAAGATTTTCATTGCTTCCAACCATTTCTGTCTTTTATCTCTTTCCAAATATAGCTTTGCTCGCTACCAGGTTTCATATCCAAGAGATTATCGTATTTGTTATATTTACTCTTGTTAAACTAGAGCTCTGGGAGTTACAACTTATGGATTACGGTTTTCATTACAACGGTCAGGAGTTTTGTTGGGGATTATGTCAACTAAAAGTCAGAACTGGTGGTGTGTGGGTGGATGTGGAGTTGATTGCGGATTTTAGACCAATTTGATGGTGACAAATCTTGCTGTTAAATCGAATGGTAGAAATATTATACTTCTCAGCTTAGCGACTTCGGCACTTCCGTTCTTCGATAGTTGCAAAATGGGTTACCGTGTTTCGGGAAATGGCTCTCAACTAAATATTCTATGAGTTTTCAGACTATTATCAGCCCCTGACTACAAGTTAGTCCTCGCAGTAGGGACGAATACCACACTACAGCCAACTCACTTTTCACGAATAATAACCAGAGCATTGGACCCATTTCAAAATCAAAAAAATTCAATTCAACAACTCACAGAGTGCTTTCGCTAATCTAAAAGACAAAAGAAAATGTGTGTAAGCAATACAAAAAACGAAAGTGCCAGCACTTTAAACACATAGACGCCCCCAAATTCTTTGCATCCTCCCAAAATTTCGCTGCAAACAGATAGTTACAAAAGAAAATGATATAGCTAGGATCGCTTGCTTCTCATGATGATAGGGTAGAGTTCTAACTCGCAACAAAAATGTATCGGGGTGTTCTCCACTCTTTGGGGCATCTAACCGACTACTTTGATCAAACTTCGATTCGGAAACGCTTCACTCTACCCCAGACGACTGTGGTTCCTGCTGATGCTACGTCGCCGACTTATGTAGTCTTTGGCTTCGGTGCTGGCTTTGCTTTTGGCTTTGGGTTAGGCTTAGGCTTCTCCTCCTCCTCGTCGGGATCCACTTCGTCCTCATCAGCTTCATCGTCTTCGGGAGCTACTTCGTCGTCCTTAGTCGCCTCTTCGTCTTCGTCTTCGTCTTCATCTCCTTTTGCAGGCTTCTTCTTTGCTGGCGTCTCATCGTCGTCTTCAGCATCCTCATCGT